GACAAGGTAAAATTTGGATAATTATTAAAAAGAAAAATTGTTTTAATAATTCTGCGCGGGAGAAGAAAGTCGACGATATTGTGTATATAGATATATAAAAGAGATCATCGAGTACAGTGTGGCCTCGACTCTCTCTCTCTCTCTCGCAACACGGCAAGCCCGTGGGAACCTCAAATTAATTAAGATAGCTCGTAGATATGAACTAGATCGATAGAATTGACGATAGCGATAACGAGAGGCGATACTCAGAACTCAGGGATGTTGCAGTGCTGTGGCGTTGGAGGTGGCGCTTCCACGGCACCTCAGGCTCGACTGCTGGGTACTGGTCTTGCTGTCGGAGCCACCACCTCCTCCAGGACCACTACTATGCAGGACCCCGTTCTCGAAAACATCCTCGAGGTGAGTTTTTTCCACTATTTTTTTTATTTTCAAAATACTATTTTCTTCTGTAAAATCAATTTTATTTCTCTCTTTTTTTTATTTATGTTACAAATATTAAATTTCGTATTGAACGAATTTTCAATAACGTACAATAAATAATAATTTGTTGATTAATTTTTCAAACCGTTTGGCAAATGTTGAGAGAAAAAAAAATTAATTTCACTATAGAAATTAATTTTCCGTTTGACAATAATTTTGCGATAATAATTGAAAAAACAATTGCTACAAAATATTTTTCGAAATAGAAAAAATAGAAAAAAAAGAGGGATTAGTAGAAATTAAAACTTACGTTCTGATCGAATTCGAAAATAATAATTGGCGCGTTTTATTACAAAGTATTTTTTGGGAAATATTTTTTTTTGTATTTTTGAAAAAAAATGCCTGAAACTTTATATAATATATTTTTTTTTTTTGCTCTTTTGTAATAGTATAGTTTTGCTTTTTATTGAAAGTTATGTCAGTGATTCAAACATCCTTGTAATTAAAATATCGACATAAAAGTTCCATATACTCGTATTTCTGAATTGCCAAGCGAATTAATTTCGCACACGTCAATATGGATTTTTTTTTTTAAATATGAATTTAAAATGTATTTTCTTAATTGAAATGATTTATGGGTCCAGGGCTCTCTATAAAATGCGCTCCCTCAGTCAGAGGATTAATATTCACAAAAAAAAAAATACAAAAATTCCATTTTATCTCTTTGCATGAAAAAAAAACTTTGTGTACATAAATCGTTCTTTTATTCGAAAACATTTCTATGTACAATTAAAATTAACAAAAAGTAAATATAAAAAAAAATTACAGAATTTTTTATATTATTATTTATTCTACATAGTTTTGAACGAGTTTAAATTATGTAATTAATTTTTTTTACATTTTAATACAATTAATAAATATTTGATTTAGGATTATCCGATTTCATGCCTTTGTATAAAATTAATTTTTATACTTTAATAATTTTATTAATAAACAATTAATCTTTGATTTAGGATAATCTGAGAATTAATTATTAACTAATGGTGCAATTAGTTGTGATTAATTGCAAAGAAAAACTAAATAAGAATTTGCAGATGGAATTTAATTTGGAAAAAAGAGAATATACATATTGTGAATGTTTTATTGCCGAGTTGCGGAAAAAGAAGAAAAATCAAAAAAAGAGTTGAAAATTTCCTCTAAAAAATGTAAAAAGCGTTGGGTCAAGGTCTTGGTCTACAGAATCACCATGCATCGATGAAGGTGAAAACTTCTCTTTGTATGAGCATTTATTGGCTCCAGCTACTGATGTACAGAGACTGTGTTTGAAGAGGACACGCAAGATTATTAGCATAACGATTACCATAATGCCCGCCAAGTACAGAGATAGAGAGAGCTAGAATTCTAGCTAAAAGAAAAGCTAAAAAAAAGAGCTGAAATATAAAGTAGACAAAAAACAATTCTAATAAAAAAACTTTTCACTCAAGAGAAAATTGTTACTTTTTCAAGGATTATTTACTGAGAATTGGCACAATTTCTTCCGGAAATTTTGGAAATATGAATATTTGTTAATATTCAGAAAATAAAAAATATGATTACCAAAGCCAACGAATCTCAATTTTCGATTTGAAGAATGTGGAGAAAAAACAGAAAATTGGAAACAGAAAATAATTTAGAGGAAGAAAAAATATTTAATTAAAGGAAAAATCTCTCGTTTCTTAAAAAGAATACAGGCTTTGCACTCATCTACTAAAACTACTATTTACCAATTTTTTAACGATTTGAATTTGATAATTTTTTTTAGATTTGTGACTCTAAAAGCTACTTTTTTCTTTTTTTTTGAAAATTTGCACTAATTAAAATCCGCTAATAGTTATAATATACAAATTATTCTGAACAAGAACCAAGAGTTCAATTATTTTCGTAAATATTCAAATTCTTCGCAAGAATTCAAATATTTCTTTAAAAAATGAAATTCTTGTCAATAATTCAATTACTTTCATAAATAATTAAACTCTTAGCAAGAGTTCAATTATTTTCGTAAATAATAAAATTCATTGCAAGAATTCAATTGTTTTTAAAAATAATGAAATTGTGCACAAGAATTCAATTATTTAACAAAATAATGAAATTGTGCACAAGAATTCAATTATTTTAGAAAATAATATAATTCTTCACAACAATTGAATTATTTTCAAAAATAATAAAGTTCTTTGGAGAAATTGAATTATTTTCAAATATTTTACTAAAACTATTCACAAAAATTCAATTATTTTTATAAATAATAAAATTCTTAGCAAAAGTTCAAATTATTTTCAAAAATATTAAAATTTTTAGCAAGAATTCAATTATTTTCAAGAATTTGAATAAATTTTTCCACAAAAATTTAATTAATTTCATAAATAATTAAATTCTTAGCAAAAATTAAATTATTTTCAAGTATATCAACAAAATTCTTCACAAAAATTCAATTATTTTCATAAATAATAAAATTATCCCCAGAAATTCAATTATTTTCAAAAATTTGAATAAAATTCTTCACAAGAATTCAATTATTTCTTAAAAAAATGAAATTTTTGGTAATAGTTCAACTACTTTCATAAATAATTAAACTCTTAGCAAAAGTTCAATTATTTTCAAGTATTATAACAAAATTCTTCACAAAAATCCATTTATTTTCATTAATAATAAAATTCTCCGCCAAAATTCAAATATTTAAAAAAGTTTGAATAAAATTCTTCAGAAGAATTCAATTATTTTCAAAAATAATGAAATTCTTAGCAAGAGTTCAATTATTTTCGTAAATAATAAAATTCATTGCAAGAATTCAATTGTTTTTAAAAATAATGAAATTCTTAGCTAGAATTAAATTATTTTAGAAAATAATAACATTCTTCACAAGAATTGAATTATTTTCAAAAATAATAAAGTTCTTAGCAAAAGTTTTAACTTTTAAATAATTTAATTTAGAAATTGTAGAAAAAATTAGTCTTTTAAAAAATTGTAATTAAAATTTTTTTTGCAAAATAGTTAAATTCTTGTAAATAATTTAAAAAGTTTAAATGAAATTTTTAATTAATTTGCAATTTTGTCAAATTTAATTGAAATAAATTTTATATTTGAAACAATTTTATTTTATAACTTACAAAAACTATTTATAAACATAATGGAATAAATTCTTCAAAACAATTTTATTAGTTTTTCGTAAATAATCAAATTGTTTTGAAGAATTTTCTTAAAACTTCTTGATTATAATGTAATTTCTTTTAATAATTTTATTTGAAAATTTTTGAAAATAATTGAAATTCACAAATAACTTTATAAAAAATGCAAGAATTTGTTATAAAGTTATTTGTGAATTTCAATTATTTTCAAGAAGTTTTAAGAAAATTCTTACTTGATAAAAAATTTTGAGAATAATTAAATTCTTCCAAAAAATGTTACTATTTACAAAAATAATTTAATTCTTCCGAAGAATTTTATAACTTATAAAAATAATCGAATTCTTGCTAAGAATTTAGTTATTTTTGAAAATAATTGAATTCTTGCAATGAATGTTAACAAAAAATTTGAAAATAATTAAATTTTATAAAAATTTAGAATTGAAGTTAATAACAGGATAAGAAAAAAAGTGAATAGTTTTTGGGAATCAGGAAAAAGTCAGAAAGTGGAGAATAAAATTTTTGTGATTTTTGTGAATCAACTAAAACGATTTTTTAGTCGTCGAATTTAATTTTTTGACAACTACTTTTTTTACTACTTTTTTCAGTCTTAAAGCTACTTTTTTCTACTGTTTAAAAAATTAATTATCGAGTGCGAAGCCTGAAATAATGTGAAGGAAGAAAAAAAAAATAATAAAGACATTATACGTATATTTCCATGTAATTTAATTATAAAGAGCTTAAATGTGTCTTTGACGTGACGCAAAAAATTTAAGTCGTTGAGAATTATAAGAGGATGATATAGTAACAAATCAATGTTAAACTGTTATATAGATTTTCAATGTCAGGTGATGAAAATATGCTAGAAAAAAAGGAAAAATAGGTGTTTAATTAAAAGAGTTCAAAAAATTTTCTAAGTGGAAAAAAAGCCTCTGGTCATGTTTCAGCCACAAGATTACATCGAAAATATATAAGTTCAGTCTCTCTGACTACCTTCCAGGCATCTATTCCACAAAGACTTCTTCTTCTTCTTCTCCTCTTTCATTATTAATAGTAGAGAAATGATTTCAGTCGCGATTTTCCGTTTCCCAGAAATATTCTCGCTTCAGGTTATTAAAGAAGGTTTTTCATACTTTATTTACAGTGAAAACCAAGGCAGACGTGCTGCTAGTGCCACGAAAAACATTTAAACGAACAAGAGTTTCACATCGGGAAGTTCTTCTTTCTTTTATTATTCATATATCGTATTTTTATTTCATGTTCATTCTCATTTCTCTAGTCTACTTTTTCTCTATAGATTATTTCTGTAAGAAATTAAAAATTAAAATAAGGAAGAATTCTGTAAACAAATTTTTGGTAAATTAACAATTATTATTAACAATAATTTTCTTTTCTAATAATGAATTTTTGATTTTAATGCAGCAAATGCGAGAGGCTGAAGCTCGCAGGGCCGATTTGGAGAGACAGCATGCGGAGGCACAAAATCAGTTGCGGGAAAAGCTAGCAGGACGTTATCAGGGCCCAGAATCAGTGGAGGCACTGCAGTCGAAAATTAGAGAACTAGAGAAAAAAACTGAATTGCAAATGGTGAAACATGAAGAATTATCTCTAGAATTAACAAGTCTGAGGCGAGCTCGAAGTAGAGGACCAACTGCTGGCCAGTCAATACCCACCTCGTGGCCACCTGCCGGATCCGAAATTGATAGAATCATGGCGAGAATAGAACAAGACAGGTGGAATAATTTTATTAATTTCGATTTGATTTCAAATTTTATTTACAATTTTTATTTACAGTTTTTATTTCTAACTTAATTTTCAATTTTTATTTCCAATTTTTATTTCTAATTTTATTTTCAATTTTATGTATCCAGTTTCGTTTCTAATTTCATTTCCAATTTTATATTTCCAGTTTCATTCCTAATTTCATTTCCAGTTTCATTTCTAATTTTAAATTTCTAATTTCATTTACAATTAAAATAAAACAACATAACATAAAATAAAAATTTAATTTATGTTTAGGCCTCGGATCGACTTTAAGGTGCAAAAAAAGTCGCTTTAGACGATTTAAAGTAGAAAAAAATTTGAAAAAGTCGTTTATTTAATTCAGTGTCATCACAAAAATTTTATTTTTTATTCCTCTGATCTCTCACTAATTTCTAAATTTAATTATTTAAAACTTGAATAATTTCGTTAAATAAATATTTAAATATAGGTACTTCTTGTTTGTTTTTATACGGGAATAAAATTTAAAAAATTTCTATTTAAAACCTTCTGAAATTTAATAACTTTTAAAAATTACAACTTTAATTCTCTTAAAATTCAATTATTATTTTCTACAATTTTTAATCAAACTTCTTCTTGAAATCAATTATTTTTAATAATTTTACAAAAGTTCTTAGAGAATTCAATTATTTAAATACATACATTAAATTAATTTTCAAAAAATTATAATAAAGAAATTCTTAAAATTAATTTTTCAAAAATATTTTAAAAATAATTTATGAAAGATAATAGTTTTTCAATTGTATAGAATTGAAAAATTTCCAAACAATTGAAATTTGATAAATTCTATTAAAAAAATAATTGAATCTTATTTAAAGAATTTTAATTACTAATATAAACGCGATTTCTCAAAAATTTTAATAAATCTAAAAAAGTCATATGTTGTTCAAATGTTAAAAATAATTGTAAAATATTTTAATGTTATTATTTTTTGTATGTTATATTATTTTGTTTCGGTAAAAAAATAACATAAAATGAAAATTTATTTGATGTTATTTTATTTTGTATTAAAATTATTATTTTTTAAATTATTTAAGGAATTATTTTACCTTGAATAATTCGATATCGAAAGTACCTTGATTTTGAATAATTAATAGTATCTGCTTTTCTATTTTCGATGCAGTAGTGGCAGAATTCTTCACGATCTCGATCATATGAGAGGCGTGACTACGCAACAACCATCGGTCTCTCAAAGTTTACTTCGATCCAGCGCAGAAAATCTTTCAAATCTCGGTCAACAACATCAACATCCACCTCATCCACATGCACTTAGTCTCGGTATTCCTTCTCATTCACAAGTTACTCACGTAAGTTCAATTTTATGCTAATTTGAATGAGAAAAAAAATTCAATTTTCGATATTGCAATTAGCAAAAAATTAATTAGCAGTAGACTGTAATTTTACTACTGTGGCGACAAAATTTTACAGACTAAAAACAAACTTGTGACAAATTTGTGACTACAATCATAAAGATTCACTTTTTTTTAAAACAAATAATCATATTTATTAATAATTGTAATTAATTATTTTTCTAATTAAATTCTATTAAAATTATTTGATGGAAAATTAAATTCTTTTAAACATTTTTGTTCGAGTTTTTGTAAATAATTTAATTCTCATGAAGAATTTCTTAAAATTTATTTTAAAAAATTGAATCAAAGAAAGAATATTTTTCAACTTTCTAAAATAATCGTGTCTGTTATTAATTATAAAAAAAATTGCATTTTGAATTTTATTAAAATTGTATTGAAAATAATTGAATTCTTGTGAAGAATTTCATTATTTTTTAAAATAATTGAATTCTTGCGAAGAATTTTATTAAAACTTTTTAATTAATTTAATTTTTGCGGAAAATTTTATTATTTTTGAAAATATATTCGAATTTTGTGAAGAATTTAATGAAAATTTATGAAAATAATTGAATGTTTCAAAGAATTTTATTAAAATTATTGGAAAATGATAATTAACTACTTAATAAGTGGATTTTTGTAAATTTTGCTAATACAATAAAAGTTTCATTTTTTATTAAATCAACTAATTGAGTAATTAAAACTTCAATTATAATTAAATTTGTTGAAAGAATAATTTTTGAAGAAAAAGCAGATATTTAATTTTGTAATTTTGTGATATTTGTTTTTCAGTACGCAGGTTCACCAATGCCATTAACCCCCATGATGCCCGGATGTCCGCCATTAACACCAAATGGACCTCCATATCATTATAGTGAACCAATTCCACCGGCACCATCATTATCGACAAGTCAATCGCAACCAGCCTTTCATCAAAAGATGACACAATATCAACAGCATCCGCAACATGTTGACATGCCAAGTTCTCATTCTCAAACAGCTCTGCCATCGCAAAAGCAACAACAAACGCACACACATTTTTCGAGTAATCAATATCAAGAGAGTTATCCCCATACGCAAACTTATCAACAGCCACATCAACAACAACAACAGCAGCAACAGCCTCAACAACATCAACTTCCGGCTTCGACGACTTATCTGTCGTCCGGCAGAGATACTGTCTTACCCCATTACACACAGCCTAGTCAAAGTACACAGAATTATCAATTAAACGGGACTCAACAGGTAAGTTTTCTTCCCTCCATTAGTTGGAAAAATAGATCGAGTCATTACAATTACTTGATCACCACAATGACTAATAATAGATCATTAAATATTGAAAACCAAGTTCGTTTCTGGGCCAATGGGTTGGAATAAAGATTAATATTAATTATTAATTAATATTAGAAGCATAAATGTAGTTGACATTTGATTTTGGTACATTTTTATGCCGGAGAGAATATTTTTGAGTCATTAGATATTTTCAATTTTTATCTATTATTTAAAGAATTTCCTCCTTACAGTTAATTTTCACATAGAAAAATGTATAAAAATGTAATAAAAATTTATTTTGGTACATTTTTATATTTTGATTGATTGACTGATTTTAATTACTAAAAAGTTGTCACTCTCAATTTAGATGAAATATTTTCCAAATTAAAAATTTGTAAGGAAGAAAAAGTTTTATTTTCAAAAGTTCATTTATAATTAAAGAGGAAGAAATATTTTTAATTCACAAAATACATACCTAATTGGAGAATTTTCACATAAATTATTGAAGATATTTGTAAAAATCCTTGTATATTTAAAAGAAATTTAAGAGATTAGATAATTAAATAAGTAGAAAAGATTAAAAATTTTTGAAATATATAATCAAAAATTTTTTAAATGATCGAAATGTTTGTGAAATTTTGTTGAAAATAATTTTTTTTTATGTGTTTCATTAAAATTTTAGGAAATCAAATTTTGAATAATTTTAATTTCAAATTTTGCAATTAATTAAATTCTCACAAAATTCAACATGTTTTCAATAATTTACATTAATAATTTTTTCCAAAAAAAAGTCCGGAAACAGTTTCAATAATTAGGTATTTTTTTCAATATTTCACTAAAATTTTTAAAATTCAAATTTTAAAGAATTGTAATTGCAAATTTTTTAAATAATTCAATTCTCACAAATTTTAATAAAAAAATCTTCAAATAAAAATTTCAAAATGAAAATTAAAGAAAATTAGCATTAAAAAATTATATTAAACTATTTTTGAGAAGAGTAATTCTTAGGAATTTAACATTATAATTACAATTTTTTTTTGAATTATTATTAAAACATTGAAGCAAAAAAAATTGCTTCAAAATTTTTAATTGAAATTCTTCAAAAAATTAATTAGTTTTATAAATTTAAACCATTCTTTTTAGAAATTCAGTTATTTTAAAAATATTTCATTACAAAATGTCTAAAAAGTTATTTTTTACAAATTTCTTATTATCATTTTTAAAATTCTATTATCTTCACAAAACGTTATTTAAACTTTTTAAAAATCTATTTTATTTAAAAATAAAAGCGCGAAGAGTTTCAATAATTAGGTATTTTTTCAGTATTTCACTAAAATTTTTAATTAAAATTCTTTCTAATTAAAATCTACTTTTGCATTAAAATTTTAGAAAAAACAATATGTTTTCAAATTTGTAATTAAAATTCTTTAAAAACTTGATTATTTATTTATTTATATTTTTGTGAACAATTTTATTTTTGTTTGTAAATAATTGAATTCTTGTGAAGAATTTTAATATTTACGAAAGAAATTGAACTCTTGCTAAGAATTAAATTATTTTCGAAAATAATTTAATTCTTGCTAAGAATTTTATTTTTTTTGGAAAATATTTGAATTTTTATGAAAAATTGTAATAAAATTCTTGAAAGTAATTGAATTATTGCTAAGAATTTTATTATTTTTGAAAAAAATTGAATTCTTGACAAGAATTTTATTATTTTCCAAAACAATTTAATTCTTGCGAAGAATTTAATTATTTTTTAAAGTAATTGAATTCTTGGGAAGAATTTTATTAAAACTTTTTTAAATAATTGAATTTTTGCGGAAAATTTTATTATTTTTGAAAATATGTATTCGAATTTTGTAAAGAATTTAATGAAAATTTATGAAAATAATTGAATGGTTCAAAGAATTTTATTAAAATTGTTGGACGAGTTACATTTGCAATTATTATAAAAAATTGAATTTTTGTATTTAAATAATTGAATTCGCAAAGAACTTTCAGAAAATTATTGGAAATAATAGATTTAGAAAGGAAGTTGAATTTAAAAGAGTAAAAAATAATTAAAGGGAAGACTCACAGTTGTAATTTTTTTGAAACAGTTAAATTTCAGAAGGTTTGAGATTGAAATTTTAATTTAAAAATCTTAATTCTTGTTGAAAAATAAATAACAGGCTTTTAAATATTTATTCAATTTATTATTTATTTATTTATTTTTGTTCAAGTTTTGAAGAATTGAATTTAAAAATCGATATGTAAAAGGTAAAGAAAGTACAAATATGAAATGTTTGTTTCTACGCGTTAAAATAGATCCGAGATCTGTAATTAAACAAGAATATTAAATTTCTAATATTCTCATATTTTGTGGAAAATTATCTAGTCTTATCCGAATTGGCTAATTTCCATTATAATTATAAAGATAATATGTGTAATATTTTCAGCAGACAACGACTTATCCGAATTTACCAATGGGAGCCCATCCAAATGGAACTTACAGTTCTGTTGCAACCAACTATGGAACTCAATTAGGACATCATAACTATTCAGTACCTCCTACGACGTTGCCATCTTTACAATCAACTTATCATCCTACAACATCTTATCACTCGACACTGGGTGTTCTCACTAGTGCTCCACAAACGGTACTTCCTTACACTACCGTTCAAAGCACCTATTCAATGACAGGATCCACATACTCCACTGTTGGGACCAACGCTTACGGTGCGTCAGGAGTTAGTTCAGGTTAATAGAAAACTTTCTTCCTCAATTGATTCATTAATTTACATTCATGTTGAATTAAACCCTATTGAAAATAGGACACCCAGGAAAAACTTTTTGTTAATGTAAAGAAATCTTTTTTTTCAACTTGATTCTTCGATTGAAAGTTAATTTAAAGAAGAGAAAAGAAAATGAAATCATTCAAAATAAGAAATAAAGAAAAAATAAAGAAAGAATAAACAAAGTAAAAAAATTTATTTGATTCAAGAAAATTTGATTCAAAAACTATTTGTTTCAGAGAATATTAGTTTTTCTAATTAAAGAATTATTTCTCTGACCCTATGTCAATGATAGTATTCCCTTTATTTAAAGAACAAATTTCTTAGTTTCAAACAAAATTTGTGTTTGAACCTAAGAAAATTTGCTTAAATCAATAAAATGTTTTCAAGATTAAATAATTTTGAAAATTTTTCGAAAATTAAAAAATAAACTTTTAAAAATCAAATCCTGAGAAGAATTTTATTTTTACGAAAATAACTGAATTCTATGCATACATTTTTATTATAATGTTTGAAATCATTTAAATTAATTGGAAGATTTTTTATATAATTTAAATTCATTCAACGAATTTTATTCAAATTTTATTCAAATTTTATTCAAAATAATTAAATTAGGTATTTTAAAGAATTTTACTATTTATTAAAATAATTTATTTGTTTCAAGAAATTTTGTTAACATTTTTGCAATTAATTGAATTTTTGAGAAGAATTTTATTAACATTTTTAAATATTGTCAAATTTTTTCAAAAAATGTTATTATTTATAAAAAGAATTGAATTTTTGTGAAGAATTTTATGAAATTCTTGAAAATAATTAAATTTTTACAAAGAAATTTAGTATTTATGAAAATAATTAAACTTTTGCTAAGAATTTAATTATTTATTGAAATAATTGAATTTTTGCAAAGAATTTCATTATTTTTTAGAATAATTGAATTCTTGTAAAGAATTATATTATTACAACTTTTTAAAATAATTTAATTTCTGAGCAGAATTTTATTACATCAAAAAATAATTGAATTATTGTTAAGAATTCTGAAAATAATTGAATTTTTGAAAATAATTAAACTTTAGCTAAGAACTTAATTGTTTATAAAAATAATTGAATTTTTTTGAAGAATTTAAAAAAAATTTTTGAAAATAATTGAATTGTTTCAATAAATATTTGTAATTATTATGAAAATAATTCAATTCTTGTGAACAATTTCATTAAAATTTTTGAAAATAATTGAATTGTTTCGAAGAATTTTGTTATTTTCGAAAATAATTGAATTTTTGCTAAGAATTTTATTATTTTTAAAAATAATTGAATTCTTGCTAAGAATTTAAATATTTTTGAAAATAATTAAGTTTTGAGAAGAATTAAATTATTTATTAAAATAATTGAATTGTTTTGAAGAATTTTATTTAATTTTCTTAAAAGTATTTGAATTCTTGCGAAGAATGTTATTATTTATGAAAATAATTGAATTCTTGCGAAGAATTTAATAAAATTTGTAAATAATTGAATTCTTGCTAAGAATTTAATTATTTATGAAAATAATTGAATTGTTTTAAAGAATTTCATTAAAATTCTTTAAAATATTGAATCCTTGCTAAGAATTAAATTATTTTTGAAAAAAATTTAATTATTGCTAAGAATTTCATTATTTTTAAAAATAAATTTAATTTCTATTAAGAATTTTATTATTTATGAAGATAATTAAGTTTTTGAGAAGAATTAAATTATTTATCAAAATAATTGTATTGTTTTGAAGAATTTTATTAAATTTCTTAAAAGTATTTGAATTCTTGGGAAGAATATTATTTATGAAAATAATTGAATTTTATTATAATTCTTTAAAATAATTAAATTCTTGATAAGAAATTCATTATGTTTAAAAATAATTGAATTCTTACGAAGAATTTTATTATTTACTAAAATTATTTAATTCTTTTGCTAAGAATTTCAATATTTTTAAAAATAATTGAATTCTTGTGAAGAAGTTTATTAAAACTTTTTTAAAATAATTTAATTTATGCAGAGAATTGTACTACTTATAAAAATATTTCAATTTTTGTAAAGTATTTTGTTGAAATTGTTAAAAATTAAATTTTTTCTAGAAATTTCATAAAAATAATTGTATTCTTGAGATGGAGTTTAATAATTTTTTTGAAAATGTTTGAATTTTTTCAAAGAATTTAATGAAAATTTTTGAAAATAGTAAATTAGAATTAATGAGTTAGTTAGTTTGTTAATACATACGTTAATTTTTTCAATTTTGAATCTTAAATTATTAAAAATGTGATGTTGATATTAAAGAATAAAAAAATTTTATGCTGGTAAGTCTAATAAACTGATTTCTTTACATTCAAACTGATTTCTTCTTTTCTTTTTCCAATTGAAAAATAATTAAATTAAATATTTCCAATATGAATTGAAAATTAATACAAATTATTATTTCCATTATCTGTTTAATACTTAATAGTAATTTCCTAATTTAGGATCATCATCCGGCGGCTTATTGCAAGCTATCGGCGATCCGCTTCACGCAATGCAACAACTTTCTGCTCAATCACAAGCAAATCAACTTCAACAGCAAGCAATAATTCATCAAATTAAACAGAGTTTACGATCAACATCACCGACAGTTGCTGGAACAGCGAGTCATCATTATCTTGGCCAAAGGCAAATGCCCAAAATTCCAACCAGCATTCTCACGAATCCTCTCGATAGATTGGCAAATGAGCCAATTGTAGCCGAGGGACAAGTCGATATGTTGGATATACCGGGAAAAGGGAGATGCTACGTTTACATTGCGAGGTTTACTTACGAGCCATTTCAGCATTCACCCAATGAAAATCCAGAAGCTGAACTTCCAGTTCAAGGTGGTGATTATCTTTTGGTTTGGAGTCAACCAGATGACGATGGTTTCCTCGACGCTGAAACTTTAGACGGCCGAAGGGGTCTTGTGCCGGCAAATTTTGTACAGAAACTTGTCGGCGATGATTTACTTGAATTTCATCAGGCTGTTCTTGGATTGAGGGACGTTGATGATTCAGTTTCCACTAATATTCCACAGGTATGGTTAATTTTTCAAATTAATCAATTTCAAGTTTTTTTAAGTTAATTTAAAAAATTTCCTGAGTGATTAAAAATTAATTATCGAATTTGTTTCTCAGTGTTATTTGCAGGATATTGATCTCGAATTAGCAGCTCTTGAGGAAGGCAACCGCAGTCGTCAAGCTGAACTATCGGCTTACGCTGAACTTGACAATATTGCCGAGGAAGATGAACAAGAACCTCCAGGTCAGTTGAATAATATGTCAAGTTTTTTTTCTAAGCTTTTACTTTACATGCCACAAGGTCTCCTATGGAATTTATATTTCTGCTTATTTAATCACAAAAAGAAAATATCAGATAAAAAATATCTTCTTTTAACACCAATTTCAATAATTGCATGATAAAGGAAAAGAAAAATCATCAATAATTTGCAGTTTCAAGTAGAATTCGCATGCTTCCCTTGTTCAAGAAAGCTTTCCTTTTGCAAATTCGCTTTCCTTTATTGGCTTCTCGGGAGGGAATAGAAATTGCTATTAGATGTTAAAAACTCCAAATTTAGTTTGAATTTAGTCCAAAAAGAATAGAAATTAAAAATTATTAAAGAATAGAAATCAAAAATTATTTTTATAGAAGAGACAAACTTTAGAATTTAGTGAGTTAGAAATTTGACATTTTTTTTTAAATAGAAATTTAGAATTTTCAGTTAAACAAATTTAGGAAAGAGAGAAGTAATGTGACAGGGTTGCCACGCAACCCAGAAACATGGAAAACCTGGAAATTTTTAGGGAATTTTATAAACCTTGAAAAAACCTGAAAATGTCGGGGAATTTTTATTGAAATCCTGGAAAATTGTTTTGTTGCAAAAATTCAATTATTTTCGAAAGAAGTAAAATTCTTCTCAGAAATTCAATTATTTTTAAAAATTTTAATAAAATTCTTGGCAAAATTTCAATTATTTCCAAAAATATTCCTCAATTCAATGATTTTCAATATCTACTATTTTAATAAAAATTTTTAGAAAAAAATTCAGTTATTTAAAATTTTTTTATAAATTTCTTCGCAATAATTAAGCTATTTTCATAAATAATAAAATTCTTTTTTTGGAATTCAATTTTTTCAAAATATTTTTAATCAAATTCTTCGTAGAAATTTAATTACTTTCAATGTTTACTATTTCAATAAAATTTCATAAGTTGTAATAAACAAGTTGTTCATTTCATGATCATTAAGCTTCCTCAATATAATATATACCAATTGTTTAATTTTTTATTTTAGAATAATTATTTTAAAGTGTTAAGATAAAATGTCAAAAAATACAAAATTTCAATTTTTTGTGAAAATTTAAAATATTTATTAATTCTATAAATTTTGATAAAATATATACTTTATATACATGAATCGATTCGTTTTTATGTCAGGAATGCAATTTTGACAAGAATTAATAAAAATTTTAATATAGAAAAAAGTTATTTCAAAAATTCCAAAAATAAATTTTTTCAAAAATTAAAAAATTGTTGAAAAAAAATTTTTTTTTTAGATATTTTTGAAAATCCTTTTGTCTGATTTTTGGTATTCGTGACCGTAATACACCTACAAAATTTTATCAAAATCCGTCAAGACGTGTAAGAGAAAATTTGTCCACAAGAATCGGTGACATACACACACACACACACACACACACACATACATCCGGACATTTGTTCCTCTCGACGAATTATATATACTACACTTGAAAATTTGTAAAAATAATTGGTTCTAAAAAATTCGGAAATCGACATCACTATAAGGCTTCCTTTATGAGGAAGCAAAATAATTGAATCTCTTTAAAAAATGTTATTATTTATTAATATAATTGAATTTCGGAATAGAAATAGAAATTTCGGAATAAAATTCATCTTAAGGATTCAATTATTGTCAAAAGTATTAAAATTCTTCGCAGAAATTCTATTATGTTCAACAATTTACAAAAATTCTCGTCAATATTTCAATTATCTCTTTATAAATAATAAAATTCTATTCCGAAATTCAATTATATTAATAAATAATAACATTTTTTGAAGAGATTCAATTATTTTTATTACAACTTTAAACAAATTCCTCGAAAAATGAAATTCTTAAAATTTTGTCAAGAGGATTCAATTATTTAAAACTTTTGTTGATAAAATTCTTTATGAGAATTTAATTTTATGAAACATTCAATTATGTAGTGAAATATTTATTTTTGTATTTAAATAATTAAATTTGCGTAGAATTTTCTAGTAAATATTCATTTAAAATTGAATTTCAGTTGAAATTTTAGATTATCATTGAATATTAAAAGCATTGTAAGATGAATTTTTAGAAATAATTGAAATTTGAAAAGGTTTCAAATTAAATATTTAAAAAATTTAAATTTTTTATACTTTACTAACAATTAGGTAGAATTAATTTTTTTGATAAAGTTTAAGTATAAATTTAATTGTAAAATGTCAAATAAACTCAAAATTTCGTAAAATTTATTTTATGATTTTATTAATAAAATTCTTGCCAAAATTTCAATTATTTTTGTAAATAATATAATTCTTCACAAAAATTGAATTCACTGGGTTACAAAAAAATGGTCATATCGTGTTTATTCAAAGTTTCCTGTGTTTATTCAAAGTTTAGGTGTCACTGAATAAGAATATACCAGTAAAACATTTTTTCATTCGGTCATTCCCTTAAAAAACGAGTTTAAATTGTCAAAAAACCGTATTTTAGCACTTTTTGAGGCAGCGTAACAAGAAAACGCAACATGATAAAAATCTCTACAAGAGCTTAAATAAAAGCTTAAACCTTCAACTTTAAGGCTCAGAACTGAAAAGTACTTAAATAATCAATGAAAACCTCCTTAATCAAGCAGTCGCTACCTGAAATTGTCAAAAAAGCTAGAACAGGAAGCAATTGGTAAAAATCGATTTCCCTAACCGGATTCGGTTGCAACTTGTTACTTGAGGTTTTTTGAGATTTCTAATGACGAATTGGAACTTAGATTTAAAAATTTCAAAATGGCGGACTAAAAATAATGAATTCACTCAATTTTTCAAAATTTGCGTTGATAATTTTAAAAAATTAAATCCGCCATTTTGAAATTTTTAAATCTAAGTTCCAATTCGTCATTAGAAACCTCAAAAAACCTAAAGTAACAATTTTCAACCGAATCCGGTTAGGGAAATCGATTTTTACCAAGTGCTACCTAACCCAGCTTTTTTGATAATTTCAGATAGTGACTGCAGGTTTTCAGTGCTTATTTAAGTACTTTTCAGTTCTGAGCCTTAAAGTTGAAGGTTTAAGCTTTTATTTAAGCTTTTGTAGAGATTTTTATCATGTTGCGTTTTCTTGTTACGCTGCCTCAAAAAGTGCTAAAAATACGGTTTTTTGAAACTTTAAACTCGTTTTTTAAGGGAATGACCGAATGAAAAAAAGTTTTTCTGGTATATTCTTATTCTGTGACACCTAAACTTTCAATAAACACAGTAAATTTTAAATAAACACGACATGACCATTTTTTTGTAACCCAGTGTTTTATTTATATAAATAATACAATTTTTGACAAGAATTCAATTATTTTTATAAATTTGAATGAATAATAAAATTATTCGCAGGAATTCAATTATTTAAAAAATATTGTTAAAATTCTTTACAAGAATTTAATTATTTTCGTAAATAATAGCACTTTTAACAAGAATTTCGTAAAATTGTATTGTAAACAAAAGAGTTTAAAAATTCTCGATGAACTTTTTCAAAAATTATTAAAAGAATTTGATTTAAAGAAGATTTTTAGTTAAAAATTCTTGAAATTAATAATTGAATCGAAATGATGAAAATAATTGTTAAAGAAGTTACACAGTAACAATAATTTTATAATATAAAATAATGATTTTATCAATTTTTTCATGTTTTATAATAATATTCTTCTAAATTGTTAAATTTAAAAAAGGATTGAATTGGAATCTTTTGAAGAATTTTAATTTCTATGGAAAATTAATAATGATTAAATATTTATTTAAAAATGTAATTATTAATGTTTTCGAATAATTTAACAGTTAAGGAAATTCGTAAACATAAATAAATGTACTAATAGAACATTTTATCTAATCATTTTGTGAGTAAATCAGAATATTCTTCAGGATTAAGATAAAAGTCGAAATTTTGTCTTGAAAATCAGGGAAAAGTCACGGAAAAACAAAATTCAATTTTTATGGCAACTCTGAGTAATAGATAAATTGCAGAATACAGTATATTATATATAAAAGTCGCATTTATTTGTAAAAATTGATTAGTTATTTAATTTGTGTAAAATATAAAGGTATTTTGAAAAACCTGGAAAAATTGCGTTTTTTAATATTTATTTAATAGTCAGGGAATTTGAAATGAGCAAAAGCGTGGCAACCCTGTGTGAAAAGTAAATTAATATTGGCAAATATCAGTAAGTATATCGTCGGGGCGTTTCGTGTCGGATAATAAAAGCGGAGAATTTTTTAATTCAATGGAATTAGGCTCGCTTTAGAGAGAAATAGATACCCTAGTGCAATTTTTAGCTACAGCTAGGCTTGTCTTGTCTTTTTCCTCCTGAAGAAGTCTACCTGTTTTCGGACCTAGTTCCGGCGCCTCAACATCTCACACTCGAGCGTCAACTAAACAAGAGTGTTCTAATTGGCTGGACGGCACCGGAAAATCCACATCAATTGGAATCGTACCATGTCTACGTGGATGGTGTACTCAAAGTCACGGTGAAGGCCACTGAGAGGACCAGGGCACTCGTTGAAGGAGTCGACTCAACCAGGGTTCGTAGATACGAACCATCACTTCTATTTCAAATACTCTATATATTTTTATTAAAAAAAAATTTTTTTTAAGAATTTATTTACCTAAATTCCTAAATTTGCACTTTATATGCAAAGTACACTTGAGTTTTCACTCACTTTGTAATTTCTTTTTAATTTCTCATTCTCCTAAATTTTCTGCATGAAAAAAGATCAAAATATCAGGCATCACAAATAATTAAAATATTATTATTAATAGTTTTTTCTAAAAAAACAAACAAAAATTCCAATACAAAACCTTCAATTTTTTCCATTTCTGACAATAATTTCTTTTTAAATAACTTAATTCTTGAAGAACTATCATAAAATTATAACTTAGAAATTATTTAATGAATAACAAATAAAATTTTATTTCTACATTTCAAAATTAATTGAATTTTAAAATAGTTGTGTTTACAATTTTCATAAATAAATGAACTTCAAAAGATTTTAATTTCAAAATTTAAAAAATTTGGAATTTGGAATGAATTTAATTAGAAATTCTAAAGAACTTGAATTTCTGCAAAAATTTAAAAATTTAAATTATTCTAAAATTAGTTACATTTTTTAATATAGATATATATTTATATAATTATTAAAAATAAAAAAATTAACGAGGAATTTTAGTTAAAAACACTAACTAACAAAAAATTTTAATTTTGGAGAAGTTTCAAATAATTGCAAAAATTCAATTATTTTCAAAAGTAATAAAATTCTTCGCAGAAATTCAATTATATTAAAAAATTTTTTTAAATTCTCGTCAAAATTTCAATTCTTTTTATAAACAATAAAATTCTTTTTCGAAATTCAATTATTTTCAAAAATTTTAATAAAATTCTTGGCAAAAATTCAATTATTTGCAAAAAATTTTCCTAAATTCAATAATATTCAATATCTACTATTTTAATAAAATTTTCCATAAGAATACAATTTTTAAAAAAAAATTTTATTAAATTTCTTCTCAAAAATTAAATTATATTAAAAAATTTAAAGAAATTCTCGTCAAAATTTCAATTCTCTTTATAAATAATAAAATTCTTTTTCGAAATTCAATTATTTTCAAAAATTTTAATAATTTGCAAAAAATTTTCCTAAATTCAATGATATGTAGTATCTACTATTTTAATTAAATTTTCCAAAAGAATTCAATTATTTAAAAAAATTTTTTATTAAATTTCTACGCAAACGTTCAATTATTTAAATAATTAATAAAATAATTTCACAGGAATTCTATTTACACATTTTTTAAAATTTCTTCGCAATAATTCAATTATTTTCATAAATAAAAAACTCATCGCAGAAACATTCAATTATTTATTCAATATAAATTATTTATTTTTATATTTAAATAATTGAATCCTCGTAGAATTTTCTAATAGAAATTTATTTAAATGAATTTCAGTTAAAATGTTACATAATAATTGAATATTAAATGCATTATAGCGTTGATTTTTAGAAATAATTGAATTTTGAAAAAGTTTCAAATTGAAATATTTGAAAATCTGAAATTTTCATATTTTTAACTAATAATTCTGTAGAATTAATTTTTTTCAAAAAGTTTAATTGAAATTATTCGAAGTTTTTGTTTTCAAATATATATTTAATTGAAGAATTTTTGAATAATCGATAAAATTTTGTAAAATTGAATTGTAAAAAAAATTGTCAGAATTTTTTTTTAATTAATGTAAATAATTGATTTAAAGAAGAATTTTAGTTAAAAATTCTAGAAAATAATAATTGAATTAAAATAGTGAAAATAATTTTGAAGAAGTTACAGTAAAAATATTTCTTATAGTAGAAAATAATGATCTTATCACTCGGTCATCTTTAATTATTATAAACTGTTGAATTTCGAAAAAGATTTGAATTTGAATGTTTTGAAAATCTTAATTTCTATGGAAAAATGATAATGATCAAATATTTAAAAAAAAATGAAGTTATAGCTGTTTTCATATAATTTTACAGTTAAAGAAATTCGTAAATAAATGTAATAGAACATTTTTTTGAGTATCTAATCATTTTTAGAGTGAATCGCAGAATATTCTTTAGGGAAAAAGTAAAAAATTTGTCTGGAAATCAGGAAAAAGTCAGGGAAAAACAATTAAATTTTTGTGGCAACTCTGATTAAAATCGAATCATTTTTAAAAAATTGTATAAACAAATAAATTTTTGTTCCCTTTTTGAGGAAAAAAATTCTCCAACTTTCTTGCGGAAAAAAGGTACTGTGATGCCTGAAATATTGTACAGAAAGAAAAGTTCAATAAAAAATTAATAAATTGCTTCCTGATAAAATTTTCTATATTTGTTAATATATTTTTGATTTATTAGGTTTTTATTGTACTCGATTTATTGTGAGTGAAATTAATAATTTTGATTTGAATTTATTTTGGTGAATAGCCTCATAGAATAAGTGTTCGCTCGGTGACACATTCACGAAGAACATCTAGGGATGCTGCGTGCACAATGGTGATTGGAAAGGATGTGGCAATGGGTCCGACTGCTGTGAAGGCATCGAATGTGACAGCAACGAGTGCTGTGATTTCATGGCTGCCGAGTAACAGTAATCATCAACATGTCGTTTGCGTTAATAATGTTGAGGTGAGAACCGTGAAACCGGGAGTTTATCGTCACACCATCACTGGTTTAGCGCCATCGACAATTTATCGAGTCACCGTCAAAGCAAAGAATCTCAGAGCCACACATTTTGAGGATCAAAACGCTCAGCATGCCAATAATCAGGCCTGCCACGTTCATTTTAAAACTTTGCCCAAAGGACTTCCGGATCCTCCGGTCGATATCCAGGTTAGAAGCAATGCTTGCATAATATAAATTTATATTTTTATTATCAATGCAAATTTCTATTAAATTACATTTAAATTATTTAAAGCACAAGAAATTTGGATTTGAGCAATTCTACGTAAACTTATTTAACATTCTTCACAAAAATTCAAATATTTTCAAAAATAATAAAATTCGTATCAAGAGTTCAATTATTTTCAAGCTATACTGACATTCTTAGCAAGAATTCAATTATTTTCAAGAATTTTAAGAAAATTCTTCAAAAAAAGTTAAAATATTTTTAAAAATTATTAAATTCTTCGCAAAAATTCAATTACTTTCAAAAATAATTAAATTCTCAGCAAAATTTCAATTATTTTAATAAATAATAAATTTTTTACAGGAATTCAATTATTTTCGTAAATAATAAAATTTATCACATAAATTCAATTATTTTTAAAAATAATTCAATTTTTCGCAACAGTTGAATCATTATCAAGTATTTTAACAAAATTGTTTATAAAGATTCAATTTTTTTTCAGATAATAAAATACTTTGCAAAAATTCTATTATTTTCATAAATAATTAAATTCTTTGCAAAAATTTTAATATTTTCAAAAAATTAATAAAATTCTTAGCAAGAATTCAATTATTTTCGAAAATTTTTTACAGGAATTCAATTATTTTCGTAAATAATAAAATTTATCACATAAATTCAATTATTTTTATAAATAATTCAATTTTTCGCAGCAGTTGAATCATTATCAAGTATTTTAACAAAATTGTTTATAAAGATTCAATTATTTTCTGAGATAATAAAATTCTTCACAAAAATTCAATTATTTTCATAAATAATTAAATTCTTCGCAAAAATATAATTATTTTTATGAATAATTCAAATAGTGAAAGTTGAATTATTTTTAAATATTTAAATATTTTAATTTATAAAAAATCAATCATTTTCTTAAATAATAAAATTATTTGCAAAAATTCAATTATTTTCATAAACAATAAAATTCTTTGCAAGAATTTAAATATTTTTGAAAATTTAATCAAATTCTGAGCAAGAATTCAATTATTTTCATATATAATAAAATTCTTTGCAAAAATTTAATTATTTTTATAAATAATTCAAATTTTAGTGGAAGTTGAATTATTTTCAAATATTTTATCAAAATTATTTTTAAAAATTCAATGATTTTCATAAACTCTTGGAAAGAATTTAATTATTTTTACATATAAATAATAAAGTTCTCCACAGAAATTCAATTATATTAAATTCTTCGCAAAAATGAAATTATCTTTATAAATAATTAAATTCTTTACAAGAATTAAATTTTTTAAAATAATTTTAATGAAGTTCTTCACAAAAATTCAATTATTGTTAATAATTTAAATGAAATTCTTATCAAGAATTCGATTATTTCCATAAATAAAATATTCTTCCAAACAATTCAATTATTTTCAATAATTTTTTAAAAATTCTTAGAAGAAATTTAATTATTTTCAAAAATTTTAATAAACTCTTTACAAGAATTCAATTAGTTTAATAAATAATTAAATTCTTAGCAAAAGTTCTATTATTTTCAAAAAAATTTCTTGTGTTCAATATTTTTCAAAGATATTTGTAGAATGTTAGCATGAGTTTAATTTTTTTTTAGTTTTAAGAATATTTTTATCAAGAATTCAATTTTTTCAAAAATAATGAAATTCTTTGCAGAAATTTATTGACATATTTTAAATAGAGTTTGATTTAAATTCCTGGAAAGAATTTAATTTTCAAATTTTCAAAAGTGTAAATTAAATGCTTTTAACATTTATTTTTATTTTTAATTTTTGTAAAATTTTTCAAAACATGTCAGTTATTTTCATAAATAATAAAATTCTCTGCAAGAGTTCAATTTTTTTTAAATAAATTTAATTTTATTTCAATAAATTTTTTTCAAAGTACCTAAATCTAAATTATAACATTTGCAAAAATTGTAATATTATTTTAATAAAAACGTTAGCTACCTTTTAAAGTTTTTTTTTAAGTTAACTTGTTGTTGCAAAATTATGGAAAATAAAATAATTTCCAAATACTGTTCTTGCAAAAGTAGCATCACAAAATTTCTTCTCTGGCTCCGAATTTGTAAAATTTTGAAGTAATTAAAACAAAACGTGATATCAAATTTTTAGAATTAGTTTTTTAACTCTAAGTAGAACAAAATATGAAAAGAAAGAAAATCCATTTTTTTCTTTTAAAATAAAATTTTAAAAAACCTGCTTATTTAACTTTAATAAAAATTAGTCACTTTAAAAGAACTTTGTAAATATGTAACTCTTTTTATGTTTTAAAAGGTAAACTTAATTTAGAAATTAATTTATGATTGTTAATTCAAAACAATTTCGTTTTATTAATTTTGGTTGTTATTCAATCTTAAAAAAAACGAGAATTTAATTAATTTTGAAATTCAAAACATTTAAAAAGAAAAAATACGAAAAATATTTAAAAAAGAAAAATAATTAACTTTTTATTGAGAGCAAACATCCGGAATAGAAAGACTATTGAATACAGATTGGAAAAAATTCTGCTTTCCAGTCAAAATGATAAAAAATTGAAAAAAGTAGTTTTTGCAAAAATTGAAAAATAAATCCTAACTGCAATCCGCATAATATTAGACAATTAATTTTTGAAAAGAGTTAATATTCTTGAATTTTATTACTTAAATAAATAACTACAATTTACCGGAATTTCAAGCCAATCCCGCAAATAATAAAAATTTTTACTAGATCGTTTCACTTGGAATTGCTCATTTATGATACATTTAGAAAATATCCCCACACGCACCTAAAAATATTGCACATTTTAGAAAAAAGTAATTAAAATCTAATTAAAAAGTAATTAAAAAGACAAATTATTTTGAACACATTTGAATTGCACTTGCACTGACTATCCGGTCTAATTAATTTATTGTTTATCACGTGTTGCAGGTGGAGGCTGGACCGCAGGACGGCACTTTGCTAGTGACCTGGCAGCCTGTTGCCCTAAACGGTTCGGCCGTCACCGGTTACGCGGTTTACGCCGACGGGAAGAAGGTCACTGATGTTGACAGTCCTACTGGTGACCACGCTCTCGTTGACATTCACAAATTAATGGGCTTAAATCCAAAACACATTACGGTCAGAACCAAAAGTCGAGAGAGCCAGTCGGGCGATAGTTGCGCAACTGCAATTCCATGCAGTGTATTGCGTGGTGGGCCTGCTCATCTTCAGCATGCACCTCATATGATGGATCAAACGCAACAGCAACCGGGAGTCACAATAGACGATCCGCATAGAATGGTGGGAATCGCTCAACGTTATCCAAATTCACAAATTCCACCCCACATGAGAAGGCACAACACGAGGGTGGACGCTCATGGACAGGTCATCATTGAAACTGATGAAAATCTCTCCGACAAGGAAATTTATCCTGGACAAAGTATTTCACAAATGGGTGAGAATTTATTGGTGTTTATTTCTTTTCTTTTTTTCTGTCAGGGTCCGATGCTGCGAAACGAAAACTAATTAGTTTCGTATCAATCCAAAACTGAATTTACTTTCGTGTCGATTCGTAAGAAAAGAAAATTATTTTTGACTCGTACGAAAATAAATATAGTTTTGCTTTTTCAAATTCACTTTTTTTTATTTAGTTTCCAAGTCGACACGAAACTAAAAATGTTGATTAAATTCATAAAAACTACTCAATTATTTTCTAAAAATAATTAAAAAAAAACTCCACAGGAATTTAATTACTTTCAATACAATTTTAAAAGAATTTTTCGATAGAATACAATTATTTTTAAAAATTTTATTAATTTTTCCTGATATTCAATTATTTTCAATACAATTTTTAATAAATTCCTGAAAAGAGTTTTACTATTTATGAAGAGTTCAAATAAAATTTTTGGAAACAATTCAAATATTTTGGAATTTAATTATTATCAATAGGTACAATTTTAATTGAGTTTCATCGAAAGAACATAATTTTTAAGTTTTCAAAACTTTAAATTAACTATTTTTAAATTAACTTTAAATTTCTATAAATCAATTCAATTTCTTTAAAAAATAATCAAATGCTTTCCAAGAATTCAATTATTTTCAAAAATATTTAAATTCTTAGCAAGAATTCAATTGTTTTTAAAAATAATGAAATTTTTATCAATAATTCAATTATTTTCTTAAATAATTAAACTCTTAGCAAAAGTTTAATTATTTTCAAGTATTTTAACAAAATTCAATTACTTTCACAAAAAATAATAAAATTAATCACAAAAATTCAATTATTTTAAATAATATTAAAATTGCTAGTATAAAAATTCAATTATTTTCAAGAAATTCAGCTAACATTACCCACAAAAATTCAATTATTTTCCAGAATTTTAAATAAAATTACCCACAAAAATACAATTATTTTCATAAATAATAATATTTTTTCTAAAAATTCAATTATTTTCAAATTTAATTAAATTCTTATCAAGAATTCAATTTTTTTAAAGAATTTAAAATAAAATTACCCACAAAAATACAATTATTTTCATAAATAATAATATTCTTTCCAAAAATTCAATTATTTTCAAAACTTTTCATTAAATTCTTCACAAAAATTCAAATATATGTAAAAAAAATTGATTAAAGTCCAGCTCAAGAATTTAATTATTTTTATTAAATTCCTGGAAAGAATTTATTATACAAAAAATTTCAAAAAAAATCTCATTATTTTCGTAATTAATACAATCCTCTGCAGAAATTCAATTATTTTCCAAACTTTTAATAAAATTCTTGGAAACAATTCAATTACCTACTTTAAAAATAATTTAATTTTTTACAAGAATTCAATTATTTTTTAAAACAATAAAATTGTTAACAAAAATTCCAATATTTTCGTAAATAATAAGATTCTCCGAATGAATTCAATTATTTTTTAAAATTATAATAAAATTCTTCACAAGAATACAATTATTTTCAAAAATAATGAAATTCTTCGCATTACATAGTTCAATAATTTTCGAAAATAATAAAATTCTTCACAAGAATTCAATTACATTTGAAAATAATGAAATTCTTAGCAAGAATTAAATTATTTTCGTAAAATATAAAATTCTTCGCAAGAATTCAATTATTTTAAAGAATTTGAATAAAATTCTTCACAATAATTCAATTATTTTAATAAATAGCAAAATTCTTCATAAAAATCCAATTATTTCTATAAATAATTAAATTCTCAGCAGAAGTTCAATTATTTTCGTAAATAATAAAATTCTTTGCAAGAATTCAATTATTTTCGTAAATAATAAAATTCTTTGCAAGAATTCAACTATTGTAATAAATAACAAAATTCTTTCCAAAAATTCAATAATTTTCAAAACTTTTCATTAAATTCTTCACAAAAATTCAAATATTTTTAAAAAAATTGATTAAAGTCTATCTCAAGAATTCAATTATTTTTATTAAATTTCTGGAAAAAATTTAATATAGATACAAAAATATTTCAAAAAAAATTCCATTATTTTTGTAATTAATACAATTCTCCGAAGAAAATATATTATTTTTTTAATTTTTAATAAAATTCTTGGAAACAATTCAATTACCTACTTTAAAAAATAATAAAATTTTTCACAAGAATTCAAATATTTTCAAAAATAATAAAATTGTTAACAAAAATTCCATTATTTTCGTAAATAATAATATTCTCTAAAGAAATTCAATTATTTTTTAAAATTATAATAAAATTCTTTACAGGAATACAATTATTTTCATACGTAATAAAATTCTTAGAAAAAATTTAATTATTTTCCGTAAATAAAAACATTTTTAGCAAGAATTCAATTATTTTCAAAATTTATTTAAAAAATTCATCACATTAATTCAGTTTATTTTTATAAATATAATAAAATTCTTTACAAGAATTCAAAGATTTTCTAAAATAATAAAAAATCCGTCGGAATTTAATTATTTTCATAATACAATTTCAATAATTATCTTCAATGCAATTTTAATTAAATTCCTCGAAAAAATTGTAATATTTTTGAAAATGGGATTATAATTCTTCGAAGCAATTAAATTATATTCATAAATTTTTAGGCAAGAATTATAATTACTTCTGATTCCAAATTTACGTTCAATTTAGTTTCGTATCGATCCGAAACTAAATTATTTTTGCTTTGAATCTTACTAACTAAAACGATCTAAACTTTCGTTTCGGTCCCTGTTTTGAATACTAAACAATTGTTTAAAGAAAGTAAAGCAAAAGAAAATAGGAGGAATGTAAATAGAGGAGAGAAAAGAAATAAAAAAAACATTATTTTAAAAAAATAATAAATTCGTTTTTTAAACATTTTTGCCGTGTTTTTTAGGAATTCCGGAAATTACAAAAGACTCGGCTAGTGAGAATTATAGTGAAGAGGACGATCCAACAAGAAGGGGTAGAGGAATGGTGCAAGGACAACGCTACGGTTATCGCGGCGATCCTTATGCACCGAGAACACCAGAAGTTCATCGATCAACTAAAACAGCTTCAACAATGAGATCGCAAGATCCATATTACGATCAGACAGGTAAATTATATTTCGCTACTTAAATTTTACTTCATTTCAAGATCAAACAGGTAAATTAGATTTCATTATTTAAAAGTCGATCGAGTTCGGTGTAACAGTGAAGAGATAATTTTCAGTTGCGAGTCAAAGGGGAAGAGGACAGATGCATCGGGGAAGAGGAGCACAAGCTCAAGGTGTGTCTCATCATCAACCTGGTGGCGCTCAACAAGCCAATATGAGGACAAGATGGTTTATTGCTCTCTACGATTATGATCCAACTACCATGTCACCCAATCCTGACGCTTGCGAAGAGGAATTGCGATTTAATGAGGGCGATAGTATTAAGGTTCGTCCATCAAAAATATTTTCCTATTTTTTTAATTTTTCCTTATTTCAGTCTTTTATTTTTTTTCTTTTCCTTTTTCTTTCCTTTTTCTCATTAGATTTTCATTTCCCTTTTTTGGTTTCCTTCTATTTTTTCCTCTACTCTTAATTAAGATTTTTGAAAATTTTTAGTTCAAACTTTTTTGAAATTAAGTAACTTTTAAGAATATTTCTTCATGTTTTATAATAATTTAAAGACCACCGTGTGATAAAATCATTATTTTATATTATAAGAATATTTTTACAGTAACTCCTTCAAAATTATTTTCATCATTTCAATTCAATTATTATTTTCTAGAAATGTTAACTAAAATTATTCTTTAAATCAATTATTTTTAATAAATCTATTTGTTTACAATTCAATTTTACAAAATATAATAAAATTCCGATTATAATCTAAAATTTTAACTGGTATTCAATTTTAAATCAATTTTTATTAGAAAATTCTACGAGAATTCAATTATTTAAATACAAAAATTGAATAATTTATTGAGTCAATAAATGTTTCTTAAAATAAAGAATAATTACATTTTTCAAGAGGAATTCAATTAAAATTATATTAAACATTTTTAAATAATTGAATTTTTGCAAAGAATTTTATTATTTTCAAATGTAATTGAATTCTTGTGAAAAATTTTATTATTTACGAAAATTATTGACCTGATGCTAAGAATTTCATTATTTTTTGAAATAATTGAATTCTTGGAAAGCATTTGATTATTTTTGAAAGAAATTGAATTGTTTAAAAGAAATTAATTAAAAGTTTAAAAAAATTTTAAACTATTAAAATTCTGCCATGAGTTTTATTAGTTTTGAAAATAATTGAATTTCTAAATAGAATTTTACTATTTATAAAAATAATTGAATTTCTGTGAAAAATTTGATTAAATAACATAATTGTTCTTTTGCTAAGAATTGAATTATTGCAAAAAATATTATTATTTATGAAAATAATTGAATTCTTGCGAAGAAATTTATTATTTTTGAAAAGAATGAAATTACTGTGAAGAATTTTGTTAAAACTTTTAAAAATAATTGAATTACTGCGCAGAATTCGATTACTAAGAATTTAATTAAATTTGAATTTTTGGAAAGAATATTATTATTTATGAAAATAATTGTATTTTTGTGGGTAATTTTATTTGAAATTCTGGAAAATAATTGAATTTTTGTGGGTAATGTTAGCTGAATTTCTTGAAAATAATTGAATTTTTATATTAGCAATTTTAATATTATTTAAAATAATGGAATTTTTGTGATTAATTTTATTATTTGAGAAAGTAATTGAATTTTTGTAAAGAATTTTTTTTTAAATACTTGAAAACAATTGAACTTTTGCTAAGAGTTTAATTATTTAAGAAAATAATTGAATTATTGATAAGAATTTTATTATTTTTAAAAATAATTGAATTCTTGCTAAGAATTTAAATATTTTTGAAAATAATTGAATTCTTGGGAAGCATTTGATTATTTTTCAATGAAATTAAGTTGTTTAAAAGAAATTAATTAATAGTTATGAAAATTTCAAAATTATTGAAATTCTGACATAAGTTTTATTATCCATGAAAATAATTGAATTTCTGTGAAAAATTTTATTAAATAACATAATTTTTCTTTTGCTAAGAATTTAATTATTTTTTTAAAAAATTGAATTTTTTGAGAAGAATTTTATTATTTATTAGAATAATTGAATTGTTGGTTAGAATTTGATTAAAATTCGTAAAAATGATTGAATTTTTGCTAAGAATTTCATTATTCTTGAAAATGATTGAATTCTTGCGAAGTAATTTATTATTTTTGAAAAGAATTAAATTGCTGTGAAGAATTTTGTTAAAACTTTCAAAAATAATTGAATTACTGCGCAGAATTTTGTTACTATTGAAAATATTTGCATTTTCTTAACCAATTCTGTTGAAATTGTCGAAAATTGATCACAATAATTGAATTCCTGTGATAATTTGATTATTTATGAGAATTATTTTTTAAAATAATGAAATGTTTACGTCGAGTTTTATCAAAATATCGTTGAAATAATTGAATTCTTTTGGAAAATTTTATTAAAACAGTAAATATTGAAAATCATTGAATTAAAGAGAATTTTTGAAAATAATTGCTAGATTTAATTTTTCCTTAATCTGTCGTTTTCTATTTCTTTCTCTACCTTTTCTTTTTTCTATTTTAATAAATTTAATTTAATTTATTACAATAATATTCTAACTAATTTATGAAAAGAAATTAAATTAAAATAAAATAAATTTGAGTGTATATTTAATTATTTAGGAATCCGTATAATAATTTTCGATTTACGAAGTAAAAATAGAAAAAATTGATAGGTTATTGGCGAGAAGGATCCAGACGGTTTCTACTGGGGCGAGTGTCGCGGAAGACGAGGATTTGTACCGCACAATATGGTCGAGGAAATGAAGGATCAAAATCAAGGTGGACAGGTTCAAGGTCAGCAAGGAAGAAGAGGACAAGTACCCGGCGACAGATGGGGCGACATTTATTCGAATGTGACGTCCAAGAGAATGATCGCTCTTTACGATTACGATCCTCAGGAGTTGTCGCCCAATGTCGACGCCGAAGTAAGTAAATTCTATTTTTTCAGTATATTATTAATTTTTCTCATATAAATATATATTTTCTTTTTTTTTTTTACTTTTTTTTTATTTCTCTTTAATAAATATAAATATATAATCTCATATAAAACATGTCTATATTTTTAATAAATGAAATGAAAAATAATAATAATAAATAATTGAAATGAAAAATTGCAGCAAGTAGAACTGTCATTTCAAACTGGAAATGAAATTATTGTTTATGGAGACATGGATCCCGATGGTTTTTACATGGGTGAATTGAATGGAGTTCGTGGTCTTGTACCAAGTAACTTTTTGACAGAGGCTTGTAATCAAACTCCAGGGCCGCAAGGCCAAGGGAGCAGAAGACCTCCAGGCCAAGGCCAAGGGCCTGGTGCAAGAGGTCCTCCTCCTCCCCCACGAGAACCCCCACCTCCAGGTCATCGACGTAATAAAGGTAGAGAATTTTTTTTTTCAATAATCCTCTTCAATTATTTCTGTCTCTTAACGCCGGATGCCGCGGCGTTGTTTTTAAAACTTTACTCGCACTGATATTTGCAAAAATCACAAAATAAACTAAAAAATACAAAATTTTAAATATTAAATTCAATAAATAATAAATTATTATTAATTAATAAATCAAAGATATATTAATATTTTTGATTTATAAATTACTATATTTTTTACTTATTATTAATTAATATGCTTTTAATTTATTAATTAGTTATTAAATTATCAGTGCGACTAAAGGTTATAAAAAGTAGACGGCAAGCAATACAAGACACGAGACTCGATGTGCCAGACGACAGGCAGATGGGTCACAGGAAAACGTACAAAAGTACTTGTATATTATAATCACGAATATTTACACAAAAATTTACATCACTTGAGTAAAAAAAGAAAGGAAAAATAAAAACCTTGCCAACATTATTGAATTCCCGGGACGAGACATTGCTTCGCGATTTTTTGCATTGCACTGTGTGTGTGTGTGACAAATTTTTTACTAGAGTGTCTGCACCTTTGATAAAAATTTTTTTACTACTTCAAATAATGACGAATTTCAAACAATTTTAAACAACGTTCTCAAATATGTTAAAATTTAAATGAATGATATAAAATGAACGATTTAAAATTAATTATTAAGTAGATAAAAGAATTATTTAAATAAACATTGTTGAGTGGATAACAAAATTATTAAATGTAAAGAAAATAAATTAAATAGCCAAAGAATGAAAGTAAACTAAAAATTTTCCCAACACAAAGAAATAATATTTACATGTACGCACGAGTTCGACTCATTAATAAAATTCAGTATAGGGATTTAGGTGAACAAAAAAAAATTGAAATGTTGGCAAAGGGCAAGAGCCTGGCATATAGGAACACACGACAAAATGCAATGAACACCAAGCTGCTTTCAATGTATTCTATTAAGTATATACATATATTTGTTCTCTCTCTCTCCGAGCACTTACTGGCTCCATTACTTCTCTACATCTGTCCTATTTTCTCTGTCTATATATATATATATATACATAAAAATTTATTTTATATAAATATATATAATATATATTATAAACATTAACGCTCGGAATTGTACGGAAACTCCTTTTTAATTCTCTGTCTTTTTCCAATTTCACTAAAATTAATTTTATATTTCAAAGAATTTTATTTTCTCACTTTAAAAAATTATTCTTAAATATTATTGTATTTTTTCAAGAATTGTAACTAAAAATTTGGTAAATAATTAAATTTTACAAAAATTTTTCTATTAACATAATTTAATTATCGTTGAATTCAAATGAGAATTAATTTAAAAAAGAATTAAAATTTTCGAAAATAATTCAATATTAGAAGCGTTATAACTGGATTTTTAAGAAATAATTGAATTTATTCGAATAACTAGCAAATGTTACGCGCGCTAGAGCGCGGGACGTGATATTCAATTTATTATTGTTATGCAAATTAAAAAAATTTTTATTTCCAAATATATATTTGAATTCAATTATTTTTATAATTAGCAAAACTATTTGCAGGAATTCAATTATTTTCAAAACAATTTTAATTGAAGTCCTCGTAAGAATTCAATTCATTAAAAAAAAATTTCAATACATTTCGAATAAATTCAATTATTTTCTAAAATCTTTAATAAATCTTTCGAAACAATTCAATTATTTTTATAAGTAGTACAATTCTTCGGAAGAATTCAATTATTTTTAATAGTAAAATTATTTGCAAGAATTCAATTATTTTCAAAACAATTCAAATAAAAAATATTTTTCTATAAAATTCAATTATTTTTAAAAATTTTAATAAATTCTTCGAAATAATTCAACTATTTTTAAAAATACTAAAATTCTTTGTAGGAATTAAATTATTTTTAATCTAATTTAAATAAAATTACACGAAAGAATTTAATTATTTAAAAAAATTTCTCTAAAATTTCTATGCAATTTTTAAATATATTCGTTTAAAAAATTGAAAGAATTCAATTATTTTAAAAAACGAATAAATTTCTTCTAATGAATTCAATTATTTTGAATATACTTAATTTTTATAAAATTCTTTACAGAAATTCAATTATTTTCGAAACAACTTCAATTGAATTTCGCGAAAGAATTTAATTATTTTCAAATATTTCTATAAAATTCTTCAAAACAATTCAATTATTTCCTAAAATTTTAATAAATTCTTCGAAACATTTTAATTATTTTTATAAATAGTAAAATTCTTCGCAAGAATTAAATTATTTTTATAAATAGTAAAATTATTTGCAGGAATTCAATTATTTTCTAAAATTGTAATAAATTCTTCGAAATAATTTAACTATTTTTAAAAATATTAAAATTCTTTGCAGAAATTCAATTGTTTTCAAAACAATTTTAATAGAATTCTTAGAAAGAATTTAATTATTTTCAAATATTTACATACAATTCATTTATTTCCTAAAATTTTAATACATTCTTTGAAACAAATTCAATTATTTTTAGAAATAGTAAAATTCTTTGCAAGAATTAAATAATTATTTTTATTAATATTAAAATTCTTCTCATTAATTCAATTATTTTCAATACAATTTTGATAAAATTCAATTGCTTTCAAAATTTTTAATTAAACTGATTAAAGAAACTTCATTATTTTGAAAAAATTTTAAGAAATTCTTCAAAAGAATTTAATTACGATTAGTAAAAATTTTAATAAAATTCTTCGCAAGAATTCAATTATTTTCGAAAAAAGTAAAATTCTTCGAAGAATTCAATTATTCTCTTCAAATTTTTTGATAAAATTCTTTGCAAGAATTCAATGATTTTCAATACACTAATTTTAAAATTGAAAATATTTCAAAACAAAAGTTTTTAAAAAGTTAAACACAAAAGCAAACAACTAACTTCAAACTGCGAACAGATTACCGGAATACAACGATTATTAATATAGATTTTATTAAATAATTTAAAAAAATAATAGAATTTCTGCGAGAAATTTCACTGCTTATAAAAACAATTAAATTCTTCCAAAGAATATTTAAGAATTTATTATTTATGTTTTGAATTTTTTTGAAGAATTTTATGAAATACTTGAAAATAATTAAAAATTTTGCGAACAATTTAATTATTTATGAAGCTAATTGAATTTTTGTTATGAATTTTATTTAAAATTCTTGCTAAATAATTTTAATATTTTTGAAAATAATTTAATTTTTGGGAAGAATATTATTATTTATGAAAATAATTGAATTTTTGTGGTGAATTTTATTTGAAATTCTTAAAAGTAATTGAATTCTTGTGTAGAATTTTATTAAAACTTTTTTAAATAATTGAATTTCAGAGGAGAATTTTATTATTTAAGAAAATAATTGAATTTTTGTGAAGAATTTTGTTAAAATACTGGAAAATAATTGAACTTTTGCTAAGAATTTAATTATTTAAAAAAATAATTGAATTATTGCTAAGAATTTCATTATTTTTAAAAATAATTGAATTTTTAATTACCTACTTGAAAAAGAGGAGTTTTGTATAATTTCCGACAATAATGTATTATACACTATATTATATCATATACAATATATATTATAAATTATACATACTCATTATATTTCTTTATCGACTGATTATATACTACGATCACGTTGCTGTATAATAATGACAATGTGTATATTCTCTCTCTTTCTCTTATTTCTATATATTCCGACAATATTTGTCTCTGTGTGCCTGAACTGGTCGATGGTCGTCGTGTCACATGATTGTCGTTCGTGTCGTGTTGTCATGCTGGCCATTTACAATAATAACAATGATAATAATAATTATTCACATTTTTATACTTTTTCAATCGTCAAAAATTTGCAAAACAAAAAAAAATTACACGCGATTCTTTTTTTAACAATAAGAATTTTTTCTAATGCGCAAATAGCTTCGACCGTACTGATTATAAATTCCTTCACAACCAATTTCTTTTTTTTTCAAAAATTGTTTGTTTTTTGCGAATTAAATTAAACGAAATGACTAAAAGTAAATTTAGTTTATTCAAAGAAATTGATTTCTGTTTTCGATAATTTCAATTTCAATTTCAATTTCAAATTCAAACTTAAATTCAAATTTAAATTCAAATTCAATTTTAATTCTAATTTTCAAATTGGATTTTCATAGTTTTTCTGAGGATATCAAATTGAGACAAGAAACGAATCAAAAATGTTGCTTCGCAACACTTTTGACACGTTTTTTGCCTCAATTTGATATCCCCAGGAAAACTGGGTTGATAAATTTTTTACTGAAATTGAAACAAGAAATTGATGATTAAAAATTGTGGAAACTTTTTTTCCGGAGAAATTAATTGATGATGATTAAAAATTTTCGGAAATTATTTTTTTGTGGGAGAAATTAATTAATGATGAGTAAAAAAAAAGAATTTTTCGGTAATTCTATTTTTCGGGGAGAAATTAATTGACGAAAATTAAAGAAAAAAATATTTTTGGAAATAATTTTGTTTTCGGGAGAAATTTTTCAAGTACGGTAGAAGCAAATTGCGCGGGAGAAAATGAGCCATGAATGACAACACGGTTCTGTTCTCTTCTCTGTTGCTAGATGCCTGCATTGTGCCTGTGTCTGTCCCTGTCTGTCACTTAGACTCTAGACAACTACAACAACAACCACTAATGAACAACCAACAACATCAACTACAATATCAACAAAACAATCCACCGCATCTAGCGTACCAACAAGCGAATCACCACAGCTACACGACTGTAACCACGTCAAATCAACATGGACCCATGGGTGTACATAATGCCCATCAGCAAGGTACCATGCCACCCCATCTTCAACAACAGGTGAGTGCACTTGTCCCAAAAAAGAAAAAAAGAAAGGAAAAAATATTAAACCAAACGGACCGACATACAGAAATTTGCATTTTTTTTATCATCGATTTTCCGGTCTTTCGAAAAAGAATTAAAGAATTTACCAAGTTTATTAATAGGGTGTAGATATTATTTTTATTATTTATAATAGAATTTTCACCACTTTTTTGTATTAATTATTTATTTATTTTTTTTTTTTTGGTAAAGTTGAAGATTTTTTTTAGATATTTGTCATTTTAGTATAGTACTGCTACTTTTTAGTTGATAAATTTTTGCTAATTATAGCTCTAGGGAATTTTTAACAAGTAACGAATTTATTAATAAAAAACAGTAAACCGAAGAACTCTTTCGTAGTCAAAATGATGTTTTAGGACCGCATGTTGCATAATCTCTGGCTGCTTTGTGACTTTTCGACGCTTTTTTTCAATGCCTACAATTTTTTTTTTCGCTACGCAATCATTTTGACTATCTAAGAGTTCATAGAAATTAGAAAGCATTCGTTCTATTCTAGACAAATTTAGTATTTTTGGTATTTAATTTTTTTATCAATTTTTTTTTGTATTTAATTTCTAAAAATCGTTTTTGTATTTTTTTAGTATTTATTTTCCTGTATTTTTTTAGTATTTACTTTCCGTATTTGTTTAGTATTTACTTTTTTCAATATAAATTTTCGGTACTGAATCGGATTATAATTTAATCGCAGGCGAAATTAGAATTTCCCAAAAATGATTGGAAATTAATTTTTGAACTTTGAAAAGTTTTTAAGGCTTCTCTTCACTTTTGTTACATTCTCACATATATTCGCTTTTCGCTTTGAAAATGTCTGTTTTTTTGTGGATAATCTCACTGCCGTATGTCACGCAAACACTAACATATTATTTTTGTAAAAATAGAAAAAATAATTATTAATGAAAAACTGTAGTTTCCGTAACTAGAAAATAAACCGATCGATAGGCGCAAAAAAAAGACTACATCGATATTAGTAAATAAGTTCCCGGAAAAAAATATTTCTGAAAAATAATTATTTTTCTTTATATGGAAAACAATTGGAAAATATTCCATTCGTTACTTTTTTTTCTTTAGTTTGTACAATAATAGGCAAATTGATAATTTGAAATATTTAGACGATAAACGCTATATTTTTGATTAATTTTTTTTCTCTGCATGTTGAGTCTGCATTTTCAAAAAAATGTTTATAAACTGGAGTTTCGAGTAACGACCGAAAAATTATTTTATTTTTATTTTTGAGAAAAAAGTACCTAACTTTCTCTTGCAAGAAGTAATTTTTTTTTGTAAACTTTCTTTTTAGATTCGCATCACACGAGAAAATGCAAATATTTTTGTTAATAAAAATTTCGAAAAGATATTTCTACATTTGCAAATGGAGAAAAATGTTTTTTCGACGAATAAAACGAATTTGTATATAAAAATTAGTCGAAAAATTTTTTTAAGTAGAAATTGAAAATAATAAGACTAATAAAAATCCCAATGGGTGAACATTAATTTAATTCGGAATAAAATTTTATTCGACGGGAAAATCGAAAGTAAAGAAATACGTATTTTAATTCTTAGTGGACAAATAAATATAAATATCAATAAATATTTAGATATTTATTCAACAAAAATTAATGAAATTTGAAAAATAATAAAATTTTACAAACAATTTTTTATTATGTAACAAGAATTGATTTAAAAAAGAATTTCAGTTAAAATTTTTAAAAATAATTGAATTTTTTCGAATAATTTTAATAAAATTTTTTTAAAATAACAGAATTCCTGCAAAGAATCTTACTAATTATAAGAATAATTAAATTCTTCCAAAGAATATTTAAGAATTTATTATTTATGAAAATAATTAAATTTTTGGGAACAATTTTATTTATTTATTTTAAGAAACATAACGGGACATATTTTGTTGAAATATTTCAAATAATTTGAATTGTTTCGAAGAATTTAATTATTTTTGAAAATAATTGGATTTTTGCCAAAAATTTTATTATTTATGAAAATAATTGAATTTTTGAAAATGAATTTTATTTGAAATATTTGAAATATTTATTCTGAAAAATAATTCAATTCTTGCTAGGAATTTTAATATTTTTAAAAATAATTGAATTTTTGCTAAGAATTTCATTATTCTTGAAAATAATTGAATTTTTGCTAAGAATTTCATTATTTTTGAAAATAATTGAATTCCTGTCAAGAATTTTGTTAAAACTTTTTAAAATAATTGAATTTTTGCAAAGCATTTTATTATTTTTGAAAAGTAATTGAATTTTTGTAATGAATTTTATTATTTGTCAAAAATAAGTGAATTTCGGTCAAGAATTTTGTTAAAACTTTTAAAAAAAATTTAATTTTTGCGAAGAATTTTATTATTAATGAAAATAATTAAATTTTTTTAATGAATTTTATTGGAAATTCTGGAAAATAATTGCATACTAGCTAGGAATTTTAATATTTTTGAAAATAATTGAACTTTTCCTAAGTACTTAATTGTTTTTGAAAATAATTAAATTCTTTCGAAGAATTTTATTATTTATAAAAATAATTGAATTTTGGTCAAGAATTTTATTATAATTCTTAAAAATAATTGAATTTTTTCTAAGAATTTCATTATTTTTGAAAAGTAATTGAATTTTATTATTTGTCAAAATAATTGAATTCCTGTCAAGAATTTTTGTTAAAACTTTTTAAAATAATTGAATTTTTGCAACAAATTTTATTATTTTTCGAAATAATTTAATTTTTGTAATGAATTTTATTTGAAATTCTGGAAAATTATTGAAATCTTGCTGGGAATTTTAATATTTTTGAAAATAATGGAATTTTTGGGAAGAATTTTATTTTATTTTATTATTTGTTTTTTTTCTCTGCATGTTGAGTCTGTATTTTCAAAAAAAATGTTTACAAACTAGAGTTTTGAGTAACGATCGAAAAAGTATTTTATTTTTGAGTAAAAATTAATTTTCTCTTGAGGAAATAATTTTTTTTCTAAACTGTCTTTTTAGATTCGCATCACATGAGAAAGTGCAAATATTTTTGTTAATAAAAATTTCGAAAAGATATTTCAACATTTGCAAATGGAGAAAAATTTATTTTTCGACGAGTAAAACGAATTTGTGGATAAAAATAAGTCGAAAAATTTATTTAAGTAGAAATTGAAAATAATAAGAATTAAATTGCAAATTGAATTAAAAATTAAGGAAGTTTAATAAAAATTAATTTAATCCGGAATAAAATTCGATTCATCGGGAAATTCGAAAGTAAATAAATGTAAACTATCGAACCTGACGAATGAATAAAAATGGTTTTTAATTAAAAGAAGAAACTAAGAGAACTTGATATTTTTCAGGGGAGGGGGAGAGGCGTGGGCAATCGGGTCGTTGGTAGTAACATGCCGGGTGGTCTTCAGGGTTCGCCGCATCTCCAGCAACAACAGGTTCAGCCGGGAAATCAACCCTATCAACAGCAAATGCAACAGAATCAACAGAATCAGGGCTATCAGCAACAGCAACCGCAAGGCTACCAGCAGCAAGGCTTTGGTCAACAGAATCCACAATTTCAACAACAGCAACAGCAGCAGCAACAAAAACAGCAACAATACCAACAAAATCAAGGCCCATCGTTACAGGGTCCTCAGGGTCAAAATAAACCAATTCGTGGAATTCCCGCTGTTATACCAACTGCGCAATCGACGCAACAATTGCCACAGCAACAACAATCGCAACAACAACAACAGCAACAACAACAAGCCGCCGGACCGAATCTCATGCAAAAATTCACCGAAATGGCAGGAGCAAGCGCTGGCGGTGATATTCTCTCGAAAGGAAAAGAACTCATCTTTATGAAATTCGGTTTAGGCAAGTGAGTCTTTGTCTGGATTTTATTTCCAAAAAATGTGTTGTCTCTCTGTTTCTTGAGTTTGGAGTAAGAGAAAAAAAAAATTATTACCAAAAAAAATAATCGTTTTCGAAGGTCCATCGGTATGTGACCGAAAAACGAATTTCACATATCTCGTTCCTGGACAATGTATAGACGAAGAGAGGAGACTGTATAGACTATAAAAAAATAAAATTATTATACATATATAAATATATATTATAAAAAAAGAAAATTATTCACAATGATGAATTTTTTTCCGCCACAATGTTGTTGCTGCTGCTGCTACTGCCGCCGACGCTGCTGTTTTGATAATAATGTATGTACAGGGTTGCCACTGGTCAGGGAGTTCAGAGAAAAGTCAGGAATTTTTATTAAAAGGAAGGGAAGAAATTTAATTTTTATAATTCATAAGAAAATTCTGAATTTTTTGTTTGACACATAAACTATGAAATTTCCACGAATTTTAATACAAAACCTTCAAATCTTTCTATTTCTGACAATAATTTCTTTTCAAATAATTTAATTCTTGAAGTCAAAAAAGTTATTACTTATAAATCATTTAATGAATAATTTTACTTAAATATTTCAAAATTAATTGAATTTTAAAAGAGTTGCGTTCACAATTTTCATAAATAGATGAACTTTAAAAGGTTTTAATTTAAAATTTTATAAAATTTCAATTTTCAATTTATTTAATTGGAAATTATAAAAAATTTAGATTTTTGAGAAATTTCAATAATTCAAATTCTTCTGAAATTATAGTTAAATTTTTTATTATATATTTGATTAATTATTAAAAATAATGGAATTATAAAAGAATTTTAGTTAAAGACACTAAAAAATTGAATTTTTGAAAACTTACAAATTGCTCGCAGAAATTCAATTATTTTCAAAAGTAATAAAATTATTCTTTACAGATATTCAAATATAATAAAAATTTTTTTTATAAAATTCTACACAAACATTTAATTACATATATTCATAAATAATCAAAATTACACAGAAATTAAATTATTTTTATTAAATTTATCGAAAGAATTTAATTTTTAACAATTTCAACAGAATTCTTTATAAAAATTCAATTATTTTCATAAGTAATAAAACTCTGCACAGAAATTCAATTCTTGTTAACAACTTCATTAAAATTTTTGAAAATAATTAAATTGTTTTGAAGAATTTAATTATTTTTTCAAAATAATTGAACTTTTGCTAAGAAATTAATTGTTTATAAAAATAATTGAATTTCTTCGAAGAATTTTTTTATTTATAAAAATAATAGAATTTTTGTAAAGAATTTTATTAAAATTCTTGAAAATAATTGAATTTTTGCTAAGAATTTCATTATTTTTGAAAATAATTTAATTTTTGCTAAGAAATTAATTGTTTATGAAAATAATTGAATTTTTTCGAAGGATTTTATAAAAATTCTTGAAAATAATTAAATTTTTGCAAAGAATTTTACTATTTACAAAAATAATTTAATTCTTCCGAAGAATTTTATAACTTATAAAAATAATCGAATTTTTGCGAAGAATTTTGTTATTTCTGAAAATAATTGAATTCTTGCTAAGAATTTTATTAAATTTTCGAAAATATTTAAATTCTTGCAAAGAATTTTATTATTCATGAAAATAATTGAATTTTTGAAAATAATTTTATTATTTACGAAAATAATTGAAATTTTGCTAAGAATTTAATTATTTATAGAAATAATTGAATTTTTGCGAAGAATTTCATTATTTTTTAGAATAATTGAATTCTTGTAAAGAATTATATTATTACAACTTTTTAAAATAATTTAATTTCTGAGCAGAATTTTATTACATCAAAAAATAATTGAATTATTGTTAAGAATTCTGAAAATAATTGAATTTTTAAAAATAATTAAACTTTAGCTAAGAACTTAATTGTTTATGAAAATAATTGAATTTTTTTTGAAGAATTTAAAAAAAAATTTTGAAAATAATTGTATTGTTTCAATAAATATTTGTAATTATTATGAAAATAATTCAATTCTTGTGAACAATTTTATTAAAATTTTTGAAAATAATTGAATTGTTTCGAAGAATTTTGTTATTTTCGAAAATAATTGAATTTTTACTAACAATTTCATTATTTTTGAAAATAATTGAATTTTTGCTAAGAATTTCATTATTTTTGAAAATACTTAAATTCCCATCATGAATTTTATTAAAACGTTTAAAAATAATGAATTTCTTTGCAACATTTTATTACTTATGATAATGTTTAAATGTTTGTAAAAAAATGCTGCTCAGAAATTAAATTATTTTTAAAAGTTGTAATATAATTATTTTCAGGAATTAAATTATTTTCAATAATTATGAAATTCTTAGTAAAAATCCAATTATTTTCATAAACAACTAAGTTCTTAGCAAAAGTTCAATCATTTTCAAAAATTTTAGTTAAAAATTGTAGAAAATAATAATTGAATTGAAATTATGAAAATAATTTTGAACAAGTTACAGTAAAAATTTTCTTATAATATAAAATAATGATTTTATCACACGGTCATTTATAATAATATTTTTATTAGTTATTGAATTTCAAAAAGGTTTAAAATTGAAATTTTTGGAAATCTTAATTCCTATGAAAGAATAATAATGATTAATTATTTATTTTAAACAGAAATTATTGACATTTTCGAATAATTTTACAATTAAAGAAATTCGTAAATAAAAGTAATAGAACATTTTTTTGAGTATTTAATCATTTTTAGAATGAATCAGAATATTTTTTAAGAATCAGGAATAAAGTCAAAATTTTGTCTGGAAATCAGGGAAATACAAAATTAAATTTTTGTGGCAACCCTGAATTATAAAAATATATACATATTATCCATTCGGCACGATGTTCATTCTGATAAAAATGATCATCTTCACGAACGAACGAACGAAATACGAAACAATTGTCGTCCTAAATGACTGACGTCGTCCGAGTCTGTCGATGATGCCCGTTAGTCCGCAGAGGTTTAAGAAAATGAAGAGTGAAAATGAAAGGCTTTTTTTTAAACAAAAAAAAAATATTAGGTCTACGCCTAATATAAATAATATTAATATACATAAATTAGTCCAAAATGAACAATAAGTATAGAACCTCGTTTTTTTCTTCCAAATCGATTCCTCGCATGAATGGAAAACACGTTTTGAAGGAACTTGTTAGAAAAAAAATTTCGTACTCGATGTCAAGAGAAAAAAAAACCCTCCCTTCTCTCTCGAAAAAAAATTTACCAAAAATAAGACTTTCAATTAAACAAGACTTCTATAAAATTATATATAAATCTAGACAGTTTAAACTCTCTTTCCTGCAAAATAGGCTTAATGTTGAGATTATTAATTCCTACGAAAAAAAAAATTTCTTATTGTACAAGCAAAAAAAAAATTGTTTTCATTTGGAAAATTGTGAAATTAGGAAACTGCGGACGTGATAGGATGAAAAATACCATCAAATGTAGTTATCGAATAGTACGATAGTATTAATGATAAAAAAAGAAGAAGAAAAAGAAGATGATGATGGTGATGATGATGAACAGGAAGCGGGCGTGCCTTGAGATGCCTCACCCTGACACAAACAATAATCATATCTATTAAAATTTAATGAAGCTAATTGTTAATTTGTCGAGTATGTTTCTGAATGAAGAATGATTGCCTAGTTCTCCTAGTTCGACAATTGAAACGATTATCAAAAATTTGTCGTTCTTCGAGGGAAAAAAAATTTTATTGAATACGGCGTTTTCTTTTTTTCCCCTCAAGCTTTTTTTGAATTTTACCAGCAAGTCTAAGGACCTTGAATCCTAATCAATTTGTCGGTAATCTTTCTCTCTCTTTGAAGAAAAAAAAAATTATGAGTCGTATTTACGCAAAGCTCTGAAAGTTAAGACAGATTGTTCATGTCCAAAGACAACTGTCAACCACCACGAAATTCAAATTTCTTTTAATCAAATTATTTGTACAGAAAACATTTATAAAAAATAAGATTTTTAAAAATTTATTAGAAAATTTCAATCTACTTTTTATTCACAATTCTTTCAGAATTAATGAAATTTCATTTTCCCTAGCAATATTGTTAAAGAAGAAAATATTTTATGCACGAGATGAAAGATTGATAAATAATTAAAGATAAAATATTGTCTTCTTAAAAAAAAAATTACCTTTTCTAAGTTCAATACGAGTGTAAATAAATATTTAATTTTTAAGTATAACAGCTGTTATTATCAATATTTGCAAAAAAAAATATTGATAAATACGAATTTATTATATACCTGTTATCATTAATAATATTAGCAATTTGATAGAAAATCTTCTTAAATTATAACCAATGATAAATATAATAGCTTTGAAAAAAACGAAATGATGAATGAAATTGTCATCAAAAAACGAATATTGTTGAGAACAGTTTTTAATTTAAATAGTTTAAAAAACAAAGAATATAATGTAATTAAAAAAAACTGTTAAATACGTTTCAATTTACAGAAATTCAAATTTTATTAGTAACAATTAAATGTTTTCAAATATATTGAAAACAAGAGGAAAATAAATTTTTTTTTGTTTTGATTATTTCGTGGTGGTGTACATATTGAAATATTATTCGCTAAAAACCTAAATAAAAATAAGGAAAAAAAAAATGTTAAGAAAATCCACTCGACTATCACTTTTCAGATTTTTGAAAATTGTAAGTTGCAAACTATTCTGTCGCATTTCAAACAAAACTAAATAAATAAGTAAACAAAAAAAAAGTCTTTAGCTTGCTATCGCATATACGTATATGACGATGCGCCGAAATACACCCGCCAAAATCTGTCGCAGCTGTTTACCATTAATCGTGTAAAATTTAGAAAAAAAAATTTATTATTAATAATATTGTTTAACACTATTATTAATAGTAAACAAAAAAATTAATATTTGATTATGAAAAATATATGCATTACCGTTAGAAATTATTTGAGAAATAACTTTCAACTTTTTTTATTTTTAAGAAAAAGAATATTTTTTTCAAATTCTAAATAGTTATAATTATAATTATTCTAAAACTAATTCGAAATTAATAAAATTAATGAAATTAATGAAATTCATAAAATCCATAAAATTCATGAAATTAATAAAATTCATGAACTTAATAAAATTTACAAAAGAATACAAATTCTAATCATAATTGTAATTATTAACCATAAATCTTTATAATTATTATTAATGACGAATTAAATTAGTTTTTAAAATTCATTTACAATGAAGAAAAAAAAATTGTAAAGTGTTAAGAGTAAATTTATAATAGTTTTAAAAAAAATCTAATAGAATTTATTACATTTTTTAACTCGTACTTGTAATTAGCTAAAAGTGAATTTAATTTTTAAAAAAGTTAATATTTCCGTTATTAGTTTGTATATTTTTTAAATATTATATATATAAATAAATATAAATAATCTAAGAATTTTTCATTATTGTGAGAAAGATCTTGTAAAAAGTCGTTATCCTATAATTTTTTTTGGTAATGAATATATAAATATATATAAAAAAAAAACATAGGAAGTATGTAAAGTCGATCGTCAATCACCGATAAATTTATACATATAATTTGTGAATAATATTTTACAATTTATATGTGTAGATAAATAAAAAAAAAATCAAGTCAAGTGACAGTTGGTGCAATATTTGCACACGTGTGTACGCATAATAGCATAATAATGATTTATAAATAATATACATATATAAATATTTGTATAAATAATAGAATATATAATATATTTAAATATTATAGTTTAAAAATAATTAAATATATTGTATAAATATTATATATACGGATATAAACATATACATACGTATACATATATTTAATTATTGCAAATCGTTGTTACATCGCTACTTATATCGTATTTTGTACAAAGTAATCTATATACCTTTAGTTTTATTTCGCCAGAGATTTACGAGAATAATAGGAGATAAGAAAACAAAAAAAAAAAATAATAAAGTTGGTACATTAATGCTGGAATGAAATTATATCTATGGCGTTTAATCAAGTTATGGGGAGAGATTTTAAGAGAATATTGAATTGAGTAAAGACAGGAGAGTGTAAGAAAAAAAAATTGTTGAGGAAAAATTCTTAAAGAATTTATTTATAATGAAGATGCGGATAAAAAGCTGATGCGCCGTTGCGCAAGAAAAAAAATTAATCGATACGATATTGCAGAGTTATGGAACATTGTACTATATCGATTTTTAGAAGATAATAAATAAATAGGTCCTCGATATTCGAAAGGCGAAACGTCGAATGAACTTGTGAAAAAATAAAAAAAAAAAAAATTAAAGGGAAAGAAAAATGAGGGTGGTGGGTCGGCGCCTCGTCAGTTTCATAAAGACGTTCGATCTTTGCTTTTCTTAAAAAAAAAAAATAAGTAAAAAGAAAATAAAAAATTCGGCTTTAAATAATCAGTGTGATTCGAAAACTCTTAGGATAAGTGCAAAGACTGCCGTATGATAATCGAGGAACTGCGAGGAATTTTTATTTCGATATTTACCTGACCGATGTACAAAGTTCAGTTTGTCTTTTAGTTTTACCTCCGATCCAATGTTCGACGGTTTTCTAGAGAATTGTAATGCGCCAAATAAATATACGTACACTCTTCAAACTCTTATTTTTTTTAGTCATTCGTTTACCTGCTTTTTTAGGAGTAGTGCATTTTTTTTTGCATTTTCGACTCTAGCACACTTTGGACTTTTTAGAATAATTTTCAAAAAAAAGCGATTTACTCGACTTATTTTAAAAAAAATGAGACTAAACTTTTTATTTTTATACACTTTCTATACTCAAAATAATTGAATTTAAAAGTGTTTCATTAAAATTTCTCGAGAATCAACTTTTGAAGAATCATAATTACAAATTTTGAAAATGATTCAATTTTCAAAGATTTTAATAAACCCTTTTCAAATGAAAATCTAAAAATAAAAAAATAATTAAAATTTGTTACTAGAAAATTAAAAAATTATATTAAAATTGTTTTAAAAAAAGATTAGAATTAATTTATAATAATTTTTTTAAAATTCAATTATTCGCAGTATTTTCAATCATAGGGTTTTCAAACATTCAAATATTTACGAAAAATAATCATAATTTTTAAAAAATCTAATTTTTTGAAATTTTTTTTAAAGTTTTAGAAGAAATAATCATTTTTATAATTTTCGATTGCAAAATTTAAAAGTACCTGCATTCTCCAAAATTTTCATAAAAAATCTTCAAATGAAAATAAAATAACTAAAATTAGCTTCCAAAAATTATATTAAAATATTTTTAAATAAAGCAATTCTCAGAATTATTTTATTATAATTTTTTAAAATTCAATTATTTTCAATATTTTCAATTCTATATTTCCGAAAATTTTAATTCATAATTTTTAAAATTTTTTTATTAAAATTATAAAGAAAACAATCGATTTAAAAATTTTTGACTGCAAATTTTGTAAGTAATCGATTTCTAAAAAATTATAGAAAAAATCTTCAAATAAAAGTTTGAAAATGAAAATTGATGGAAATTAACCTCAAGAAATTATTTTAAAATTAACTTTCAAAATTTAATTCTAAGAATATTTTTATTTTTAATTACAAATTTACAAAATTTAAATATTTACGAAAAATAATTAAAATTTCTTGAAAATACTATTTTTTAAGGATTGTTATTAAAATTTTAGAAAAAAGAATCATTTTTAAAATTTCGAAATGCAAATTTTGAAAGTAATTGAATTCTCAAAAATAATAAAAATTTATCAAACGAAAATTTGAAAATAAAAATATTGGAAATTTGCTTCACGAAATTATTAGCTTTTAAAAATTAATTCTTAGAATTCTGTCATTATAATTTTTTCAAATTCAAATTATTTTCAATATTTTCAATAAAAATTTTTTTAGAAAAATTTAAATATCTACAAAAAATTATGAAATATGTTTTTAAAGTCAAATTGTTTAGTTTAGAATTTGGTTTATTTACTTTAGAATTGTCATCAAAATTTTAGAAAAAACTATGATTGTTATCACATTTTTTTCAAATTTTGAAAAATAATTGAATTTTGAATAATTTTAAATAAACAATAATAAGTAAATAAATAAATACTTGTAATAGATTCATAAATCGCGAATAATCATTGATTCACAGAAAATCAGTAAATTTGTATTTTTCAAAAACTTCTAAAAAAAAAAAAAAAGAATTGCAGTTTTTTTAATAATGATAAAAAGATTGTTAATAATTCATTTAAAAAATCATTTTATTAATGAATTATAGTTAATAAAATGCGTATATATATAATTTTTCTTTTACCTTTTTACCGTGAGCAAACATTTTTAGTTTGTAATATATGGAAGTTTCACGGGCTACATCAAGAAGTTAAAAGTGATTAATAAATATTTTTCTTATAAATTTCATGAGTCTTCTTCCCAAACTGTTTCTGTGAGAATTGCTATATTATCCAAACCTCTCATTGGCGCGTATTCCAGATTCCACATTAAATTTGTGAAAATTACTAAAACAAAAAAAGGATTAATAGTAATATTAAAAAAATTGTCTATTATTAAAATCCTATTTTATTAGTAATCGCATATTATTATTAAAATAATCGTATCGATAATTATTTTTACAAAAAAATACAAAAAAATTACGAAACAAAATTGATTATTGTAAAATAATTTCATTATTTTTTAAAATTAATAATTTAATTACTGCAATTATTAATTTGATTTAATTTAAATAAATTGGAGCCTTATAAAATATAATTATTATAAAGTAATTTGAATACTATTTTATTGATTTATAATAATTTTACTAATAATAAAAAATTATTGATTAGGAAAAGGATTTATTTTTTAATTTTTTGAAATATAAACGTGTAAAATATTTTTTTGTTTATGAATGAGTAAAATTTTCTTTCTCTACTATAGAGGCAATACTTACACATTTCGCCTTGATGTAAATCGGCAATGAGTTCGGGACATGAACTATTACAGGGATTAATTGGCGTTAGCCTAAGCTGTGTTGCTCCTCTTAATTGAGCGAGGGCAATTAATCCCGAGTCAAGTTCAACTTTTTTGTAATTGGGACTATTGTAATCTGATGACATGAGGACCCAATTGAAGTGCGCTGGAGAGACGGTACTCGATAGAAAGTACGGTCGTTGATAATACTTCCGGAGAACTTTAACTGCATTTATGTCACAATTTTGCCAATGAACGAACCATTTTGCAACGCCTGGTGAATGAACTCTTCGTAGAAATGCTGCCAAATCTGATGAGCCTGTTCTCAGATTCGATGTCAATGAACATGGCACTGTCTCCATTAAACGTTCATTTTCCAGGTAGAGCTTCGGAAAATTTAAAGAATATAAACAATTAACATAAAAACAAAATGTAGAAAAAATTTTTCTTTTTTGGAATTTTAATTCTTTTCTCTTTTAGAATTTCAATGCTTTTCTTTTTTTTAGGATTTTAATTCTTTTCTTTTTTTAAGATTTTAATTTTTTTTATGCTTTGTTTTTATAAATTTTAATGATTTATTTCTGAATTTTCTCTTCGTAGAACGTTTGGAATAAATTTCAATAACTAAAAATTGATCATTAAAATTTAATTGTGAGATGGACTATTTTCAGAAATCGAATATTGTTTGAAATAAAATTTATAATTACGTTTGTAATATTGTCGAACCAAAAATAATCCGTATTCATGACATGCCAGGAACTCATGGCATCTGTTATGATTGCAGGTGCATCACGATTTAAATAATTGTCAACTAAATTACGATATCTCACGTCTGATAAACGATCAATGTTCTCCAATGCTTCGCAGGTCTAAAAAAAAAGAAAAATTATCTATTAACTAATTAATTAAATTATTTATTAAAATTCTATTAATAATATTTTAATATTAATTAAAAAAATATTTAACGAAATAAAATAATTACAAAGAAATAATAAATAGGAAGAATAAATTATACTATCAAGAAATTTTTAACTTAATTTAAAATAGAAAGAAACAATATTTACCACGCAATCTTCTTCAGTTACTGTATAATCGTTGTAAAATGGATTATTGATCATGCAATTTTCGTAATAAAGCGGCTGCCAATTCCAAATTGGTAAAACTTTGATTAAAAGGAGTCTGCTGACTGCGGTAAAATGCGTTCCAAGAAAATCCATTTGCGCAATTAAACAAGCCAGTGTACCAATAATAACTAAAAGTACAGTTGCCCGGAAAAATAATTGCAACCAAGATTTTCTCATTGCCGCCACCAATGGTTGACAAATAATGTCCATTTCATCTTCAGTGAAACCGGCCTGTTGACAATATCTGCAAATTTGAATAAAAAATCAAACAATTACATTTTCCCTCTAAAAGAAAAATTTTCCTTCAAATTTTACATTTCTATTAAAACTTATTTTTTTCTGCAATTAAAATTCTGGAGAAACTTCTGAAACTGATTACATTTCCTTCTTGAACAATTGACGTGACGAAAATCGAATTTTTAAAAATAAATATTACTAGTTGTTAAATGAATAAAATTACAATGATAAAGAACTAGCAAATTTTCACTTAGTGAATTAAATTATTTTCAGTAAAATTTTAATAAACTTTCAAGAAAGGATTAAATTATTTAAAAAAAATTTATTAGAAAACTTTTCGAAAGAATTTAATTATTTTCTAAAATTCTTCGTAACAATTCAATTACTTTCATAAATAGTAAAATTATTCTTCACAAAAATTAAATTCTTTTTTTAAATAAACTTCTTCTCAGAAATTCAATTATTTTCAATACAATTTTACAGGGTTGTCACAAAAAATTAATTTTCTTTTTCCCTGACTTTTCCCTGATTTCCAGACCAAATTTTGACTTTTTCCCTGACCCAAAAGAATATTCTGATTCTCTAATTGAAACCTTTTGAAATTCAATAACTTTTAAGAACAGGGCCGGCGGAACCTATATGGAGACTATGGAGCACTCCATACTCTGCCGTGGATAGAGTATGGAATTCCATAGACTAAAATCATGACACATTTTATTAATAAATATATTTTTCCAAGAAAAATTATTGAAAATAAGTTGTAGGATTCACAAATAAAGATAAATTGTTTTTGTAATGTAATATTGAATAAATTATATCAGTCAACTAAATAATTTAAGTTTTTAATTTTACCTTCCCCCCCCCCCCCGGTCATCAGTTATAAGAGCCATTGAACTCCATAGTCTAAAAAATTTAGTTCCGCCGGCCCTGTTTAAGAATCTCTATCTTCATGTTTTATAATAATTTAAATTTCTAAAAAAGTTTCAAAAAAAAGAATTAAATTATTTACAAAATTTTTAATAAAATCCTTCGTAAGAATTCAATTATTTTTATAAGTATAATACAATTTTTTACATCAATTCAATTATTTATAAAGATGTAATAAAATTCATTGTAAGAATTCAATTATTATCATAAATAATAAAATTTTTTATAGTATTTAAATTATTTTTATTACAATTTCAAATAAATTCCTCAAAAAATGGAATTATTTTCAAAAATTTTTTGCAAGAATTCAATTACATTTCACAAATAATGAAATTCTTCGCTGAAATTCAAATATTTTCAAAATCTACTATTTTAATAGAATTTCTCAAAAGAATTCAATTAATTTCATAAATAATAAAATTCTTCACTGGATTTCAATTATTTAAAAGAAATGTAATAAATATCGTTGCAAGAATTCAATTGTTTTCCTAAATAATAAAATTCTTCACAGGATTTCAATTATTTAAAAAAAATCTTATAAAATTCGTTGCAAGACTTCAATTCTTTTCCTAAATAATAAAATTCTTCTCAGGATTTCAATTAATTAATTTAATTAATTTAAAAAATTTTATTAAAATTCTTCGAAAAAAAGAAATGAACAATTATCAATTATTTTAAATTTTTTATCTGAAATTCATTTTTAAAAGAATTTCTATTAGAGAATTCAATTATTTAAATACAAAAATAAAAAAATTATGGAATAAATAAATTTTTTTCAAAATTGAATTCTCATAAAGAATTTTATCAACAAATTTTTAAATAATCGAATTTTTTCGACAATTTTTAATAAAATTTACCAGAAGAATTACATTTTTCGAGGAATTCGGTTAAAATTGTATTAAAAATAATTGAAATTTCTACTATGAGTTTTATTATTCAAAAAAATAATTGAATCTTTGTAAAATAGTTGAATTCCTGTGAAATGTTTATTATTTATAAAAATAATTAAATTTTGGAGAAGACTTTTATTATTTCTAAAGATAATTGAAATTTTGAAAAATTTTTGATCAAAATTGAATTTTTGCAAACATTTGTAACTTCTCTCAAATACAATTTTTTTAAAGTGTTTTTAACTAAAATTCTTCTATAAACCCATGATTTTTAATAATTAATTAAATATATATTAAAAAATAAAATAAAACTATTTATGAATCCTGCAAATTTAATTTTTTCCAGTACTTGAATAAAAATCCCTGACTTCTCCCTGATTTCCCTGACATGTGGCAACTCTGTTTTAGTAAAATTTCTCGAAAGGATGAAATTATTATTTTTATAAATAATAAATTTCTTCGTAAGAATTATTTTCATAAGAATTTTTATAAAATTTCTCCAAAGAATTTAATTTTTTTTAACTGTAATAAAATTCTGTAAAAAAAATCAATTATTTCCAAAAAATTTGCGTAAAATTCAATAATCAAATTTTTAATTACAATTATATTAACATACACGATTATTTAAAAAAGTTGAAAGAAATTCTTTGTAAAATTTATTGATTTTCATCATTTTTAATTTAAATTATTAAAAAGACTAGATTATTTTCAAAGAACTTGAAAGAAATTCTTCAACAGAATTTAATTATTGACGAAAAATCTATTAAAATAGTTTAAAAGAATTTAATTTTCTCTCAATAATTTTAATAAAATTTAATAATTAACCCCTTAACAGTCCATGGCCCATATATGGCCACGAAAAGTCGTGCCACCTTTGCGTCTGTGGCCATATATGGCCATCTCAAAAAAAAAATACTAAACATGATTTGATTTTAGTAGCGAAGTACATACTACTGTTTTTGGGGTCGCTGAATCCGAATCTGAAGTCAGATTTAAAAAATTCAAAATGGCGGACCCAAAATGTTGACTTCGAAAAATAAAAAAATTTCAAATTCGCTTTAAACTCGTTACTTGGGGGGTTTTCGGGGTCTCTGATTACAAATATGATGTCAGATTTTTAAAATTCAAAATGGCGGATCCAATATGGCGGATAATTTCAAGATTGATGCGATTCGATTAAAATTCGTTTCTCGGGGGTTTTTGGGGTCGCTGAATTTGAATTTGATGTTCGTTTTACAAAATTCAAAATGTTGGATCCAATATGGCGGATAATTTCAAAATTTATGCGTTTTGATCGAAATTCCGTTCCCGGGGTTTTTTGGGGTCGCTGAATTCGAATTTGATGTTCGTTTTTCTAAATGCTAAATTTTGGATTCAATATGTCGATCAAATTTTTTGAATGTTGACAAATTTGTCTAAAATGTTTACTCAGGGGTTTTTGAGGTAACTTCATATTTTTTTCGCATCAATCTTGAAATCATCCGCCATATTGGATCCGCCATTTTGAATTTTGAAAATCTGACATCATATTTGTAATTAGAGACCCCGAAAACCCCCGAGTAACGAGTTTTAAGGGAATCTGAAAAAAAATTTTTTTTTGAAGTCGACATTTTGGGTCCGCCATTTTGAATTTTTTAAATCTGACTTCAGATTTGGATTCAGCGACCTCGAAAACCCCCGAGAAATGAATTTCCCTTAAAACGCTTTAATTTTAAAATTATCCACCATATTTGGTCGCCATATTGGATCCGCCATTTTGAATTTTCAAAAATTAACCTCAAATTCGAATTCAGCGACCCCAAAAACCTTATATATGATTAAATCATATTTTTTTGTAAACTTTTTTTTCGGACCGTTTTTGGACCACAAGCGATTTTCAACTAGACTGCGAAGGGGTTAAATTATTAATTACAATTATTAAGCAACACGATTATTTTAAAAGCTTGAAAGAAATTTTTAATAAAATTCAATTACTTTCATCATTTTCAGTATTATAATTATTAAAAAAAATTCCATTATTTTCAAAAACTGCAAAGAAATTCTTGAAGCAAATTAAATTTTTTTCAAAGAGTAAATTTAAATTTAAAATAAAAGTCGTTGCAAGAATTCAATTATTTTTAATACAATTTTAATAAAATTTCTCGAAAGAATTTAATTATCTTCAATACAATTTTAATGAAATTTTTTGAAAGAATTCAATTATTTTCAATAAATTAATTTTAAAATTCAAAACATTTGAAAAGAAAAATTGTTTTAAAAATTAGGAAACAAAGAATTATTAAACAAAAAAAAAAGTAAAAAAGAAAATAAAAAAGAAATGAAAAATGCAATAAAAAATAATGAATAATAAAGGGAAAATAAAATAAAAAATAAATAAATAATTAAAAAAAAGTAAAAAATGATAGAATTGATTTATGAAAAAAAAAATGAATTGAGTTAAAGAAATGAAGAGAATTAAATTAAAAATTTCATTTGTTTTGGAAAATTTTAAGAGCTGGTAGAAAATAGAAATACCTATAAAAAGAATTAAGCTCATCATCAATAAGTTTCAACTTCTCCGAGTGAGTCATCTCGTGTGGTTCTTTCACATAGGCTTTCCGGGGGGGCTTGACACACTTATTTCCAGACATTCTGAAGGGGCTCTATTTCCCTTCTTGTAAATATTGTTGGATTTCAGTCAGATTTTTTTTATCAATCGCTCCTACAGACTAATAATGATACAAGTACTCCAACAGCTGCCTCGTTTATTTTTGTACATGCGTATATGGGGGTGGTTTTCTCCTGCGATATTGATTCATCTTCATCATCCCCATCCGCGGGACCTTTAAAATATAAAATATAAATATTTATATTAAATTTAATTATATTTATTTATATTTTTAAAATATAAATTCCATTTAATTATCGAACTAAAAAATCAATATTAATAGTAATAATAAAAATAATAATTTTAATAATAATAATAACAGCAATCTTGTTAATATTTTAATTAAAAGAAAATGAAATAAATAATACTAAAAAGAATAATAATATTAACAATAATAACCATGTAACAGTTGAGAAATCTAAAAATACAAAAAAATCGTTTCCAACAATAAAAAAAATTAAAGTAGTAACAATAATAACGATAATAATAATATTAAAAATAATAAATAATAAAATGGTAACAATGATAATAATAATAATAATAATAATAATAATAATAATAATAATAATAATAATAATAATAATAATAATAATAATAATAATAATAATAATAATAATAAATAAAAAATAGTAACGATAATTAATAGAAAGAAAAAAATTACTCATGTTCTATTTCAACACTTAATTGATAATAAAACAATTTTCGCGAATTTTAATTTCTTAATCTAACTTTTTGAAATTTTTAATAATAATTTTAAATAATAATATTTACTCTAATCTTTACTATTATTTTTTTGTTTGTTGTAATTTTTACTCGCAAGAGAAAATAAAGATAATAAATGAATGAAAAAAAAACAAGAAACAAATAAGAGAAATAAATAAAAAAAATATATTAATAAAGAATAATTTTTTTCAACGAAATAAATAATATTAAACACGGAAATTATGAGGAAATAATTTGATGACGTAAGATACTGGATTTTATTTTTTACTCACGTGTATATTAATATCTTTAAATACGTTTTCGTCATATTTGACCCAGTTTCTTTAAACACTTGCGGTAATTAATTCACACTTATAAATATCATTTAAGACGAGAAAGGGGTCCATTAATATTTTTCCATTAAATTCCAAACAGGGAACCTGCGAAAAGAAAAGAATAATAAATTAAAATTTACAAAGAGAAAAAATTTTCTGAAAAAAATATAGAAAAAAAATTTTCCTTTTATAATTTTTGCAAATATTTAAATAGAGTAAAAATTAAAAAATTTATTAGAAAAAAATATGTTGGGAAATATAATGTAGATGGAAAAAAATGGTTTAAACAGAATATACGTTCCCGCTTCTCGAAAGTGATACAAACCGGTTGAAAGTAAGTTCCCTATAGTTAAAGACTTTTTACAACAAGAGATTGGTCTTTCGTTTTTAGTCATCGACTTAAATTCCAATCCATTTTACTTTTCAGAATTATCTTGAACCAATTGTAAATTGTCAAAATCAGTTATACTGCTTACAATTGGTTGACTATTATTATTATCCCACGTACACTATAGTTAAATAAAAAAAAATATTTCAGGAAAATTTGTTTAAAAACTTATGCCAAAGTATTTTTGTTAATTTTATTTATTATGGAACACCTAATTAAAATTTTCCAAAAATTCAAATTTTCGAAAAGAAAAGAAAATTAGGAGAATTATTTTTTGTAAGGGAGAAAATAAGAAAAAAATGTTTTTACGATTTAATTCCGTCTACTGTACTTTAATGAAAGAGAAATTATACTACAGTTTGTGTGCAAGTGTTTTTATGTGTGAATGGTAGTAGTGTTGTAAAAAATAGATTATTCTCCTTATTTATTATTAAATCGGTCAAAGTCAATTAGGTCTTATCTTCCACATATTTTACTTTTACGTAAATTTCTATTAAAAAATAAGTTAAATAAAAATCATTATGCAGAGTTTAAAAGTATTGGGTAAACATATTTTTCGTTTTTTATCAATAAATAATATTATTTTAATAATAATATTATTTAAAAAAAATTTTTTTAAATTAATTTTTAGGAGTCTGTAAGGCGGCCCTTAAATTTCAACGTGGAATCGCTTCTATTAGTTCTCTACCAGAAACACATCAAATTCTTCAAAAAACATGCAGGTATTTTTATTGTACTTAATTTTTTTGAAAAACATTTTTTTATTCCATTTCTTCTTTCTGAGAGATTTAATTCACTACTTTAAATATATTATGTAATTAATATTGCCATGTATTTTTATGCAACTTTTTTTGGGTAATTTTTATGTTTTAATTTTACTTTTTTTTAACTATTTTTATTTTTTATTTTATATTTACTCTATTTTTTATTTTACCATTTTTATTTTTTATTCTATTCTATTTTATTTCATTTTATTTTGTTTTACTAGTAGGGTAGAGTGGGGTAAAAAAGCCATGGTGTAAAAAAGCCATTTGAGTTTTATTTAAAAACTATTAAGCCGATTTATCAGCTGTTTAGAATATAAATACTATTAGGTAATACGCAACTTTTGAATCTAATTTGAATGTTGTACTTAGATTAATATTGTTTTTATTGTAATTTTAATTTTTTGTTGCTTTTTTGAAAACATTTTGGTGAACTTTTAAAACATATTACAATCTGATTAAGTGAACGAATAATAAAAGTAAATGTTTGTACATAAGGAGAAAAGTATACCGAAAACGTATACAATGTTAATTTTTGGAAATTGAACTGAATTAACAATTTATTTTTGCTTTTTTTAATAACTGGTCTTGGGTGTAAAAAAGCCAGGGCAAAAAATCCATTGAATATTTTGTGAAATTCACTTGTTTTCTATTTAAACTAACCTTCTTATTTTACAAAATTTCTCGTGTTTATTTAATGAAATAAATTAAACACGGCAAAAAAGTAGTTCAAAGTGCATTTAAAAAAAAAACAACGAATAAACGGTTGCAACGAAATATGTTATCTGTGGTGAAACTTAAAGAGAACTTCTAAAAAAGGTACGAAAAATTGGCAGTGCAAATCGAAAACAGGTAAACATAATATAATTTTCAATTTTGCATGCCAAAAACTCTTTCATAATTATTAAAATATTTTTCAAATAAGAATATTTATCATATAAATAAAGGAAAACTATAAAAATACCTAAATTGATAACATGTTTTGCTAAAATCGTAGGGTGGCTTTTTCACCCCACCAGGTGGTGCAAAAAAGCCACTTACAGTGCTTTCGTAAAACTCTTATAACTTAGTCCTTTCATGAGATAAAAAATATTTCCGTCAAGAATTTTCAAGCTTAATAACTAAACTTTCAATAACAATTGGAAATTTGAGAAAAAAATTTTAAATACAGATTTTACAGCATCAAAAGTAAAAATGTGGCTTTTTTACCCCACTCTACCCTACTTCTTTTATTTATGAAAAATAAAAGAAACTTTTACTTTTTTTTATGAAAAATAGTAGAAATCGTAGAAATAGAAAATAGAAAATAATAAAATAGTAAAATACAAAATAATAATATGGTAAAATAATAAAAAATAAAATAAAAAATAGTAATTTATTTATTTATAAATTCCCAGGCTTGAATGAGAATTGGAAAAATTTAAATGACTATTTAGCTGAAAACTTTTTTGTGAATATCACTTTTCTTGTTCTTCGAAAAAATTACCTTTATTTCTTTTGAAGAATTTAAAATTAGCAGTCTGTGGTAGATTCAAAGGTTGAATATTTACATACTCGTCATTGATAATTTTAATAAAAGTTTATATTAAACACCTAGCGACGACCCTGTGTCCAAAAGAACTTTTCTCTGCGAAGGAAAAAAAATTGTTTTTCCAACTTTAATAAATATTTAATAATTTATTAGCAGAAGAGACTATATTCTTGCCAGCAACCTAAAAAAAGACACATATTTATTTAATTACCTAATTATTACTTTTCTGTACTCATTAGATAATAGAATTTATTCCGAATAGTAAATTTACTTATTACGATTAGTTTATTTTTCTCATCTAGTTTTTTTAAATATTTTTTTTTAGTTTTCTACTTATTTTTTATTTTTCGCTTTATTTTTTTCCTTAGTTTTTATTTTTCTCTGTAATTTTTTTTCTCTTGGTTTTTATTTTTTCCTTAGTTTTTATTTTTTTCTTTAATTTTTATTTTTCTCCCTTGATTTTCAGGAGTTTCGCGGAGGAAGAATTGAAGCCAATCGCGGCGAAAATCGACAAAGAGCACAAATTTCCAGCGGAGCAAATAAATCAAATGATAGATCTCGGCTTTATAGGAGTGAGTCAACCTGAATCACTCGGTGGAAGTGGATTGGATTATTTGGCTTATGCAATTGTTATGGAGGAAATAGCGAGAGGCTGTGCGAGTACAGCAGTTATAATGAGTGTAATGAATACACTTTTTATGGGACCAATAGAAAAATTTGGTACCAAAGAGCAAAAGGAAAAGTATATTGCCGGATTTTTGAAAGAGAAAAAACTCGGTTGCTTTGCATTGAGTGAACCGGGTAATGGTTCGGATGCTGGTGCAGCGTCAACTGTGGCGAAATTAGAGGGAAAAAATTATATTATCAATGGAACAAAGGCATGGATTACGAATGGTTATGAGGCGAATGGTGTTGTTCTATTTGCAACGACTGATAAAACAATGAAACACAAAGGTATCAGTGCATTTATTGCCGATAAGCCGACGAAGGGTTTGTCTCTAGGTAAAAAAGAAGATAAACTGGGAATTCGTGGAAGTAGTACGTGTTCGTTGATTTTTGAAGATTGTCCCGTTCCGGTTGAGAATATGCTCGGTGAACCTGGTATGGGATTCAAAATTGCGATGATGACTTTAGGTAAGAGAACCAAAACAAAAAAAAATTCTTCTTTTAACAAAAAAAAAAATTTTTATCAAAAAAATTCTTCTTTTAAAAAAATTCAATTTTTACCAAAGAAAAAAAATTCCTTTTTTGCCAAACAACAAAAATTCTCCTAAGAAATTCTTTTTTTACCAAACAACAAAAATTCTCCTAAAAAAATTCTTTCTTTACCAAACAAAAAAAATAGCTTTTTCTAAAAACCTTTTTTAAAATTATTTTACAATAAAAAAAGGTGGTAATTTGCTAACTATACAAAATATGAAACCAAATTAACAAAAATTAGGCTGTTTATCACAAAATCAGGCCTCCGAAGGACTTTAAGGTGCAAAAAAATGCGCTGTAGTCGATTAAAGATACAAAAAAGTTAAAAAAGTAAATTTTTATATTCAATTTTGTCACAAGAGTTAAATTTCATATTTCTCTGACGTTTTGATTTCTAAATTCAATTATTCAAAACTTGGATAATTTTCTTAAATACCAATTTTTATTATTTTCTCCTTTTTTTTAAAAAAAAACTTTTTTTCTAAATCAATTATTATTATTTTCAGTAATTTTCTAAATGTTCTTCGAGAATTTAATTATTTAAATACAAAAATTCGATTTTTTACAATAATTGTAACTAAAGATTTGCAATTCTTCACTTTTGTTTACAAAAAAGTTATGCAAGTGAATTATTGAAAATATATTGCGGAAAATATTGAAAATAATTGATTTTTAAAAAACTATAATATAAAGAAATGATTAAATTAATTTTTTAAAAATATTTGCAAATAATTTTGGAGAGAAAATAGATTTTTCAAAATTATATATATATGTTACGGTCAATGTCCGGAATCGGGCAATGTCGACAATGCCCGGGCATTGTCGACATTGCCCAAAATCACTGGGCATTGTCGACAATGCCCATACATTTTCAATAATATTCAGCAAAGTGTGTTAATGCCCGGGCAATGACGACAGTGCCCGGGCATTGTTGACATTGCCCATTCATTTTTGGGCAATGTTGTTTACATTAAGGATTAAATTAATTATACTATTAAAATCAGACTTTTAAAGTATTAAATCATTGGTAAAAATGGCCAGTGACAACGTGAGTGATATTTTTTTGTTAATAGAGCATTAATATTGGGGTTATTTATTAGTTCTAAGTTTTATAATTTATTTAAAAAAATTCAAAACATTACATTTTATAACCATATAGTTAATAATTTAACGATTTAAAATTTATAACATTAAATTATTGGAATAAATTAATAAATTGACTGAAATATTTGAAACTGCAATAATTGGTACATGTCTTTTCACAAAATGGGACAATTAGAGTAAGCGTTTACAAATTGGTACTCTAACATTTTTCCATAAAAACACAATATTTTACTATATTTTGACAATAAAACTTCATTTAAAGTTATATTTGCTTTAAAAATTGATAATGGTAATTATAAACAAATTATTGTAAACAAATAAAAACTATTCTCTATATTTATATTATTATTCGTGAGAGCAATTATTACAAAATGTGAGACTCAATCTATTGTAAACGAAATAATATTACAATTTACGAGACATTTTATTTATAACTAGTCGGTACATTTCGATTAAAATGAATTTAAATTAAATTAAAAAATTAATTATTGACATTGCCCAAACTGGACCGGGCATTGTCGACATTGCCCGAAAAAACTTCATAATATAAATTATTTCGGACATTGACCGAAATTGATGGTCATTGTCGACAATGCCCAGTGGTTGTGGGCAATGTCGATAATGCCCGGGCATTGTCAGACATTGCCCGATTCCGGACATTGACCGTAACAATTTTGTTAAATAAATATTCAAATGCTTCTTATTTATTTTTCTGCAGGAGTTAAAATTTTTTAAATTTCCAATTTAAACCTAAAATTTAATTCTTTTTTAAAAATTTTAATTGTAAACCTTCTAAAATTTAATTATTTTCAACATTTTTTTAACTAAATTTCTATTCTAAATAATTCTGTATAATAATAATAATTCTAAATAAATTATTTTTTATAATATTCTGAAAATTCTTCTAGAATTCAATTGTTTAAAAAACAAAAATCCAATATTTTATAATTGTAACTGTAACTCTTCACGATTTTGTTTTTGACAAAAATCGTTAAGTTGAATTATTGAAAATATGTTTAATTTTCTGAGAATTTAATTATTTGCTAAATTTGTATTAAAAATCGTCAAAATTTGATTTTCGAAAATTTTACTGAATCAGGGTGGCCACTTTTTTTGTAAAAAAAAATTCACGGTCATTTCCCGGTCCATTCCCGGTCATAAATTATTTTTCCCGGTCATAAATAATAACTCTGAAAATAAATTATTCAATGAAAGATTGAAAAAATTTCCTGATTTTTAGACAAAACTTTGACTTTTTCCTAAAACCTAAAAATATTTTAGTTTACTCTAAAAATAATTTTGAACTTAAATAGATTTTTTGAAATAAATATTTAATTATTATCCATTATTTTTCCATATAGTAGGTACTCAAATTTCAAAAAAAAATTCAAATTTCAAATCCTTTAAATTTGAATAATTTTTAAGAATTGCTACTGTAACTTATTAAAAATTATTTTCAAAATTTCAATTCAATTATATTCTAGAAATAACTAAAATATTTCTAAAATCCACTTGTTTACAAGACAATTTCATGAAATTTTGAATAATTTGAAAATTTTTCAATTAAATATTACATATTTTAAAAACATACACTACCGTCGGGAATTATCGGTACGGCTGCACACGCTCGGCCCAAAAACATACCAATCTTTAAGGCACGATTTTTTTGTAAATACAAATGTCAGAAAATTAAAAAATATACCATTCGAAAGATTATTAAATTCTACGATTAATGGTACATAACTGAAAATTTTAATAATTTATACAAAGATTGCAGCAATTGACAAATTTGACAAAAAAATTTTAAAAATACAATTTTTTTGGAAATTTTTTCAACCCCTGCACATTTTTCAAAAATTGCAGAAAAAATTTGAAACTTGTATAGGTGTGATCATTCAAGTCGCATCTTTAATTTAAGACCAAAAGAATTCAAAAATCTTAATCGGTTAGTGAGATATCATTATAAATGGACGAGCATTTTCAGCCAAAAACCGTTCAAAATCGACTAATTAAATTAAATCGTGATTTAAAGATTGGTATGTTTTTGGGCCGTGCGTGTGCAGCCGTACCGATAATTCCCGACGGTAGTGTAACTAATTTGAAAAAATGTGAATAAAAATATTTTAAAGACTAAATTATTCAGAATTATTAATTAAAATCTTTTAAAATTCAACTTTTCTAAAACTTCAATTTGAAATTTTTTAAAATTCAATCTATAATAATATTAGTAATATTAATTTAACATTCTAAAAAATCGAAAAATTTGCTTATGAATAATTGTAAAAAAACTAATTGATATTAATGAAAAATACGGGTTTTTAAAATTTATTTTCTAAGAAAAGAAATTTTATTTATTTTTATTTACTTTATTTATTATTCAAAAATTCTTTTTTATAAATTTCGTATCACTTTTGTTCTAATTAGTTCAAATTTTTAATAATTCTTATTTGTTTTGTTATAATATTAATTGCAAAAAAATTTTTAAATTGATTTATTTTTCATTATTTTATAGGATGTGAAATTTTTTCTCTTTGAATTTTTTTTGACAAATTTAATTAAAATTATATTATGTTTAATTATTGTTAGAAATAGAAAGAATTTAAAATTAAATTTAATATTTTCTTTTTCTAAGTCTGTTATGTTGGACAACAAAATTCATAATTTTCTTATAAATTCTAGAAATTGAATATTTTTATAGTACTTTTTATAAAATTCTCTGACAAAATATAAATAGATTTTATAGAAGATCATTCAATCTTTTTTAATGAATAAATATTTCTATTTTTTCTCACAAAGTAATGTGTGTTTTTAAAAAAAAATTCCAAAATCCCGGTCAAGATCAAAATTCACTGTCATTTCCCGGTTTTTCCCTGTCCAAAAAAATTCACTGTCATTTCCCGGTTTTCCCGGTTTCCCGGTCCAGCGGCCACCCTGTGAATACTTACAAATTTATTTATTATAAAAAAAATTATTCAACAATAATTTTTAAAAGATTTGACTAATTATTAAAATTAAAATAAAAAGTTAATATTAAAATCATTATAAAAATCGAAATAAGTTGCATTATCTATAAAGTGTCAATTTATTGCAATACTTAGAAGAAAATAAGAAAAAGTCGCATTTTTTGAAAATAAGCCGAAAAAGTCGGCTTTTTTTGAAAATAGTGGGAAAAAATCCCAAAAATTATCCGAGGCTTGCAAAATAATTAAAAGAAAAAAACTATTTTCATCGTTCTGATTTTTTTCTAATCTGTTGAAAATGAACTAAACTGATAATTAAATTACAGCCAATTTTTAGTTTCCAATTAAAAACAAAAATTGTTTAATTCTCCTCAAGTAAAAATAAAATAGAGAAAACATTACCGAAATTGAAAATTCTTTTTCCAAATTTTTTTTCTCTCAGACGCGGGAAGAATTGGAATTGCCGGCCAGGCATTGGGAGTAGCTCAAGCTTCTTTGGACTGTGCAATGGAATATGCATCAAAGCGAATGGCCTTTGGAAAACCAATTATGAAACTTCAAGTGATTCAACAGAAATTGGCGGACATGGCTTTGAAACTTGAGAGTGCGAGACTTCTTACATGGAGAGCGGCCTATCTGAAAGACAATAATCAATCATTCACCAAGGTTATTTCCAGAATTACATTTATAATTACCTTACATTGTTTTTAAAAAAAAATTTTTTCTTAATTTCTATCTTCTTCTTCTTCTACTTCTACTTCTAATTCTTCCAATTCTTCCAATTCTAATCTTCTTGCAAATTTTCGAATTCTTCACTACTTCTTCTAAATTTAATTCTAATTCAAAAAAATCTTCGAATTTCTTCTAAAATTGGAAAAAACTTCTTTTTCTTCATTCGACAGGAAGCGGCAATGGCTAAACTCGCAGCCTCCGAGGCAGCAACATTCTGCTCACATCAATGCATTCAAGTTCTTGGAGGAATGGGCTACGTGAGTGATATGCCCGCTGAACGTCACTATCGAGATGCGAGAATAACAGAAATCTATGAAGGAACTTCTGAAATACAGAGACTTGTTATCGCTGCAAACCTAATGAAAGAATACAATTTAAGTTAATTTTTTTAAATATAAATCAAAGATAAAGATAATTTTAATTCGTAAGATCGGAATATTTTAAAAATCTACTGAAAAGAATATTTTTCTACATTTAAATCGGACTATTTTTTATATATATAAAGAGACAAAGAAATAAATTTTATATGTTATTATCTTAGAGTTTTATTAGCTTCATCACCTCGAAAATCTTAATATATATGTATATCTATTATCATATATATACATATACAATTTTTTTTTACACATATATATATTTACATATATATATATACGTGAATATTGTGGGAAATTCACTATTCAGCCCTTTGGCAGCGCTACAGGATAGCGACATCATTTTTTAGCCATCCTGTTCAATATGAGGAACAACTAATCGTAATTTCTATTTTTTTTCCATAATTTTAAAACATAGTTTCATAGTTTGTTATACAATGAAATTCATTTGGCTAGTTTTTTTTTTAAATCTAAAAATTGTAGTTTAGGAAACTTTAAGAATTTTGAACTATATAAAGCAGATTTATTTTTTTTGAAATTTATGTAAAGAACGCGCACGTCTTCACTTTGTGCAATTGAAGAAGTTAATTAGACAAAAATGAATTTGAAAAATTGGATTTCATTGTATGACTCAATTATATACAGTAGTGCATTATTTTTAAGTCATTCACTCATTAAAAAAAAAAAAATTGAAATCGCATTCTTTTTACTTTACAACGAGTAATCAAAATCGTAAATCAGAATTTCAAGATTTTTTTAACTTTTTATTTATTAGAATAAGTAGATTGAAAATCTATGACAAGATTCTTTTGTTATTGAAAACACACTATTTAAGGTAACTTCAACTTCTATCTTTATTTGACAAGTTTCAAATGCAAAAGAAATTGTTTTTTTGGGCGAAATAAATTAAAATGTAAAAATAAGGCTGCGCTAAAAAAAACTGTTATAAGTTTTTCCTAGTAAACATATAATCACAAGGACCACAAGGATCGCAAGGGCACTGTATTTCTCTTAAAATTGATATTAATTAAACCCTCTAAATGTCTGTAAACACAATTGCACAAACGGTGTTTTTTTTATACTTCAAGCAGATAAATAATTTTTTTTTCCATTTTCTCCTATGAGATAAAAATAAGTGCATCATTGACTGCTTGGTTTTCATTAATTTTATAACCTACAATTATTATTTAATTATTATTATAATTACTATTATTATACCTTAAACACTTCCAGAATTGAAACAGTAGCTTGTTTTCATTAAATTTAAAATCACAACTATTTCATAAAACTTCTTTCTGAATTTGCCATTTGAAAACATTCATTCGTTTAAATCACTTATGCGTCTTGCAGCGCGAGCATGTTTCATCTGCTTGTTTAACAAACGTTAATAGATATATTATTATCATTCAACTACTAGACTATCAATAAATTATTAATAATCAAATATCTATACTGAATTTTTTTTTTTTAAAATGTCGAAGAGACTTTGCTTTATCGTTTAAGAGCTAAAGCCATTCGGCGCCTCATTATTTTTTTTTTTCATTTCGTGTTAATGTTTTGTTAACGTTACTATTTGACTTTTACGTACATTTATCTAAAAAACGTTTGACAAGGTAAATAAATTAAAATTGTAAGTAATACAGCAGATACTGAATCTAGACAGATATAGTCTGAAAAAATTTGTTTCCAATCGAAGTGGATTAGAAATAGCATTGAATTTATGTACGTGTGTATTATTATTATTTTCTTTTTTTATTATTTGTGTTTTTCTTTTTTTAGAACGAAATTGGTTTAACCTTATTAAGCAAGACCTATCAAAGGCTCAATCGTCGGCGCGCATACCTCGAACTTCCCCTTGATGTCGTTGCTGTAAATAAATTTCGAATAATTAGATATATTTTTCTCTTATTTTTACGACTTCAGACGACAGTCTCTGTTCTTTTCAATTTAATGCTTTCAATTTAAAAAAAAAGAATGATAAAAAAAGACGAATATATTGTTCCTTTTCTCGTAAAGAAAGTGTTGTATTTTATTGCCGATGGTCATGAGTGATAGACGATACTTTTTCTAAAGAAAACCATTTAAGATTACTTTTTTATTATTTGAGAAAATTTTCTAGGGCTCGTCTTCCAGGCGCGCTTTAGAATAGAATAATTTTTTAAACCAATAAAAAATTTTACTATGGACATAAATTTAGAAAAATTCAAAATTAAACAGAAAATTGAAATAATAAACTAATTTTATTATTTTTTCAAATTAATTAATAAATAATTAAACCAAAATTGTTTTCAATTAAAAATATTTCTTTTATAATTCTAAAATAATTAAATTCTTGTAAAGAAATTTATCCAAATTTTTAAAATTAATTAAATTACTTGCGAAAAATTTAATTAAAATCTTTAAAATCATGTTAATGTTTAAAAGAAATTAAATTAAAATGATATTACAAATAAGTCAATTCATATATTTTTTACCAAAATTTTTCAAAATAATTGAATTTCTGCGAAGAATTTGATTATTTAGAAAAAGAATTAAATTTTTACAAAATGAAATTTTTTTCTTATATATGAATTTTATTTAAATTCTTTAAAATAATAGAATTTTAGCAAAGAATTTTATTAAAATTCCTGCAAAGAATTACATTAATTATGAGAATAATTCAATTCTCATAAGTAATTTTATAAAAATTTTTCAAAATAATTGAATTTTTGCGAAGAATTTTATTAAAATGCTTTAAAAAAATTAAATTCCTGTGAAAAATTTTCTAATAAAATCTTGCTAAGAATTTTCGAGGAACTTAATTAAAATTGTATTGAAAATACTATAATTTTCATGAAGAAATAAATTATTTCAAAGTATTTAATTTAATTATTTTCTCAGAAAGAATTCTAATAAAACTTTTTGAAATAATAAAATTTTTGTAAAGAATTTTAATAAAATTCTTTCAAATAATTAAATTGCTGCAAAGAATTATATTAATCATGAAAATAATTCAATTCTCGTTAATAATTTTATCAAAATTTTTCAAGAAATAAGAAAAATTGCAATTAAATTTTGAAAAATGAAAATTTCCATAGCAATTTATTTTCTGCGAAGAATTTTATTAAAAATCCTGTAAAAAATTTTATAAATCTAGAAAATAATTAAAATCTTGCTAAGAATTTTATTAAAAATTTTCGAAAATAATTGAATTTTTTTGAGGAATTTAATTAAAATTGTATTAAAAATATTTCAAATTTTTTTAATTCTTTATGAAAATTGAAATATTTTTAATACAAAAAAACCGAGAGATAAAATCATTATTATATTATTATTTTTAATACTAATTTTAATTAAATTTCTTAAAAATATTTAATTACTTATTTTCAAAAATTTTAATAAAATTATATTGAAAATATTTCAATTTTCATGAAAAATTAAAAAAAATTTTCTGAAAAATAATTGAATTTTTGCTAAGAATTTTATCAAATTTCTTAAAAAATAATTGAATTCCTTAAAAAAATTAAAGTTTGTGGAAACAATAAATAATTACAATTAATCACTAAATTAGTTAATAATTGAATTTTAAAAATTTTTGAATCTGAAATTATTCAAAAATTGAAATTAATATTTGAAAGTGGATTTTTTTCAGATGTTTTTCAGAGACTGTCACTTGATTAAATTTTTTTCAAATAGCTTTTAATACGTAATAATTGTTTTAAATTCTCTTTGCTTCCTCGTAGAGGAAGAATTTTATTAATGTTTGTTTTAAATTCTTTAAAATATTCTTTTAAAATATAAAATTACGGAAAAAGTGAATATAATTAAAAAAAATGTTTACCCTGTCTAATTCCTCTTTAGTTTTATCTTCAATTGATCTAATATCCTCCATTGTGAGACCGTGCCAGCGATCTATCCAACAAAATACCTGCCTATGGAAATTGGTAAATAAGCGCCTTTCCGATTTTTGAATGAAATTTTCAACTCTCGTCTGAAAACCGAACCATTTAAATTCACACGTGACGAGTTTGTAACACGTCATCACTGGCGTTACATTATTTTTCCATTCCTTAGTATTAAGAGGCCCTCGTCCCGTTTTTTGTGATTTGAATTTCGTTGGATCCTCATCCTCCTTATAATCTGCACTGGCAACTGTGTCGTGCGCTATATCTATATACACTATTTCTCTAACCTTGAGTTTATCGGGAGGTAGTTCGTGTACCTGTTTTTTTACAACAAAAGAAAAGAGCATTTTAACATTAGAGAAAATATTTCGTCAATCTTTATTATCGACAAAATTCAATTATTATTTATTAATTTGAAAATAATGACAATTTATTGAAAATATTGAAAAATTGTGTAAAAATTCGTCTTGATTTATTTATTTATAAAAATGGAGTAAATATGAATTTATATTATCAAAACTTTTTCTTTGGGAAAATGGGAAATTTATTGGAAAGCATATAGAATACTGGAGGCATTGTAGCTTTTGTGTTCAGATGCAAATCGTTCAAGGTTGACTAACTTCAATGCCTTTAACTTTTTTTTTTCTAAATAAATCTAAACATTCAATAAAATTAAAATGATTCAATTTGCATTAAAAAACTGACTTTATTTTATTATCTTAATTATAACCAAAGTCAGACAAAAAAGTTTAAATATTAAATATTTGAAAGCGAATAATAACTTTTATTTAAATACGAAATGCAACAACTTTTACGAGATTAAGCGAAATTAAACATAATTTTCTCAATTGCTCCTAATTAATATTCTTTATATTTGTAACTTACATTTTGTTGGTTTCCAGTGTCGGCAATGTGGAATGATTCAATCATAATGACAAAATTATCTTTCATATAACCTGGATTCTGAAAAGAGAGACAGTTTCCTTCAGTTTAAATTTAATACATAATATAATAGAAATTTATTATTAATTTAAAATATACTAAATTAAAATTGAAGTAGAATTAAATGAAAATTGAAATGGAATTAAATAAAAATTGCAGTAGAATTAAACTATGAATAAATTAGAATTCAACAGTGATTAAATTAAAATTAGGTTATAATTAAATTAAAATTAAGTTAAAGTTAAATTATAATCAAGTTAAAATGTATTTTAATTAAAATTAAATGAAATAGTATTTTTGTATTTGTATTTCTATTCAATTTCAAAAATTAAGAAATAAGTTTACTTTGTCGATATTCTAAAAATAAATCTTACGAATTACTTACTGTAATAACAGTTTTACAATATGGATAGGCATTCCATGCTTCCTCGTGTATTTCGAAAGAATTTTTCGGAAGTAGGAGTCGAATAAAGGCAGGCACTTTGCTCGCTAAATGATAAATCTTGTAAGTATATTGACCTGATGAATATTTTCCCCCTAATAAAGGATAATCCGTAAATGGTTCATTTTTAAGGACTTCAATTCCTTCTCCACCGCCTGTATTATTTTTACTAGCTTCCGCTACAGAATATAACTGAGCAACTTGATACTGCAACATAAGGATAAAAATATTAACACACTATTGATTTTTATATATAATTACAAATTTCAAATCTAATTATATTCGAATCATCGAACAGAATTAAAATTGAAGAATCTTTCTCGAATTTGATTTCTTGCAAATTTTTACACTTTTTAAGGAAAATTTAAATTTCACATTGACCCTATTGATTTTAATTGGCATCGAAATGCAAGTCCTTTCATCCTGGAACATCAATTATTTGATACATCCATAAATAGAATCTCCAAACACTTCTAAAATTGAATTACAATTTTGAAAGGAGCTGCATTCAAAGCTACCTCTACTATTATCAATTGAAAATTGTCTTTATAATTTGTATTTGCGTCACGTGTTCCTTGACTTATTTGATATCAAACATGACTCATGCAGGCTATGCTAATTTTTGAAAAAAGACGAAAAGATTTTTTCTTGATAAGATACACAATGAAAATAGATTATATTTTTTTTTTGTCCAAGGAAATTATTTTCAAATGATGCATTTAAAGGAAACTAAAGTGACAATTAATAGACCAGAGTTTAGAGTTAACTTAGTATTTAGATGAATTGCATCTCCCAAGAATCGTGTGATATCAAATAAATTGTCAAGAATATTTTTTGCATGATAAGTCAATTCGAATGATGAGGAATTAAAAAATAATTATAATGCCATTTGGACAACTCACCTCTTCAACGGTAAGGGGCAGGGTGACACGGCTGAAACAGAGAATTGAGAAAAAAATAAGTGTGCCAAATAGTCAATAGGTAAAACATAATTTCAATAGGGTAATTGCGTGACCTTGAATCAGATTCCTTTTTTAATAAAATTGCACCAAAATTCAAAGTGTAAAGGAAATTTATGACAAACTCCAAGATAGTGTGTTAAAGAATGGGACACGTATACGCATTGATTGGAGGAAACTAACAAGGAAATTTAATCTTTTCTTTTTTTAGGGAAAAAGCAAAATTGAGTTTCTTTTAATGCTGAAATCCCCCTCTTTTTGTGATGGACGAGGGTTGAGGCCAACCCCCTCCCCTCACTACTAACACCACCCATCGTTAAAGATTAGTTATACTATACACTTCTTTGATTTAGCCTTAAAATTTCGACAAACTATCGTTTATTGACTAATTGAAAGGTGATTAATAATTGTGCTTAATGAATAACTTACAATTCTTTGATGAGCATCTTAATCAGAGGAGCACATGGACTGGCGTGTTTTAAGTTCGTTAGGGATATACCACCCTCACTTTCGCAAAACTCTTCACTATCTACACACTCTCGTCCGACACGAACTGTAGTGCCACGGCTGCTTGCTTTGCTGCTTCAAACGTACATCATCTCCCCTCTCTTTTTAGCGCATGACATTCTCCCTACTGAACAGGCTGAAAAGCTAAAAATCTCTAGGGATTTTGGAAATTCCATTGCCTACTACCTACTATATACTATTTTTGTACTTTTTTAAAAGAAAAACCAATTTTCTCAATTTTCTGTAGTTCTGAAAATTTATCAATAAATTTGAATTTAAATTAAAACTATACATAAGATCGATTTACCGATCGTAAATTCTTAGAGCAAAAAAAACAATCAATAATGATTTTATAGGTTAGATAACGTTATCCATAATTATGAATAATCGATTATTATTGACTTTCAAGATTCTTTAATTTGATTAAATATGCCTTTGTTTGTATCGTTTGTATCGTTTGTATTTCCTGCAATGATTAATTTTTTTAATTTCTACATTAAATAACAATCATAGATATATTTATATACTAAGATATTTATGGGGTATTTAAATAAACCGACGGCGACACTATTGCGCATGATCGATAATAATGCAGTTACAACCGATTGGTTAAAAATAGCGGGCTATTTGAAATCTATAAATATTTATTCACTTACATTGATTTGAATCTCTCCTCTCATATTTTTTTTACTATAGAGAATTAAAAATAATAGACTAAAATCTATATTATTTTTGTGATAGATGAAAAGAAAGAGGAAATAATTGTTAGAGTAATAAATTCCAAATGACGTAATCATATAGTTATATTTATGTTATTGCCCATCTATATGTTTAACTTGCTCGATGCTTTACCGACGTCGGACTTTTAAAAAACCGGAAATGGCGGAGAGTGATTGATTCCATAAATTTTTGTGTGTTTCTATATTCATGTGTCTAAATTAACAAGTGCAATAATGTGTTCAGTTCATAGGAGATTATCAATAAAAATAATTGAAAACTGCCATTATAAATGTTTAGTTGAACGAAAGAACTTTTTAAAAAATGCTTAAGAAAATGGCACTGATCGACGACGACAATCGCGTTGTCTACGACACGTTGAATCAAGGCGTTTTCCCATTGCATCAAATAATACTCGTGAAATTAATTACATTAATCAGAAACTCGAAGGAATTATATTCATTTTTAAAGAAGAGCACAGCTGATTGTGACTACCTAGATAACCAAGAGAAAAGGAAAGGAAAAAGCAGATAAATAAACTTCTATTGCAAGCAAAAAGTAAGAGGGAGTGAGACAAAAGTTTGCAGCTGACGAGGGAATATCGATAAAAACAAAAAAAAAAAAAAAGAGTATTCAAGGCACAATGGATGAGTGTATGCTGAATGACCTTTTAGAGTGTTCCGTATGTTTAGAACGTTTAGATACATCAAGTAAAGTGTTGCCATGCCAGCATACATTTTGTAAAAAATGTTTAGAAGAAATAGTCAGTACACATCGTGAATTACGATGTCCAGAATGTCGTGTTCTTGTTGATGCTAAAATAGATGACTTACCACCAAATGTTTTATTAATGAGAATTTTGGAGGGAATGCGTAATGCAACTCCAAAAGGAATTAAAACACCGTCAAAAAGTAATAATGGGCCCCAACGCCTATTTGGTGGTCATCAAGTCGCCCCTGCTTTAACAATTAATACCAATCAACCAGTTGTTCTTGCTGTTGATCCTTCTCGACATACTAATGTTGCTGCAAAGCAAGTTCATCTTCATAATCAACCTTACGGGCGTGCCATTTATGATTATGTATCAAAAGTCCCAGGGTACGTTCTTTTATTCATTAAAAAAATGACCCCGATGTACGAAAATTTCTGTTAATTACCAAATAATTATAAAACTTAATTACAACCTAAAAAATAAAGAATTCGCCAAATTTTTAAACTCAACTTTAGTTTCCTAACTTTCTTTGTAATTTGAAAATTTTTTATTAGTCTGATTCATGGACTTAAAAATATTAACAAAGAAACGTTTGAATGTAAACAATTTGTCTTAAATACTCTTCATACTAAATATTAGATTTCAATATTGAATAATATTTATTACCCCAAGTGTTATTTTTAGAAAAATTGCAATTTTAATCTTATTTCATAATATAAGAAAAGGAAATCTCTTTGAGGTTATAATTAAAATTAAAACTTTCAGTTCTCTAAGTTTTCTATGCAGTCGAATTGAAACGATTTTCATTTTCTAAACTAAAATTTGAGTTTCTTGATTTTGCTTTATCTACCTTTGACTTGGAAATTTTTCTACCTATTCCTTTTTGAAAAGGTATTTTAAAACTATTGAATGACTCGCCAAAATTAGTATACACATTCAAACTGTGAAAAATGATCTCTGTCTCAATATTACGGAGATCTGAATGATTACAAGTTATTAAATTTGATGTTTACGAATAATAAGCGAGTTGAAAAATTTACCGTATAATTTGAATGACATGTGAAATTTGTCAAATAATTCTTTATGTAACATTATTGTTTCAAGGCAATGCAGATTTTGAACAAAGAAATAATACAGTTAACTGTATAAATAATAACTGTTTATTTATAAAATATTAATAGGTATTACTTTTTAACAGAAAAGCTTAATATTACTTAATAATATTAATATTATTTTTTAATAAAAAGAAAAGATTAATATTGTTACAATATTAATATTAAAAGTCATTAACATATTAATATTGCTAATTTTTTTTTTTTCAATTTAGGGACTTGAGTTTCAAAAAAGGAGATATTGTTGTTTTGCGAAAGAAGATCGATAACAACTGGTATTTCGGTGAATGTGGAACTAATCATGGAGTTTTTCCGCTTTCTTACATACAGGTACTTTCTTTTTTCATATAATAATATAAATTAATGACATTTTAGATTTTATTATCTATTGTTTGTATAATAGAAATGAATGAATATTTATGATTCAATTTCTATTTTCTATTTATAAACATAAAATATGTAGAATTATAAAGTATAAATATGAAATTAAAACATATAATTAATTAGATGACTTGAAAAGTATTACTTTAAATAAATCACAGGTCAGGGAAATCAGAAAATTCAGGGAAATCAGGGAAAAGTCAGGGATTTTTATTAAAGTACTGAAAAAAATTGAATTTTGGAGAAATAACAAATGATTACAGAAATTCAATTATTTTCCAAAATTTTCCTCAGTTCAATGATTACCAATATCGACTATTTTAATAAAGTTTTTCAAAATAATTCAATTATTTAGAAAAAAAGGTTGATAAAATTATAACCAAACATTAAATTATTTTCATAAATAATAAAAATTTCACATGAATTCAACAATTAACAAATTTTTTATACATTTCTTCGCAATAATTCAATTATTTTCATTAATAATCAAATTTTTTTTAGGAATTGAATTATTTTTAATACAATGTTAATCGAATTCCTCGAAAAATGTAATTCTTTCTGAAAATTTTATTAAAATTCGTTGAAAAATGCAATTATGTTGATAAAATTCTTTATGAGAATTCAATTTTCACAAACATCTATTTATTCAATAAATTATTATTTTATTTTTGTATTTAAATAATTGAATAATTCTCGTAGAATTTTTTAATAAAAATTGATTTAAAAATGAATTTCAGTTAAAATTTTAGATAATAACAGAATATTAAAAGCATTATAGCATGAATTTTGAAAAATAATTGATAATTAAATTCTTTGGAAGAATTTTAATAAAATTTTTGAAATTAATAACATTTTTCGAAGAATTTACTTAAAATTATATTAAAAAAATTATTGAAATCCTGTGAAGAATTGTATTATTTATGAAAATAATTGAATTTCTACAACGAATTTTATTACATTTTTTTAAATAATTGAATTCTTTTGAGAAGTTTTATAAAATATAGCAGATTTTGAAAATATTTGAATTTCAGCGAAGAATATCATTATTTGTGAAATGTAATTGAATTCTTGCAAAAAATTCAAGAAAATAATTACATTTTTCGAGGAATTCATTTATAATCGTATTAAAAATAATTGAAATCCTGTGAAGAATTTTATTATTTATGATGAAAATAATTTAATTTTTACAACGAATTTTATTACATTTTTTTTAAATAATTGAATTCATGTAAAAAATGTTATTACTTGTAAAAATAATTAAATTCCTACAGTGAATTTTATTACATTTTTTTAAATTAAATTGAATTCTTAAATTCTTTAATTTCATTGAATTCTTTTGAGAAATTTTATTAAAATATAGTGTATTTTGAAAATATTTGAATTTCAGCGAAGAATTTCATTATTTTGTAAAATGTAATTGAATTCTTGCAAAAAATTCAAGAAAATAATTGTATATTAAAAATAATTAAAATTCTGTGAAGAATTTTTATTGATGTTTTCGAATAATTTTACAATAATTAAAGAAATTTTTAAGTAAATGTATAATAGAACATTTTTTTGAGTATCCAGTCATTTTTAGAGTGAATCAGAATATTCTTTAAGGTTAGGGAGAAAGTCAAAATTTTGTCTGGAAATCAGGAAAAAGTAAGGGAAAAATAAAATTAATTTTTTATCTCAACCCTGTAAATAAACTGAAACTTGTAGAAAAGTTTTCTAATTTATAAATTATGTTTATTTTCGAAAATTTCCAGGTGATGACACCTTTACCACCTCATGTTCCACAATGTAAGGCATTGTACGATTTTCGAATGTCGAATGACGATGAGGACGGTTGTTTAACATTTAATAAGGTAAAATTAAGAAAAATTTAATTGTAAAAAGAGGCGGAAAATTAAATTTTTTATTACTGTTACTTTTTTTCTTTTACAGGGAGAGGTGATAAGTGTGATTCGTAGAGTGGACGAAAATTGGGCAGAAGGCAAACTTTTAGACCGTATCGGCATATTTCCATTGGCTTTTGTCGAACTAAACAGCGTTGCTAGGGCTTTAATGAAATTATCCACAAAGTAAGTTATGCAACTGACAATTAGTTAAAGTTTCCCATTTGCATAGTTTTTATTGATTTGTTTCTCAGATATTATTATGAAAACCATATTAAAATCACAAATAAAAATTTAATTGAAAAAGTTCTAAAATTGACTGGTAAAAACCGTTAAAGATGATAAGGGCAATTAAATAAAAGAATCACAATTAGAATTTAACAATTACGATTACAATTTGCAATCATTTTTCATTTTGAGCGTAAAATTTTATTAATTATTAACGTACTTGAACAGTGTTCAACCAGGACCATCGAGAGTAGCACCTCCAACACCAACAAACGAAGAAACAACTCCATTAATTCCCACTGATCATTCACGAAATGTACAAACGACGAGTCAGCCAAGACCTCAAACTAATCCGGTAAAATAGAAAAATTTTATTTTAATTTTTGTTTTTATTTTTAATTTTTGTTTTCATTTTGTGAATATTATTGCAATTTTGGCTGACATGACGCTTTGCAGACTGCGGCACTGCCAGTATCTGATTCAAGTTCCACGGTCTCATCTGGCAGTTCAACAACAACCACGCCAAATACTCCAAATAGCTCAAGTACATCGAGTAGTTCTAGCACTGCACCTAGTAGTCCAAGTAGTCCTGCGATATCGCCTCCAGCTGTTGGCAGTAGACAAAATGTTAAACGGCACAGTTTCACTGCAATGAATACAGGTCATCATCCTCATCCACATCATAGACACAGTGCTGAGATTCTCAGTCCACCAATTGATTCGTCTAGTGGCAGCAATAATGGCGCAAGTGGCGATCTCACATTTTCTCCATCTCAAGTAATTTTCAATCAATTTTTCTTTTACCGAAAACCAATTTTTCTTTTACTTTTACCAAAAGTCAATTTTTCTTTTACTTGGAAAATTTAATGAGGAACATTCCGTTTTTTAATTGATACTTTCTAAAGTCAGGAAGCTTTTATGATTTATTTTACATTTGGTAAAATACGATTTTTGGAATTTATTTTGAATGACTAATGAAATGCTTTTCAGGTTGGAGGAAACGGAGATCTGAGACACAAACGTAGGGGAAGTAGTGATTTAATTCTCTCGCAGCCTACATCGAATCTTCCTGTGAATGCAATAAACACGGCGAATCTTCCAGCTGCGTATATTGCTTTATATCCGTATAAACCGCAAAAAGGCGATGAACTTGAATTGAGAAAAGGCGCCGTTTATATGGTGACTGAAAGATGTCAGGATGGCTGGTTCAAGGGCACATCGAATCGAACACAAAAGTGTGGCGTCTTTCCGGGAAATTACGTAGCTCCTGCCAAGTGAGTCTCGAAAAATTTAAATTTCAAAAATCCTTCTCGCTGGAGAAATCAAATTCAGGATTGCCACGCAACCTAGAAAACTTAGAAATGTCAGGGAATTTTGATCGGAATCCTGGAAAATTATATGTTTTCTAAAGTTATTATGCTTATTCGTGAAATCTAGTTTTTCCTAAATATTTCAAAATTAATTCATTTTTAAAAGAGTTGCGTTTACAATTTTCATAAATAGATAAACTTCAGAAGGTTTTAATTTTCAATTTTTAATGAATTAAATAAATAATAAAAATTTCACAGGAATTCTGTTATTTACAAATTCTTTAAAAATTTCTTCGTAAAAATTCAATTATTTTCATAAATAATCAAATTTTTTACAGAGACTCGATTATTTTCGTAAATAATAAAAAAAACTTTATAGGTTTACAATAATTTTCATAAATAATAAAACTCTTCGCAGAATTTCAATTATTGTTAATACAATTTTAATCGAATTTCTCGAAAAATGGAATTATTCTTCAAAATTTTATTAAAATTCATCAAAGAAATTCAATTATTTTAAAAAGCCTTCCTATAATTTATTTATTAGAATTTAAGAATTATTGTCAATACATTTTTAATTAAATTTCTTGAAAGAATTAAAATATTTTCAAAAATTTTAATGAAATTCTTTTTAACAATTCAATTTTTTTTCAAAATAATTTGAATAAAATTCTACGTAGAAATTTAATTAATTTCAATAATTTATGAAAATTCAATTATTTTCAATATCTACTATTTCAATAAAATTTCACAAGAGAATTTAATTCTTTAAAAATAAATATGAAAATTCGTCTCAATACGAATTCAATTATTTTCAAAAATAATAAAATTCTTCGTAGAAATTCAATTATGATCAAAAGTTTAAAAAAATTATCTTTAAAATTTCAATTATCTTTATAAATAATAAAATTTTTCTCCAAAATTCAATTATTTTCAAAAATTTTAATAAAATTCTTGGTAAAATTTCAATTATTTTCAAAAACTTTTCTCAATTCAATAAAATTTTTTACAGAGATTCAATTATTTTGAATACAATATTTATCTAATTTCTCGAAAAATTAAATTATTCTTAAAAATTTTATTAAAATTCGTCAAAAGAATTTTAATTACATACCTATTTAAAAATTTGTTGATAAAATTCTTTTAATGAGAGTTCAATTTTAAAAAACATTCAATTCAATTCTTCAATAAATTATTTATTTTTGTATTTAATTTAATTGAATTCTAGTAGAATTTTCTAATAAAAATTGATTTAAATATGAATTTCAGTAAAAATTTTAGATAATAATTGAATATTAAACTCCTTAAATTTGAATCAGTAAAAATGTTTTCTAATTTGAATTAGTGACTGACTTTTTGCTTTTAAATTAGCAGATTTTACTAATAAATAGTCGTTTCTACTAATTAATATTAAAATTTATTAATAAGCAAAAAGTCATAAACTAATTCCACTTAGTAAACGTTTTTACTAATTCAAATTTAGAGATAAAGTATTATAGCGTGAATTTTTAAAAATAATTGAATTTTGAAAAGGTTTCAAATTATAATCTTTGAATGTTTGAATTTTTCATACTTTTGACTGAAAATTGTGTCCATTTAATTTTTCTGAAAAAGTTTAATTAAATTTTTTTTAAGTTATTTGAAGTTTTTATTTTCTAATATATTCATTTGATTGAAGAATTTACGAACAATTGAAATATTGTAAAACTGAATTGTAAACAAATGAATTCAAAAATTCTCAAAGAACTTCTTCAAAAATTATTAAAAATAATGGATTTATAGAAGAATTTTAGTTAAAAACGCAACAAAAAATATAATTTTGGAAAAGTTACAAATTATTGCAGAAATTCAATTATTTTTAAGAGTAATAATATTCTTTGCAAAAATTAAATGTTGTTCAAAAATAATAAAATTCTTCTTAAGGATTCAATTATTTTCAGAAATAATAAAATTCATCGCAGAATTTCAATTATTTTTAATACAATTTTAATCGAATTTCTCGAAAAATGTAATTCTTAAAAATTTTATTAAAATTCGTTGATAGAATTCAATTTAATGAAATATTCAATTATTCAATAAATTATTTATTTTTGCATTTAAATAATAATTCTAGAAAACAATAATTGAATTGAAGTGATGAAAATAATTTTGAATAAGTTACAGTAACAATATTCTTATCTTATAATATAAAATAATGATTTTATCAGTCGGTAATTTTTAATTATTATAAAACATGAAGATATCGATTGCTCCGAGTCGAAGACTCAGAGTGATCGATTTCTTCATGTTTTATAACAATTTTTCATAAGTTGTTTAGGTTTAAATTTGTAATTTTTGAAAATCTTAATTCTTATGGAAAAATTATAATGACTAATTATTTAATTTTGTAAAATATAAATATGTAGTTTTAAAAATCTGGAAAAATTCCGTTTTTTAACTTGGAAAAGTCAGGGAATTTGAAATGAGCAAAAGCGTGACAACCCTGCAAATTCTATTTTATAATTTATAAATTTAAATAAGTTCGAAACTCCGATGGAAAATCGTTAACCATTTTTTTTTTTTTTTAATAATTCAGATGTCAGAGAACTGTTTGTCGAAGTTCACCGAGTGCAGTGCCTCAACAGAGCTCAACGACAATGACTTCTCAATCGAACAGCGAAGCGAGACCAACTGTGACTTACACGAAAAGCAAAAGTCCCGCTCCACAGCCATCTTATAATATACGATCACTGCCTCCGCCTGAATTGCCACCAAGAGCATTGAGTCCAATGCCAACTGTCTCCTCGTCCTGGCATGGACAGCGTCAAACACAAGGACAAAGTCCTCCACGACAGGGTGAGCAAACAACGATTACTCCCATTGGAAGAAGTCACAGTGCCGTAATGCCTGCTAATGTTGGTAAGAATACTTGAGAAATTTTATTCAATTCATTTCTATTCATTCAAACTTGACTTTTAATCGAACTTACGTCTAAATATATCTAATAAAAAATATATCTAAAAATTATTTACATCTAAAGAAATATTCAATGAATAGAAAATTAGTTAATTTTTAAATATATTTGCAAAAAGGCGCAAAGTTTGGAAAATTGGAAAATTTTATCAAAAGTACTAGAAAAATATCAAATTTATAGAATTACAACAAATATTCAAGTTTTTGGTGTTTAAAAATCGAATTTTTAAATAATTTTATTTCAACAATTGGTAAATTATTGAGTTTTACATTAAAGGGTCCTAATTGTGTAGAATTTAATTTTTTAAAGAATTATAATTAAAACTTTTGTTAATTATTTAATTTTAAAAATATTTAAATTTATAATTTTTTTGAAGAATTAAAATTTTGAAAAATATGCAAAATTCATAAAAATTAGGTTTTTAATTTAATTCTTTTTAATTATTCACAAGTAATTTGAACAATTTTTTTACCTCGCAGCGTCACCGGGTAAATTACCACCTCCAATAATAGCTGGTGCTTCCGCTTCACTTCCAAACACTGCAGTAAATAATGATTTAAATAGAAGTCCGAATAATACAGCTCATGCTGCAGCAACAGCTGCAAACGCAACCGCAACGCCTGTAAAAACTTCTGAAAAGGTAATTAGTTAATATTTATTTTACTTTTTGAAAAGAAATTCTATTTTATCCAAAGATTTCAATTAAAATTTGTCTAAAATTTAACAAAATTGAATACAAAAATTTTGTCCAAAAGTTAATAAAATTCAATTAAAATTTATCTAAAAACATTAACAAAATTCAATTTTAGTTGAAAAATTTAAAAAAAATCAATTTACATTTGTCTAAATAAGTCAAAATTAATAAATTCCAATTAAAATTGAATTTTTTGTCTAAAAATCTGTTAAATTTTTTAAAAAGGTAATTCATTAATATTAATTTTACTTTTTGAAAAGAAATTCAAAGATTTCAATTAAAATTTGTCTAAAATTTAACAAAATTCCAGAAAAATTTGTCTAAAAATTAATAATATTCAATTAAAATTTATCTAAAAATTAACAAAATTCAATTTACATTTGTCTAAAAATTAATAAATTGCAATTCAAATTTGTCTAAAATTTAACAAAGTTCAATTACAATTTATCTAAAAATTAACAAAATTCAATTTACATTTATCTAAAAATTAACAAGTTTTAATTTAAATTTGTCCAAAAATTTAAAAAAATTCGATTGACATTTGTCTAAACATAAAAATTAATAAATTCCTATTAAAATTTGTCTAAAAATCTGTAAAATTTTCCAAAAATGTAATTCATTAATATTTGTTTTACTTTTTAAAAAGAAATTCTATTTTATCCAAAGATTTCAATTCAAATTTGTCTAAAATTTAACAAAGTTCAATTAAAATTTATCCAAAAATTAATAAAATACAATTTAAATTTATCTAAAAATTAATAAATTCCAATCAAAAATTTGTCCAATAATCAATAAAATTAAATTAAAATTTATCTAAAAATGAACAAATTCCAATTTTAATTTGTCCAAAAATAATTAAATTCCAATTAAAATTTGTCCAAAAAATTAATAAAATTCAATTAAAATTTATCTAAAATTTAACAAAATTCCAGAAAAATTTGTCTAAAAATTAATAATATTCAATTAAAATTTATCTAAAAATTAACAAATTAATTTTAATTTGTCCAAAAATTAATAAAATTCAATTAACATTTATCTAAAAATTAAAAAATTTCAATTTTAATTTGTCCAAAAATTAACAGAATTCAATTTTAATTTATGTAAAAATTAATAAATTCCAATTAAAATTTGTCTAAAATTAATGAAAATTTCCTAATTAATTGCAGAAGGAGAAAAAAGAGAAAGGAGTCTCACTAATGCGTCGTTTAACAAATATAAAAAAATCTAAGTCACCTCCGCCGGCAACATATTCAATGGATAATCCCGTTTTCGATGATGGCAATACCAGCCAATCTTCAGTTAGTGCCGTACATGTTCGGTAAGAAAAAAAACTTTCATTACTTTCTTTCTTTTAAAAAAAAAAAACAAATAATAAACATTTGTTAACACGCGACATGTCACAGCTTTTTTACTCACACTTTTGTTTGTTGCATAAAATTTTTTTATATTTGCAATTTACGATTGGCATTGTGAACAAAAAAAATGTTTCTTGGACGTTTACATCCAGTTATGTGCATGTAATTAGTAATGAAAATGTTTTTAACTCACATAAACACAAAAAAACACACACACACACACAAAAAGTACATGCTTTCATCTGTGAATGTGCTTGTTTTCGTTGCAGTGCAGTGTTTGCTTTTTTTTAAATTCATATTCATTAAATTTTTCGTCTGGGATTTAAATTTTCTTTTGTTATATAATTTAAATTATTTTATACGTATACACTATTATTATTATTATTATTATTATTACATAAACAATTCAAATTTGAATTTATTCGTATTTTTAATTATTTAAATTATTTTACTCCCTAACATGAATTTAATTTATTTTTAATTAAATTAAAATAGAAAAAAGTAATCAATTGACGTAATTAAATTCATTCGTTTAATTATAATTACCATTATTCTATCGAAATGGATTCAATTTTTTATTTTATTAATTAATTAATTTTCATTTTGAATTAAAATAGAAATTTTTAATTTTAAAATAGAAAAAGTAATCAATGAACGTAATTCACAGTATTTTTTCAGTATTTTGAAATATGCACTGTTAATAGGAAACAAATATTAGGCTCGACAATGAAACAATATTACAAAAACCTTTTGTTCATTTAATTTTCTTTTTTTTTTTATTTAATTTCCTTTTTTCTTGGAAAAATATTTTTTTTTCTTGAAAATATTTGTTGCCTTTGCTTTAATATTACGAGGGATTGGGTGGGAAAAAATTAGCTCGGGTTCTTGCCCCAGCCAATTGCTACAGGTGGGACCCACGCAGGATATTAATCCAACAAACAGCCATCATCGTATGTGCCCAGGAACTGGACACACATCAACGTCTCAGAGATTAAAACATAAAGAGCGACCTTCCTTGCCTGTGACATCCCTTCAGAGGTTAGTCATCGTTTGAATCAACTTTAAAAAGAGGAAAAAAAAATTTTTTTTCTCTATAAATTAATTAATTGCCGCATATATCTACAAACGATTACACAAATGATTGTTTTATACGCTTTTCACACCCAACTATACATTTATCGCTTTTATTGCACCAATAATTTGCATCACACTTATTTTCATTCACATGATTGCTGATAGATTGTTTAATATTGTGATATTATTAGATATAGATTATTAAAAAAAATTATCCACTGGCTTCCAAGTGTAAAAACATTGTCTATTTATATTTTCTTGGTTTTTCTGAAAAAAATATGGATTTTTTATTTATTTATATTATCGTTCTTTTTCTATTTTAATATTTTGTTAAAATGTGGAAAATTAATTTTTATACAAAAATAAGTAAGGATTACTTTAATCGTTACTTTTATTAACTTAATCGTTATTTTAATATTTAAAAATATAATAAAATTTTAATATTAAAATACTAAAATATCAAAATTTATTAAAATACTTATTGAAATATTAAAATATTTTTAAACTTTTGGTGAAAATTTGAAAATGTTTTTATACAATGTTGATGAATTTACTGACAATTTTTGATAAGATAATTTAGATTTAATTAAAAAACTAGTACTAATTAACATTTAGTGTTGTATATTAACTGATATTGCTTTTAATTTGTCAATAACTTACACTTTGTATCAGTCGCTTATTAAGAAAATATTTTTAGATTTCATCAAGGTAAGATGTCTATTATAATTATCTATAAATAATATAATACAATCATTCATATTTAAGTAAATAAAAAAATATTAATTTTACTTTATATTCTTTTTTATCATCATCTGCGGATAAGAAATTAATTTAAAAAGAAAGTCAATATTTAAAATTAATCAACGAAGAAGACTAGTATGAATATAAATTATTTTTATTAATACAATTTTTACTAAATAAATAAGTAAATAAATAAATTAGTAAATGAATAAATAAGTAAGCAAATAAATTAGTAATGTTGAAAAATTAAAATAAGTAGAAATAGATAGCAAAATCATAGAATACTAAAAAATAGAAACATTAATTAATCTCCAATATTCTCTTTGTTTGTAAATAAGAAAAATATTTTATAGAAAAAAAACATAGAATACTAAAAAATTGAAAAATTAATTAATATCCAGTATTTGCTTTGTTTGTGAATAAGAAAAATTTCTATAGAGAAAAAATATTTTCTAGATAATTTAGAATTTCGTAAAAGAATAGTATAGGGTTTATAAAAAGTAGAAGTAAAAAGTACAGTAAAATAGTAATTAAGGAATAAATAGCAAAAAGTTTTAATATTGTAGTCATTTCTCTACAAATAGATGAAAAAGTCATTTTGTTCTTAGTTATAATTCAGATAATTAACATCTGCTTTTGTAGGCAAATTTATGTTGAAATAAATTTATGATTATTTTTAATAGATCGAACGAAGCTGGTGGTGCTGTGAGTAATTCACTCAGTAATCATCACCGCAAAAGTAATTCCTTGGATGCTGGAATGGGCAAACAAGTTAAACAACAATCTGCATCAAGAGAAAGGTAATTGTTATTTTTTTACAACAATTAACATTTTTTTCCACTTTTTTTTAGGGGGAAAATTAATGAAAATTTATTATTTAAAAAAAAAATATTTGTTTCAAAATATAATTCTTCCAAAGTACGATTAGGATTGCAAAACAATTTTTAAAAGTAGGTAATAAAATTAAATTCTTTCAAATATAAAATTTATTTCAATGAAATTGAAGAAAACTTTTAATTGTTTCTTTTTTTACATTCTCATCAAAAATGAGAAAGTCTTGGATTTGTGCGATTTTGAGCATTGTTTTTAATCATTTTCAGGAATTCAACTATTTTTAAAAAATTTTAATTACGATTTTTGAAAAAATCTAATTTTTTCAGAATTTCTAAATTCAATTTTTCAAATTCACAATTTTTTTTAAATAAAATTCTTTGAAAAAATTCAATTCTTTACAAAAATTCAAATATTTTCATACAATTTATTAAAATTCATCTAAACAATTTAATTATTATCGAAAGTAATTAAATTCTTCACAAGAATTCAATTCTTCGCAGAAATTTAATTATTTTTTTAAATTTTTAATAAAAGTATACGAAAGAATTCAATTATTTCTTAAAATTCTTGTTGTAACGCTTCAAATAAATTCAATTATTTTTGAAAATTTGAACTGAAATTCTTTTCTAAATCAATTCTTACTAAAATTCAACGATAATTGAATTTAAATATAAAACTGTTTATAAAATTTAATTATTTCCCAAATTTTTAGTTACAATTCTTCAAAAAATACAATAATATTTAAAAAATAATTTTTTAAAGAAAGAAAATAAAATTTTTTAAAATACAAAATTTATTTTATTGAAATTTGAGTAAATTCCTATTTTTTCAAGTCTTTAAAATTATTTTCGGGAATACAACTGTTTTGAAAAAATTTTAATTATACGATTTATTAAAAACCTCATTTTTTAGAATTTCTAAATGAAATTTATCAAATTTCATTAATTTTTTATTTAATTTCAATATAAAGTCTTTTGAAATTTAATTATTTCCAAAAATTAGAATTGCAATTCTTTCAAGTCTTGAAAATTTTTCTTAAAATAACTTAAATTTTAAATTAATATTTAATTTAAAATAACTTAAATTCTTTTTCAAATCAATTTGATTAATGTGATTAATTTTTCATTTAATTTTAATATAAAATCTTTTAAAATTTAATTATTTCCAAAAATTAAAATTGCAATTTCCAATTCTTGAAATATGGATTTTTTTTAATTTGAGAAAGAAAATTCATAGACTATTAAAGGTTTTGAATAATTTGATATTTTTTAATACTATTATTGTAAAAATTCTAGGGGAATTAATTTCACTAAAAAACTAATCACTCTATTTACAAATTAATTGTCAAATTTTTGACATGACAATTTGAGCTGTAAAACAATTTTGAATCAAAAACTCACAACTTCACGTGAGAAGAGAATATCTCGAATTATATAATTGTATTTTTTTCGAAAGCAAAAGGGATTAATTTGTCAATAAATATTTAATTTTAATATAATAATAATAAATTTTTTTTTCAGAGAACGTGTTTACAGATTTCGTTGTATTGTACCATATCCTCCGAATAGTGAATTTGAACTGGAACTGAAAGTAGGTGACATTATTTACGTTCATAAAAAGCGTGACGATGGTTGGTACAAAGGAACCCAACAACGCACAGGTCGCACTGGACTTTTTCCTGCAAGTTTTGTCGAAGCTTTCTGAGACACAACACGTAGCAGTCTCGTTCTCGAGACTTGTATATAATAAAATTCGTGTAATTGCGAATTTTTCATTAATATAAAAAATGATCACACAATTGATTTTGCGAATTATCTAATTTAAAGGCGCGCGCTATGAAAAAAAAAATCTCAGAAAGTAAACAAAATTACAGAATTTCTATTATGTGATATATACTTTGAATTCGGGGAAATGTCTGAAATTCATACATACTGCCATGAGTCAAATGAATATTGTGACGTATACGTTACAATTTTTCAATTTTGTGCAATTCTGGCACAAAAATTTTCAAATTATATTAAATACGTGCATTATTAATTATTGGAAGGAGAAAAGATTTATTAGTGAAAATGGAAAATTTTTTAGATTATCCTTTTTTTTAGTTTTTTAAAATTATTTTCAAAATACTTTGAAAAAATTATTGTTGCTGTTCTTTGAAGTGTTTAAATTTCGACAGGCGTCAAAAAATCCAATTTTTTTTATTTTGTATAAATTAGCAAAAGACATTAAAAGTCTCTTTGCCACTGGCTAATTATTGAATGCTAAGCAAATCGAAATTCAGCCAGATTTATAAATTTTAGGTACATTTTTAAAAATAGAATTTTGTAAATAGAAAAATAGAACGTTTTAAATCAATTGGGAAGTTGATTTGACTTTCTGAATTTTTTTTCTGAATTATTTTTTTTTAATGAGTAATGCCAAAGTTCGTCCACGTTAAACTTTTATGTAGTTTAACAAATATTCTCTTATATTCTGAGATTTGTTCTTTTTTTCCTTGGGAAATTGTGCACGAAAATCGTTAAGGTGCCATTCTTTTTATAGAAAAGCTTTTTTAACCATCTCTGTTAGTTATCAATATTTTTGTTTTGCATTTAACGCACACACGTTTTTTTTTAAATTTTTTACACCGTTTGTGTTCTTTTTAAGTGCTAAACATTTTTCACACTCAATAGTTTTTAATAATTTAAATATGCCGCTTTAGAGAATTATTTGTTTTATTAATTAATTTCAAGTATTTATTAATTAACGCCCAATTAAATAAGTGCTTCCAGTATTCTGGATCTGAGGCAATATATTTTGTTTCAAAAATTTATTTCTACGACGCATTTAATTTATAATAATATTGCTATCTCTAACACGCATTTATAAAATCAATTTCACAAGGATAAATATTGTAAATATAGATAGATAGTATAATTATAAATATTTAAATAATAATTTAAAAAAATAATTATAATACATATATATTTGTACACAAAAAATTTACTTTGCCATAAATGTACGGACAATTTTGTTTTTCTCAAAAAAAAGTACTGTATTAATGTGCACAAAAATTTTATCTCAAAAGTACCTAAAAATATCTTCAAATACAGGAAATGAAACTTAACGAACCAGTTAAGATACCGATTGATAGTTAAGAATTAATAGAATTTCAATATATCTAAGAAGAATAATTATGATAATAATAATAATTCAATAGTAAGTGCGAATATTAAACACTGATAATGCATAATGCGTAGAATAAATACTCCTTAATCATAATAAAACCGACCATGCTTTGTTAAATTAAACGAGAAAATATTTTACATAAAAATGTCGGGAAATGTATTTTATTCAACACAAGTCGAATCGAAAATTAACCGAATTCTATATCGAAATTTTGTTCGAATATTTCCGTTTATAAATAAAAATAATAAAGAAATAAAAGAGGAATAACAGAAATAATAAGATTAAGAAGAAATAAAAGAAAATAAAAAGAAATAAAAAAAGAAAAGTCGATTAAAAAATACAAAATTGTAAAATAGGTAAAATTAGATTCTCATAAAAAAACTGTTTTTAATTTGAATATTTAAAATATTTTCTCGTTGATTTTACATTCGATGAGTTGTAAAAAGTGTAATGTATGGTGTATACAATTGTAAATTTAATTTTAACTATTTAGATTTAAATTGTTTATATGATTTCTTTTTGTAAAGTGGCTAGACCAATGAATGAATATTAATTTTAACGAAAGGACTGAAAGTGAACAAATATTCTTAGAATATATTTTTTAATACAAATTTTTTTTTTATATTTAAGATTGAGATTAAAGTCTAAAAGAAAAAAATGTGAGACTAGTATTATTTATTCAGTATTTTTATAGTTGTGGCTCATTAGAATAAAAAAAATTCTTTTCAAGCGAATTGAAAAAAAAATTCAAATTGAATTTCAAATTCATTCGTTGGACAGGTCACTAAAAAAAAAAAAAATTTTGTATCGTAGAGAGAATTTTAAATAGCTACAAATGTTTAGTAAAATTTTTTCAATATTTTTCTGCATCTATATGTTTCAATTTTTTGTCTAATGTCACTATTTTGTAAATAATGTCGAATAGATCTAAGTGAGAGTACAAAAAAAAACTGTCTATCGACATTTGGATATTTTAATTTTGAAAAATACCAAGAGTGTTAATTTTTTTCATTCTTCTCTCTATACTTGTCTATATAAAATCAATTTTGCACATATCTTTGATGTTCGCACTTAGATCTCTTTCTTTTAATTATACATATTTATATATGATAATAATATAGAGAGGAAACAAAAATAAAATTGATTCATAATATCAAAAAAAATGATTGCAATTTTTATGAAAAAACTAAAAAATTAAATAAATAGTGAATTGTCTGATATTTAAATGTTAAAAATGTTTAAATTTAAATTTCTCAAATTGTGATTGGCTATTTTTTAAAGAAAGGGCAGAAAAAAGAGCTTGTTTATAATACCGAATATTATAGAAAAAAAATGTACGAGCGCTAGATTAATTAAACTGTATTAAGAGAATAGAAGTAAATCTAAATTCCGGATAAAGCGGAATTTTTTTTTTCTAATTTTCACTTAAACCGTAATTACACGTTTTACTTTTGTTTTTCGTTCTAACAACAATAATAATAGTGATAAATGAAATAATTGTAATAATAATAATTATTATAATAATATTATAAATAATAATAGTAATAACTATTAATAAATAACTTATAAATATATATAAGTAAATTATGAATAATAATTATTATTATTATAATAGTATTATACGACTATATTATTATATTATTCATTATAATTATTATATAATATATTATAATTATAACAGGAATAATATTATTATCATTATAAAAATAATAATAATGGTAATTATAATTTAAGTTTCAACTAGAAAAAAATGTAGCTAAAATTATATATAAAAAAATATTTATACACATATGATGCGTGTTTTGTATGACAATAGGATATAAGTGAAAGATACGATAATATTAATTAGTTTTGAAAAAAATGTAGTTAATATTGTGTAGAATTTACACGAAAAACACCATAGCAACTTATTATATTATGATATGACCAAATAGGTATTCACTTTGTAATATATTTAAGCAATCTGGTAACGCAACATTTAAAATAGTTTAATTACTTCCAAAAGTGACACGACTTTTTCTATAGTGACACGTGAAGAAAAAAAAAATGTAAACGAGCAACTCTTTATAATATATCGCACAAAAATTAGAGAAAAAACGAAATTTAATAATTTATTTCTTTAATTATAAAGTAAATTTTTTTCCTGCACAAATGTTTAATAAATTAAAAAAATAAAAATATAAAATAAACAGTGATGTGAAGTAACAGAAATCTGAAATTATTTTTAAATTATTTATTGAATTAAAGATGAATTGTTTCTTTATTATTTAGATTAAATCCAAGAAAATAAATTTTATTTTATTTTCATGAAATAAATTTTAGTGTTAACTTTTTTACATTAAATGAATTTTAAAGAAATGAATGTGATTTTTTTTTAATATGGACATTTTTCTATTCTGTAAATTCTTTTTTGGAATTTTTTTTACCTTTCGCCTAGCCAAAATCGTACAGTTCAGAGTGCTCAAAAAAAAAACAATCTTAGGTAGTATTAAATTGCCTCAAATGCCGTGTATACATTGCAATTGAAAAATGTTGCATATTGTAAATCACTCGTCTTTGTTGTGCCCATTGTAATATTCAGAAAATAGGTTTACATAATGTCCGAATCGTCGATAAACTATAATAAAGTACTGTAAACAATTAAAAAGTAATTCTCTTTGTTTTACAACTTTTCCAAGCAACAAAAAAGTATATCATTGCAAAAAAAAGGAGGATTCTCTGTTTGAAACAAAAATTTTTTTTTTTAACCAAAAATGTTTTAATTTGTTTTCCCACATTGGCAATGAAAGAATTTACTTCTATAATTTATGTGCAATGATAGACTATTTAAAATTACAAAAAAATTGCAATACTATTGTATTCGAAATTTTGAATTTCTGATGTTTTTTTGATTTATATAACAGTAAAAATCGATGTTTTTATAAGTGATTTTTAATATTTTCTAAAATTTACTATTCAAAAGTTCATATTGAAAATTTTATTTCATTTATCATAAACAATATCATACCGGAAAATCGTAATTTGATTACTTTGCCTATTAATTTTAATGAGCTTACGTAAACATTGTTAAAGAAAAAAGAAAACCCTATTTTCAAATTCGCGATTTGTGCAAAAAAAAAAACACTTTTTAAAATTTATACAGAAACGAGACAAAAATTTCCACTAAACTCTTCTCTTGTATAAATTCAATTTAAATTCATATTAATTTCATATTTATACATACTTTACAAATTAAAATTAATTATTTATATTAATTTATATTTATACATTTCTACATTAATTTTACAAATTCTACTAAATTACTTTTAATAAAATATAATTAGTTGTCAAAAAATATTTTTCCATTCTAGAGTTAATATATGAACTGTGATTGTTTATTTATTTACGTTTGAAAATTAAATTTGTATCTAATTAATGATTTCTTCCGGTTGCAGAAGAAGGGAGACAGGAGGAAAGAGAATAGGGGATCCTCATAAAAATTCATGAAAGAAAAAGAGAGGGGCTTCAGAATACATCTTCCGTTTGAGTTTTATCTCAGCCACTCAAACGACAGTAACGACAGTAATTGAAGTATATTGAATAGTGAGTGCTTTTTTTTAAACATACGTTCCTTCTTTTTTAATCATCACAATTTTTTTCACAGCAATAAATTAATTATAGTTCATTTTTTTCCATATCATGCTGATTTACATTTAGTTCCGCTTTTTATCGGTAAGTATTTAATAATTTAATAATATACAAAGTAATAATAAAAATAATAAAAATAATATTAATAAAATAAAATCAATAAAATAATAATAGTAATGATAATAACAATAATGTAATAATTAATAATTATTTTTTTTTACCAAAACCTTGACTCAAAGTGATCGTTAATTTCAACTTTTAATTAAATCAGTAAAAATAATTTTATTATTATTATTATTATATTATTATTGATTTTAAATTTAAAAATTGTTTCAAAAATTATTTTCTTTTCCTTTTTTTCCAAAGCGGATGCAATTCTAAGTTTTGATATTAAACCATTTTTTTTTTCTAAATTACTAATGAAGAAAATTATGCAATTAGAAATTGAATTTCCTTCATTATGCTTGATGGAAGCTTGCATAAATTATTACGCAATGAATAACTTCATTTCATGTGCAGTATTTAGAATTACTTCAAATTAATGATTTTATGAATCACAATTGAAATTAGAAAAAAATATATATAAATATATATATATTCTCATTGAAGAATATAATAAAAAGGAGGTCAAACCTCGCGTGACAGACGTTGTGGTAATTTATAATTTTTTATTTTCTAAAAAATTGTAACCTGTAATTTCTGGAACTCGAGAGAGAAAAATGTTTCTATCTATACTAATTTCTTGATTTTAAGTGTTTACTTTGGAAAAAAAATTGGTTAAGACAAAAAAAAAGTTGGCTACCTAATGAAATTAAAGATAGAAATAAAGAAAATAAAGTGAAACAAAAATTAAGACAAAAAAAAGTTGCCGGTAAAAAATAAAGAAAATAAAAAAAAATAAAGTGGAATATAAAAAAAATTGATTTAGACAAAAAAAAGTTGCCAGTAAAAATAAAGACGAAAATAAAGAAAATAAAGTGAATTTAAAGACAAATTACAAAAATTGTAATATTATTAATAATAATAATAATAATAATAATAATAATAATAATAATAATAATAATAATAGTAATAATAATAATAAATTACTGTAAGCGCGTTAATTGAGTTTAAAAAGTAAATATTGTCAAATTTATCACCACAAGTAAATTGAAGAATTATTTCGACACATTTACTAATTTTTTTTTTTTTTTTTATTGAATTCTGTCATTCGTGACCATACATGACACGCAGACGATCTACGATCAATTATTTGTCATTAGTGATTCTTTGCTGTTCTTCTGTCTGTTGCAGAATTATAAATGAATAGCCTACAACTTCACTTTGCTTACTTATGTCTAATTTCTACAGGGTTGCCACAAATATTTAATTTTATTTTTCCCTGACTTTTCCCTGATTTCCAGACAAAATTCTCACTTTTTCCCTGACCCTAAAAAATATTCTGATTCACTCTAAAAATTATTAGATACTCAAAAAAATGTTCTATTATTTTTCAATCAATTTTTATTAGAAAATTCTAGAAGAATTCAATAATTTATTGAATAATTGAATTCTCATAAAGAATTTTATCAACAAATTTTTAAATATGTAATTCAATTATTTTGACAAATTTTAATGAAATTTTTAAGAATAATTACATTTTTCGAGGAATTTAATTAAAATATTGTATCAAAAATTAATTAAAATCCTGCGATGAATTTTATGAATTATTATTTATGAAAATAATTAAAAAATTTCCCAAAAATGTTATTAAAATTTTTCTAAAATAATTGAATTTTGATGAAGAATTTTATTATGTATAAAAATAATTGAATTCCTGAAAAGAATTTTATAATAACTTTAATAATTGAATTCATGCGACGAATTTTATAAAAATCTTTTTAAATAATTGATTTTTTTATTTTTATTTTTTATATTTTATAACAATAATTGAAATTTTGACGAGAATTTTTAAAAAAATTTTAAAATAATTGAATATTGAAGAATTTTATTATTTATAAAGATAATTGAAATTTTGACAAGAATTTTTAAAAAATTTTTGAACATAATTGAATTTCTGCGAGGATTTTTATTACTTCTGAAAATAATTTAATTCTTCCAACGAATTTCATTTAAGTTTATAAAAATAATTGAATTTCGGTGAAGAATTTTACTATTTCTAAAAATAATTGAATTCTTGAAAAAAAACTTTGTTAAATTTTTTTTAAATAATTGAATTCTTGCGACGAATTTTATACAATTCTTTTTAAATAATTGATATTTTTCGAAAAAAATTTTGAATTTTTTTATATTGAATAATTGAATTTCTGTGAAAATTTTATTATTTATGAAAATAATTGATTTATTTCGAAGAAATTTATTAAAAATTTTGTAAATTATTGAATTCCTGTGAAATTTTGCCAAGAATTTTATTAAAGTTTTTAAAAATAATTGAATTTTGAAAAAGAATTGTATTATTCATAAAGATAATTGAAATTTTGACAAGAATTTTTAAAAAATTTTTGAACATAATTGAATTTTGTAAAAGAATTTTATTATTTTTAAAGATATAATTGAAGTGACCAGAATTTTTTTTTAAATTTTTGAATATAATTGAATTTCTGCGAAAAATTTTATTACTTTTAAAAATAATTGAATTTCTGGAATTATTTGTAACTTTTCCAAAATTCAATTTTTTAGTATTTTTAACTAAAATTTGTTTTATCAATCTAGTATTTATGAAAATTTTAAAAATTATTCATTAAATAATTTATAAGTCATAATTTTATGATAGTTCTTGTAAAGTTAAGTAATTTAAGAAGAAATTATTGTCTGAAATAGAAAAAATTCAAGGTTTTGTATTAAAATTCGTGGTAATTTCATAGTTTACGAGACAAACAAAAAAAACATCAAAATTCAGTTTTTTCATGAATTTTTAAAATTCAATTTTTTCCGAGTACTTTTACTAAAAATCCCTGACTTTTCCCTGAATTCCCTGACCTGTGCCAACCCTGTTCTGCATATCCACATTATTTTTAATTTCTTTAAAATAATTACTTTCTTTTCAAGCCGGATTAATTTATTCCCATATTTATTTAAAATATAAATTCTTTTTATTGTCTCGAAGAAAATTTCCAAGTAAGAAATTTTCAAATTTTTTAGCAAAGAAAAGTTTTCAAATTAATTTATAATGGTGAAAATCTTTTTTATTGAAACGCACGATAATTAAAAATTGTAATACACAAATTGAAAAATATATACTATTCGTTTTTGTTAATATGTACTATCATTGATAAAATATTTTCTTACTATACTTACATTAATGTAAAAATTATTTTTTTACAATTTAAGTAAAATTGTATTTTATTTTTAATTTAAACTTGTAAGTTTCGTTGTGGTTTCGTTGGTAAAAACTACAAAATTTTAAATTTAACAATTTATTAGTCAATTTCTAAATTTTCACATGAACTATCAGAATCTGAATCACTGTCAACTGATTTATTTTGAAATAAACAATTATCGCAACAAACTGTTGGTTCAAATTCATTCTCATTGAAAGAACAGGCAATAACTGCATTATTACTCATGACAATTAAATTGCCAATTTGTTGGGCCAACTTTCTACTTGATTCGTCAATTATATTTCTATACAAAGTCTCAAAAACTTGATGTAATTTTTTTGATATAACAACTAGTGACGGTAGAAATTCCATATTTGAACAATTTTTACACATTAAACGAACATCGGTGGCAAATTCATGAGCTACTTTATATTCATGATTATCCATTTTTGATTTTATAATTTGAAAATTCATTGGAGTTTCAATTGTACCTTGATTCTTGTGAATTATATCCGTGAGTTCTTTACTAAATTCTTGATAGAAAGGCCAGGCATAATCAACATGTTTCTCGGAAAGAAGTTCTTCTAGTATTTCTTTACAAGCCTTTAGAGCATTTGATTGCTCTCGTTGATTTAAATTCTGATTCATTCTATAAAAGAAATTTTATTTTTAAATTCATTTGTAAAAATTTTATGCGCAATTTTCCATATCGAAAAAACATAGATTTCGAAATTTAAATAATTTACAATTTTTAGGTTAGAATTACAGTTTGCAAATTTTTAATCAATTTTCCAAGATAAGTATACACAATGCTAATAGCTAATTTATTTTAATTAATACAAAGAAACGTAAATTTGATATTTATGCCTTAAAATAATTACCTTAACTAGTTATTTTCATAAAATATTATGAAAAATGTCAACAAATTGAAACACTTATTTTGACAGCTTTAAAAGTAAACATTAACCCAAGCGGGAAGAATTGGAACTAAATCTTAACGGCATTTAAATATTTAAAAACCACTAATCCAATTGGTTAATTGGTTATTTATTTCTTCAATTTCTGATTGGTGGATCAGAAATGTTTATAAAAAAAAGTTTTTTTTATAATTTAAACTCTTTCTTCAATAATTAATTTTTCATTCAGTAAATTTTTTTCGATTTTCTTAAAAATGGTTTAGTAGGAAAACGTTTATTTAAAAATTTAAATAATTATTTTTCTTTTAAAAAAACACTTTCTGAAGAATATTTATTGAAATTTAATATCTTTTTTTATGTTTATAAATATTCATAGTCGGTTTTTCACAAGTTATTTTAAAATTATCAAAATATTATTTGTAAATTCTTTTTATTTTTTCAGAATTTTTTATTTCCAATTATTTTAATTCTCAATTTTTAAATCAATTGAAAAAAATTTGTCTTGTAGCTTTGTACATGCTTTGTACATATATCTATATACATATGTTACATATACATTTTAATGCGTACTCATACATACATTTGTATGCATGGCGCTTAAGCGCCATGATCTGTCAATTCAGTCTTGAGTTTTGACTCGAGCCAACATAAACTCTTTATAGTGCAGAAATAATTTTTTGCTGACAAAGTATAATATAATTTTTTTTCAATTACAATTATCTGCATTCAGTTGCATATTAACGGTAAATATGAAAATTATCTCAATGCAATTATGTTGATTATCAAATTCTTTTGCAAGTTGATTTCAATGTCATTGTGTGTAGGTATTTATAAAAAAAGGAAAATATAGTTGTTTTCTGCATGTTTTATTGTTATGTTAAGCAGCAACATAAGTCAGTGATTTTACTTTCTAAATACTTAACAAAAGTGTATTTTCTTACATCACGGGTGAAATATTGTTATGAGTAAAAGTGTTTTTCTTTTATTTATTAGAAATATATGCATAAATGTATCATAGTTTATTGTTTACAAAATGAAATACCGTCGCTGCAAATCGAGAAAGTCGCAAAATATTCGTGTGATTAGAAAATAATTCATTGAATATTTAAATTGCTTTATAAACACTGCAAACTAATAATTTTCTTGGATTTTAATGATTTTTCTCACGCACAAAAAAACATAACCAAACTTTTATTATAATTGTTTATAATTTTGATATTTTTGTTTAAAACTTCAATTAATATTGTAATGAATGATAAAAGCATTTTTTGTTAACACTCTTGTTTTTTTCATGTTTAATATAAAATATTTAGAGAGGAAAAATTTTAATATATATTTAATAAATTAATTAGCATAGATAATAAATGTTCATGGATAATATTAAATTAAAAATTTGCAAAAATAAACATTTGAATATTTTAATTATCAATTGTTGGTTGAAAATAATTTCCAATAATATATAGTCTTAGAGTCGAAACGTTAATAAGGAGAAAACTTTAATTAAAACTAATAATTAAATTATTAATTAAATTAATTTCTTTTTGTTCAGACACAGAATGATCTTTGGAATTAAGATCACGTGATCAGTGAATGTTAGGACTTGAGGCTTCGGGACATGGAATATAATTTAATGAAGCTTCATTTTTCAATTTTGTTAAAATTGCAAATTAATTTTTTCTCATTTGAAAAAATAAACATTTCAATCGAAAATTTTTCATTTTTGTAGTTAGTGGGATTTTTATGGACTAAATGCCCTCGAGAAGCCACAAGAAATAAAAAGTAATAATTTAAAAATTATTTTAAATAAATTTAAATGTGACAATGAATTTTTGTAATTTGTATTATTTAATTTTTAATTTCAATTTTTAATTTTTAATTTTTAAGTTTTAATTTTAACTACTGTGTTACATTTTTTAACTTCATTGTGAATAGTACTTATTTTTTTTTACTCCTATTTTATATTTTTGTTATCATTTAAGATTACTTCAACAGCAGGTAATAATAAAAACTGATAAAATATTTCTAATTTAAAATGTTCCCGTTGAACCTGAAATATGAATATACGATATTTTAATTAATATCAAAATAAATATACTTTGTAATAAAATGAACTGAGTACAAAGTAAGCAAATATTTTGAGAAATTATTCCAAAAGAAAAGTCGTATAAAATATATTAATAAAAATATTTAATCACATTTTCTTTTAATTTTGGATTAGTAATTGAAGGGCTACATAAAATAAGGGGACGAACGCGTGGTTGAAAGGGATAATATCAGTCAGGTAGCAGTGAGCGGCTCAAGGCTTGTCACTGCTACCCGACTGGTAATATCCCTTCCAAGCCTCGCGTTCGTCCCCTTATTTTATGTAGCCCTTCAATTATCATTTATGACTGAGGAATATTTTTCTCTCTAAATTCGAATTATAGAAATAATTAATTTGTTTTCAAAATAAATATATTGATATTGAAAATTATTAAATATTATCAGAATATTAAAATTAGGATTTAATTGTAAGAATAAAATTATTTACTGAAAATTTACTCTTTTTCAGATTTTAGATCGTTTTGTGCCCAGAAGTAAAAGGAAAGCAAAATAGTAAAAATGGCACTGACCAGAATGGCTCTCTCTAGATTATCGACAAATAGGCTCTCTCAATATACAGTAGCAATTTCTAAGCATCAGCAAAATACGGTAATTATTTAATTTAATTTTTCCAACTTTTGTTAATTAATACTTTTATTAAAATTTTAGTGTAATTTTTATTGGAATTTTCAGAAAATTCGTATTAAAATTAATTACTTATATCACTTTTAGATGCTGAGACTAATGGCCTGTAGATTCGTGTCAACTCATCGAATTACAAAAAATATTGAACTTATAACTCAAGAAACTCCAATTCAAACTGACAAGTTCAATAGTCAAGGTTCTATTGTTTCCGAAGATCGACCACTTTTAGTTTTACTCTGTTGGCTTTTAGCTCAACGTAAACACGTTATGAAATATGCGGCTTTTTACATGGAACAAGGCTTTGACGTTGTCACTGTCACTGTCAGTCCTTGGCAACTAATGTGGCCTGCCAACGGAACAAGAGTAAAAAATTTTCCCCTATTTAATGATTTTTCTCAATTTTCCAACGCTCAATATCAATTGAACGAACTTCTTCTATTTAACAATTTTTCAAAATTACTACATAAGGATAACAATTAAAATTAAATATTTACTTAGTTGTGAATCAATTTTTTAATATAAAAAATACGTTTTTTATAAAAGAAATATTTCTTTTAGTTCTTTTACTATTTTTTATTTTGTTTCGTGTGATTAGTTGAAGTAAAAAAAATATCGAAAATTCTAATGTTTAGGAACATTTTTAATGGAAAAAAGATAATTAGTAATTCGAGAATTAGAAGAAATAATTGATTTTTTAATTTATAAAACAAAATAAATTCAAAAATGAAAAATCACTTTTCAGAAAGTAGCTGCTGAACTTTTGGAATTTATGGATCAGAATAAAAACTATCAACAAATAATGTTGCATGGCTTTTCAATTGGCGGTTATATGTGGGGTGAGGTGTGCGACTACATTCACAAAGATCGGAAACGATATAATCATATTATAGAAAAAATTGTAGGACAAGTTTGGGACAGTGCTGTAGATATTACTGAAATTACAATAGGAGTGCCGCCTGCAGTTTTTCCAAATAATGTCGTACTCCAAAATATGTTTAAAAAATACATGGAGTAAGTTTCTAATTACAGAAATTCTCTTTTAAATCGTACTTTCATAAATATAAAATTATCAACTCAATAATAACACAAGTCAACATGAAATTTGCGCCTGACATTTAAGATATTTTTTATGATAGATTTATCGACAGATATGAGGAAAAAAATTTTATTTTATAAAAAAGTTTGCTTTTGTAGATAGGAGAACGTTTTTACCATATTTTTGATAATTTAGGATTTTCTGAATGAAATGGTCAATCAAAAATCTGTAAAGTACGTAATAAAACGTACAGATTTTTGATTTACCATTTCATGAGTATTGCATGAGTATAGATGTGCAAAATAAATATATTTTGGGTAAAACCATTTTATTTCGCCTAATGTATTTTTGAACTTTATAAAAAATTTCAATACTCAGGGAAAATATTCTTACATGTTCTGGGATGACGAAATGAACAATGATTTGTAAAAAATAATTACATTTCGTATAAAAAAAGATGTTATAAATTGAGAGTACATGAAAAAAGGTTACATTGCCAGACATTACAAAATATTTAAAAAAGGAGTAATCACTTTAAGAAATATAAAAAAAAGCGATTGATATTTATTTTTAAAGACTGAATTTGTGTTTTGAACTTGATAAAAGTATCAAATAATTTATAATAAACTGTAAAATATGTTATTTAAGTTTCTGTATGAAATGTCAAATATCGATCATATTTAACAATTTTTTTTGGCAAAGTAATTTAATTTTAGTAAATCAGAATTATTTAAATAATAAGTATTTTAAATACACTTTAATATTATTTAAATACTTTTTTGATTATCAACTGAGAAATATAACAAAATTTACCTTAAAAATTAACCATTCTTCATTTTCTCGGGATTTTGAATGTTTGTAACTTCGTTGGAGAAAAACCGATTTATGTCAAATTTTTGGAGCATGTAGATTGAAGCAATATCTTCCTACTGCTAAAATTTCGCGATGGGTTTTGCACTAGTCTTCAAAAGAAATTGATTTAAAAAAATTGTTTACTTTGAAGGTTACAGACAAGTATTATAGCTGACTTGAAGTTGGTTTGTTTTAAACTGACTTTAAAAAAATCGTTTTATTTTGAATTTGACTTTTATCGCAAGTAGCAAACCAACTTCAAGTTAGTTATAATACTTGTCTGTAACCTTCAAAGTAAACAATTTTTTTAAATCAATTTCTTTTGAAGACTAGTGCAAAACCCATCGCGAAATTTTAGCAGTAGGAAGATATTGCTTCAATCTACATGCTCCAAAAATTTCACATAAATCGGTTTTTCTCCAACGAAGTTACAAACATTCAAAATCCCGAGAAAATGAAGAATAGTTAATTTTTAAGGTAAATTTTGTTATATTTCTCAGTTGATAATCAAAAAAGTATTTAAATAATATTAAAGTGTATTTAAAATACTTATTATTTAAATAATTCTGATTTACTAAAATTAAATTACTTTGCCAAAAAAAATTGTTAAACATGATCGATATTTGACATTTCATACAGAAACTTAAATAACATATTTTACAGTTTATTATAAATTATTTGATACTTTTATCAAGTTCAAAACACAAATTCAGTCTTTAAAAATAAATATCAATCGCTTTTTTTATATTTCTTAAAGTGATTCCTCCTTTTTTAAATATTTTGTAATGTCTGGCAATGTAACCTTTTTTCATGTACTCTCAATTTATAACATCTTTTTTTATACGAAATGTAATTATTTTTTACAAATCATTGTTCATTTCGTCATCCCAGAACATGTAAGAATATTTTCCCTGAGTATTGAAATTTTTTATAAAGGTCAAAAATACATTAGGCGAAATAAAATGGTTTTACCCATACATCAACAGCTATCGACACACGAAGGTTTTTTTATATTACTTACTTTTATTTTTATCAACAATTTTTAGAATTTCTTTTTTGAAAATTGTCATTTTTTTGTTCAATTACGCACCATTTTGTAAAAAATCAAAATATCGAAAAAATCCTACGTGTGTCGATAGCTGTTGATGTATAGAAAATTACAACATTTTGGTTTTTTTAAAATTAAAAAGTGAGGACGTTAGTTGTCCGGCCATGGAACCCTAAGATACAGACGCCTTCCAATAAAATGCTACATCGCAGCCATTTTGCAATGACATTTTTTTAAAAAAATATAGTTTGCATATCAATACTCATGGAATAAAACGTAATTTACAGATTTTTAATTGATCATTTTATTGAGCCAAAAAAAATTCCTAAAATATGCCTAATTTTCGTGATTTCCCCCCTTAACATGTCTGCAACTACTACAAAAGCAAACTTTAAAAAGAATACGTATATTTTTCCTTTATTTTAGTGAATAATAAATAGAAAAATCGTTATATAAACCCAGGCGCAAATTTTTTTCGTTTTTTTGTTGAGCTGTGTAATTGTATTGATACATTAATTATTTATAAAGTTTATAAATTTAAATTTGCAACAAAGTGTAATTGTAACATTAATATTCAAATATTTAAATTAATCTCAAGAGAAAAAAAAATTTCTTTGCAGATATCATTTAACTGCTTTTCATAAGCAAGCTACGCAATATTACATTCGATCTAGTCAACTTTTTCATACAAATATTGTACATTCGCCAGCTTTATTTCTTCTGAGTAAAACAGATACAATAGGAGCAGTTTCAAGTAATATGAGGGTGCGAGATAGTTGGGAATCTCTTGGAACAAAGGTTTGTTAATTCAATATTCACTTTTCGAATAAATAAATTATATGTAAATGTGTTACTTTCCAATAATTACTTTTTTAAATTACTAAAACAGGGCTCGAAGCAGTGAAAGAATTTAAAAATACGAACTTTACGGACCAAAAATTAAAAATTATGGACTAACTGACAAAAATAGAATCAGGCCGAATCAAATAAGAGAACATTTTTACTTAAAACTAGAAATTCAATTTTTCATAACTATAAAACATGAAGAAATCGATAACTCCGAGTCTTCGACTCCAAGTCATCGCTTTCTTCATGTTTTATAATAAATAATAATAATTATTAATAAAAATAATTTATAATAATTAAAATCATTATCAATTCAATTATTTTATTTTTTTTTTATTTATTTGGTTTATACACCCGTCTTAAGCTTATCTAGCTATACAAGTGTGTTTACATTTTCTCTTACATAATATTTCTTATATACAGTTTCCTAATACTAAGTTTTGCGCCTACAGAGCGACTTGAAAATTAGGAGTACTCGCATTTGCCTGGACCACCCACCCGTCTAATGGGTTTTCTCGCCGGACAATAATCGACGGTGCACATCATTATACCTCGACGTCAAACCTCCCGCTCAGATTGTCTCACGTCCGGAAAAATACCAAGCCAAATGGGCGCGGAACCAAGGGTACTATACCCTTGGTCCTTAAACGACCGCCAAGCGAGGCATCTATCCGACTGAGCCAATCTGTCGGTCAATTATTATATTTAAGAATTTTTATCTAAAATTCTTCTTTACATCGATTATTTTTCATAATTTTCGAAAAAGTTCTTGACAATTTTCAAATTCATTTCTTTACAATATTCAATTTTACGAAATTTCAATTATTCGTAAATTCTTTAATTCAATAAATACTAGAAAATAGAAACTAAAAATAGTATTAAAAAAACTCAATTAAACTTTAAAAAAAAAAAATTTTGTAAATTCCATTATTTCCAAAAATTTACGCTATATTGCTTTAAATATTCAATTATTATCTAAAATTTTAACTGAAATTCATTTTTAAATATATTTTTATTTGAAAATTCTACTAGAATTCAATTATTTAAATACAAATAAAATGCAAATAAATAATTTATTGAATAATTGAACTTTTCTTAAAATTCAATTCTTATAAGAAATCATTATCAACAAATTTTCCAACAATTGAATTCTATCAACGAATTTTAATAAAATTTTTAAGAATAATTACATTTTTCGAGAAATTCGATTAAAATTGTATTAAAAATAATTGAAATTCTGCATTGAATTTTATTATTTATGAAAATAATTAAATTCTTGCGAAGAATTTTATTAAAATTTTCAAAAATAATTAAATTCATTGTAAAAAATTAACAGGAATTCAATTATTTTTAAAAATTTTAATAAAATTCTTGGCATAAATTAAAAATAACAAAATTCTTAGCAGATCTTCAATTACTTTCAGAAATGTTAATAAAATTTTTCGCAAAAATTTAAATATTTTTGTAAAATAATAAAAATCTTTTCAGAGATTCAATTATTTTCAAAAGTCTTAATAAAATTTTTTGCAAGATTTCAATTATTTTCAAAAATATCAGAATTTTAGCAGAAATTTAAACATTTTAAAAAGTTGTGATAAAACTGTTTTTGGTAGAAATTCAATTATTTTTAAGACAATTTTAAAAAAATGTCTCGATAAAATTCAATTATTTTTAAAATTTTAATGAAATTCTTCGAAAGAATTCAATTATTATAATCTAATATATTTTAACTGAAATCTATTTTTAAATAGATTCTATTGAAAATAATTGAATTCCTAAAAAGGATTTTAATACTTTTGAAAATAATAAATTGAAATTTTGAAATGGATTTTATTAAAATTTTTGAAAATAATTGAATTTTGTCGAAGAATTTTGCTATTTATTTATAAAGATAATTGAGATGTTGACCATTTATTTTAGATTTTTTGAAAATAATTGAATTTCGGAGAAGAATTTTAATATTTCTAAAGATAATTGAAATTTTTACGAGAATTGTTAAAAAATTTTGAACATAATTGAATTCCAAAAAAGTTAAGGACTTTTTCAGGATCTAAGGACCTACTTCGAGCCCTGCTAAAATTATTAACAGTAATTTCTTTAATTACTAAAATTGTTAATAGTAATTTTCTTAATTACTAAAAATTATTAGTAATAAAACTAATGTAAATTTAATTCTTTTTTAGACGTACGTGAAAATATTCGAAAATTCACCACACGTCGGACATTTTCGTAAATATCCAAAAGAATACATTGCCGAATTGTACGCATTCATGAATATGCTGCAAATGATACAAGATGAAGAAAAAGTTAAAACGCGACTTTAATTTAAGAATCACGGTATAAAAATCAGTTATTTTTTTTTTTTTTTGTAAAATCATCATGAGACCATCCACCTTATATACATATATATACATTATACACTAGTACAAAATCTGTGACCTAAAAGCATCAAGATGAAATTTTACCAGTCAACTGTTTTAAAAAACGAATTTTGAAAAAAGATTTACAAAAAGCCTTAAAGTATCGAAAAAAAATTATCGAATTTGCCAAGAAAAATTTTTTGCTTTTAAGCCACAGAATTATCAGCCTATTGATTTTATATCACAAAAAAGGCTGCATATAAAAACAGCAATTTTATATTGCAATGTTCTCTCTAGTTAACCACTTTTTTTTTTGTTTTTTGAAAAATTGTGGAAAATTTGCCTTCATATTGTATATCGTCTCGAAGCCTTTAAAGTATTAGAAATTTGGAAAAATTTGGCATTTCTTAATTTTATACATTTAATAGTAAAGAAAAAATTTTATTACTGCCAATTTCAGTTGTCAATTTTGTCAATTAAATTAAATTGTTGATATTGAATTATATAATTGTTTTTCCAAATTTTCAAACTAAAATTCTTAATTAAATTAAGAAATTAATACTAAGATATAAAAGTGGTTTTTAACCTTTTAATTTGAATTGATTCCTTTTCACAAAATGTTGAGGTAAATTTTTATAATATATATGTATAAAATACATAGTGTTTATCGTAAATTTTTATACGCTAAAAAGAATAGTAAACTATTGAGTAGAAAAGTTATATATATATTAGTTTTTAAAAGAAATTTTTTAGAAATTGAATTAAAAAAACTTAAAATTTTATGTAAACATTGACGATAATATTGTCGAAAAGAGCAATAAAATAGAAACTGTTTTTTCTAAATTATTATTTATTAATTAAATTACACTAATTGATTTATAATCATATAAATCCTTATATTTATAAAAGTTTATCGTTATTTATTGTCGTTATTAAAGAAATTTTCAATTATTTTTTATATACAATAATTTAAGAATAGTTTCTTTTCTAACTAGACTTCTTCTTTCGTTTTTTAAGTAAATTTTTAATATCGGAATCTTTTTTGCCTTTACTTGATTTCTTCTTTAAAAGTATAGATTTACTTTCAATTTTTCTTAAATTGTTTTTTTTCTTCATTTCCCTCGGAATAACGGATTTGCCTTTGATTCGATTCTTTTCGGTTAAATTTGTTCCTAAGGTATTTTTTTTCGTTTTTATATTACTTTGTTGTTTCTTTTCTTCTTTTTCTTCCTCTTCTTCTTTTTCTTCAATTTTTCTATCTTTTACAAATTTTTCCCCTTCTTTATTGTCAGGAACAATTTTTTTAGCTTTTACAAATTTTTCCAATTCTTTATTGTCAGAATCAATTTTTTTCTTTTTAAATTTCTTGGGTTTGAATCGATTCTGAAGAAATTCTTCCACTTCATCTGGATCCATTCCGGCCATTATTAATTTTTTTCTCTTATTTATCATTTTCTTTTCAAAGAAATCGGTTTCGTCGAGTTTCATTTCCGCTTCTCGTTTAGTTACCGAAATCTGAGTGAAGATCGTTACGATTTCCTTATCTGTAATTAAAAAATAAAAATTCAAAATAAGAGGAATTATCTATAATTAAAAAATAAATTCGGAAATATTGTTCAGGAAGACAGTAAAAAAGGAAAACAGTTTCAAGTAAGAAAAGAAAGAATCAATAATAAGTAAAATTTAAAATTAAAATTAAAATTAAAATTAAAATAGTTAAAAAAAAGTATTAACTAGAAAAGAAGTTACCATCTATTTCGTATTCTGTTAATTTTGTTCCTATCGTTTCTTCAATTGCCTGAAGTAATTTCAAATCGTGAGGTGTTACTAAACTAATTGCCATTCCGTCGCGACCGGCTCTTGCCGTTCTACCAACTCGATGAACATATTCCTTGGGAACATTGGGAATCGTGTGATTTAAAACCAATTGCACGAGGGGAATGTCCAATCCTCTGGCTGCAACGTCAGTGGCTATTAAAATTTTCACTTGATCTGCTTTGAATTTATGCAGGGCCTCAAGTCGATCTTTCTGTTTTATCATTGCATGCAGAGCAACATTTTCGAATCCAACTTCGTTTAAAGTCATCGAGAGCAGCTGACAATTTCTTTAAGGAAATTAAATCGATTATTTACAAACAAAATTAGCCATTAATATTAATTAATATTAATATTTACTAAAATAATTAAAATTTCGTTTCCAAATTTGAAATAAAAAAAGCACCTACTTGCAAGTGTCGGCAAAAATCATGATGGATCCACTTTTACAAGTTTCTCTATAAGTTCTGATGGCTTCGACTAAAAATGCATCTCTCACGTTTACGGGACAAAGAACATAGTGTTGTTTTAGTTCCTTTACGGTTGCTATTTTACTATCATCGTCTTGAGACTCGAACAAAAAAACCTTAAGAGGAAAAAATATTTGAGTACAAAATTATTATTATTATTATTATTATTATCTTCTATATTAATAATCGTTGTATTCCGGTAATCTTAGGTAAATCTGTTCGCAGTTTGAAGTTAGGTGTTGTTTGCTTTTTTGTTTCTTAACTTTTTAAAATAATTTTTCTTTTTAAATAGGTACTTATTTTCAATTTTAAAATTAAAATATTAAAAATCATCAAATTGTTGCAAAGAATTTTATCAAAAAATTTGATAATAATAGAATTCCTCCGAAGAATTTTATTAGTTAGGATAATAATTGAACTCTCGTGAAGAATTTTTTTCAAATTTTTGAAAATTTCAATTAAATTCTTTTTGAAGAATTTTTTTGAATTTTTTTTTTAAATAATAGATTTTTTTTACAAATTTTAATTAAAAACTTTAAAAATAATTGACTTTTATGAACAATTTCTTTTAAGTCTTTAAAATAATCGTGTTTATTAATAATTGAAACTAAACATTTAATTATTGAATTTTATTAAAATTTTAGAAAATAATTGAATAAATTAATTTATTAAAAATTGATTTCTTTCATAAAATGTTATTAAAATTGTATTAAAAATAATTTCATTTTTGCAAAGACATATAATAATAAATATAATTAAATTTTTTTGAAGAATTTATTAAAAGTTTAGTAAAAAATTTAACTTTTTCGGAAAATATTATTAAAATTATTTAAAAAATTTAATTCTTTCGTAAAATGTTATTAAAATTGTATGAAAAATAATTTGATTTCTGCAAAGAATTTTACTATTTATAAATATACATAATGGAATTTTTTCGAAGAATTTATTAAAATTTCTAAAAATAATTGAATTTTTTTGAAAAATATTTTTAAAAATTAAAAAAAAAAATTAATTTCTTTCATGAAATGTTATTAAAATTCTATTAAAAATAATTTAATTTTTGCAAAGAATTTTACTATTCATAAATATAATTGAATTTTTTCGAAGAATTTTATTATTTAGGAAAATAATTGAATTTTCGTGAAGAATTATGTTAAAATTTTTTATAATTCTAATTCTTTTTGAAGAATTTCTTTAAATTTTTTTTAAAATAATGAAGCTTTTTTAAAAATTTTAATTAAAAATTTTTTAAATAATTTAATTTTATGAACAATTTCATTCAAGTTTTTAAAATAATCGTGTTTGTTAATAATTAAAAGTAAACATTTAATTATTGAATTTTATTAAAATTTTAGAAAATAATTGAATTCTTTTGAAATATTGTATAACGATGAATTAAGAAAAAGATTTAATTCTTTGGTGAAATTTTTTTGAAAATAATTGAATTTTTGCAAAGATTTTACTATTTAAAAAAATAATTGAATTGTTTCGAAGGATTTATTAAAATTTTTGAAAGAATTGTATTCGTTCGTAAAATGTTATTAAAATTTTGTTTAAAAATAATTGAATTTTTGCAAATAATTTTACTATTTATAAATAAAATTGAATTGTTTCGAAGAATTAATTAAAATTTTAGAAAATAATTGAATTCTTTTGTAATTTTTTAGAACGAATTAAGAAAACAATTAAATTCTTTCGTGAAATTGTTTTGAATATAATTGAATTTTTGCAAAGAATCGTACTATTTATAAATAAAATAATTTAATTATTTTGAAATATTGTATAACGATGAATTTAGAAAAAGATTGAATTCTTTAGAATTCTTATATTAGAAAAGAATTGTATTCGTTCATGAAATGTTATTAAAATTTTGTTTAAAAATAATTGAATTTTTGCAAAAATTTTTACTATTTATAAAAATAATTGAATGCTTACCAAGAATTATTATTTATGAAAATAATTGAATTCTCGCAAAGAATTTAATTAAAATTTTTGAAATTAATAAACAAGAATAGTTAATTAGTAAAGTAGTTAATAATTGAATTATTTTAAAGTTTGAATCTGAAATTATTCAAAAATTCATATTTGAAAATAAAAAATTTTGTAATTTGCATAATAATAATAAATTGACTATCAAGTTCCCCGCGCGTAACATTTGCTAGTAAAATAATAAACTAAGTAAGATATAAAATACTGAAATATAACTTACGTCGTTCGCTGTCATTTGCTTGACTTTCTCAAGACTATCAGTCATGGTGGCACTAAAAAGAAGATTCTGCCTCTTTTTTGGTAAGGCACTGAAAATTGTTTGCAGTTGCTCATCAAAGTGACCGCCGAGAAGTCTGTCAGCTTCATCGATAACGACAAATTTTACTTTCTGCAAGGAAAATGTATCACAACTTTCCAAATGATCGGCTAGACGTCCTGGCGTCGAAACGACAATATGAGGTCGTTTCGATAATTCCAGACCCTGAACAACCATATCCATTCCACCGACGATAACACATTTTCTCAAATTAATTGGCTTTCCAATCACTGCAAATTGATCCGCGATCTAAAATGATTTTTCACTCCAATTATAAAGAAGTGTCAAAATAATTCATCACTTGATTCTATTACCAAGTTGAAGTCCACAACGTTGATCAACGAAAAAAATTGTTCACTTAGTAAATTAGTTCAAAATGACGCAGCAATATTGATACAAAAATATTTAGAAATAAAAGATTAATATTTATATTTTGATAATAATTATTTTACAATTCAATATTAAATTAAAAATAATACTTGAATGCATTAAATAAATTTATTTCGTTGATAAACGTTGTGGACTTCAACTTCGTTTCTATTTATCATTTTGTATTTAAATAAAATTTATCTATACAAAAATTACTTAAGTTTCATAATTTGGAAAGAGGGTGATAATAATAATAATTCATAAAAAGGTACAGTAAAAAAAGATAAAAGGAGATACAGTAAAAAATATAAATAAAGACATAAACAGAATGGTTTGTACATAAATAACACTGTAAGTAATAAGTAAACTAAAAATAATTACCTGAAAAGCTAATTCTCTTGTAGGTGTTAAAATAAGCGCAAAAATTCCATAGGGATCTTCGCATAATTTTTGTAAAATTGGAAGTGCAAATGCAAGAGTTTTTCCACTGCCAGTTTTTGCACAACCTATACAATCCTTTCCGGATAATATTTCAGGAATGCAGTTTGCTTGAATAGGTGTAGGTTTCTTGACACCTATCGTTTTACACTGATCAGCTAGCCATTGATTTAGTTTTAAATCTTGAAATGTTACTTCAGTTTTATCCATCGTTAATTTATTTTTTAATTCCAAAAAAGCACGTGCACCACATGACATTTGAAACACTTTCGAAAATTGAGGTTATGTTCACTTCAACAATATGGCGTCGCAAAATCAGAATTGCCAAAATTGTAGAAATTCATTACCACCGGCCCGCCGATTTTCGAAAAGCAAAGAGCAAACATTGTACTTACACAATACATTTTTAATTTATTTGATTATTTATCCATATGTATTTACTGTAACTATATACAAACAGTTACGAACTGTTTGATAACTGTTACAGTAAACATATAAACAAGTATATCAACAGCTAAATAATTTTCTTCTCCAAAAAATTATATTTTCCCAAGATTCGCCATCTATTGAAACTGAAGAGTAAACATAAAATCGATTAAATTTTCAAATGTTGGTATCAAAATCGTCCTGAAGTTATTCAATTGGAACAAGCATCAGACCGTCAGAGGACGTTTTATTTTTTCTTGTCATATATATTATAACTTGTGTAAAAAAAGTGACGTTTTGGAGTGGAGAATTCATAAATGGAGTAAATATTTTTTTAATATTATTACTTTCGATAAATTGGAGTTATTGTTTTGCATAATTATTTATTAACTAACAGCTGTATTGTAACATTTTCATTATAGTGCGTTTCAAACTCCAATTCTGTGACCCTTTGAAGTGCAACTCACATCCTTGTTACAAAACAACAAAAGGTTTCAAACGTTAATGTAGTTATATTATAAATACACAAATTCAATATGTTTTGGGCGAGTGCATATGTGTCATCTCCTCAAGTTGAGGCTTTATTAAGTAAACAGGTAATTAAAAAAAAAAAAAAAATTTCCCATAACCCCACTTTCTCTTCCGGCGAAAAAAATTGTTATTATAGTTTCTTTCACATAATATATACGTAAGCTTTTGTTACTTATTCTAATGATAAAGATTATGAAACATAATTCTATTTTTTTTAATTTTTACTACTTTTTGTCTATTAGCAATTTTTTTTGCATAATTGTAAGCGTTGCAAACATTGCAATTTTACTGAAATATGATTGAAATTTAAGAATTATCCATTAACGCTTACGGATTTTAAAATCTTTTGTTTCTGTAAAAAAATTTTTTGTATATATTTATTTTTTTAAGAGATGGATGTAAAGTTATTTAAAAAAGAACTTGTGAATAGAAATGGTAAAACAATAACTATGTATTCTAGAAATTTAAAGTAAACTTTACAAATGTATTTGAAGTAGGTTAGGTACTTTTATTTACATGCATAATTAAAAAATGGATTATTATTCAATTTATTCTTCTCTTTAGGATTTTACCTTGTATGAATTAATGGATATCGACGATATTCTACAAGAATGCAAAAGTCAAAATAAGAAGCTAATTGAATTGTAAGTAATTTTTATTTACAGTACACAGACAACTTTTCTTTTATCTATTTTAACAAATTTGTCATTATATAAACAACTTTTTTTCTTATCTATTTCATCCAAATTGTTTCTTTATTTATTTTTATTAATTTTTTATATTATTATTATTATTATTATTATTATTATTATTATTACTATATTTTTTTATTTTATTTATTTTATTTTTTATTATTATTTATATTTATATTATTAATTTCTCTTTTTTTACAGTATAACGAGACCAGATATAATGAAAGAATTGGTTACGTTAACAACAAAGGAGCCTCCACTTGAATTAGAAGAACGTAGACGTTATAAATATCCAAACGTTGCGTGTGAACTTCTCACTTGTGATTTGCCAACAGTAAATGAGAAATTAGCAGGTAATTCTATTAATTTTTAAAATTTTTAACAAAATCCTATAACAGGGTTGCCACGCAACCTGTAAAACCTGGAAATGTCAGGGAATTTTATAAACCTTGAAAAAACCTGGAAAAGTCAGAGAATGTTGATCGAAATCCTGAAAAATTATTGTTTTCTAAAGTTATTGTGCTTATTCTTATAATATATTTTTTTTAAATATTTCAAAATTAATTCAATTTTAAGAGTTATGTTTACAATTATAATAAAAAAATAGATAAGCTTTAAAAGGTTTTAATTTGAAATTTTGAAACATTTTAATTTTGAATGAATTAATTAAATAATAAAAATTTCACAGGAATTCTATTATTTATAAATTCTTTATAAATTTCTTCGCAATAATTCAATTATTTTCATAAATAATATAAAACTCTATAGGTTTTCAATTATTTTCATAAATAATGAAACTCATCGCAGAATTTCAATTTATTATTTTTAATACAATTTTAATGGAATTTCTCAAAAAATGTAAATATTCCTAAAAATTTCATTAAAATGCATCAAAGAAATTGAATTATTTTAAAAAGACTTTCTATAATATATTTATTAGAATTTAAGTATTATTGTGAATACATTTTTAATTAAGTTTCTTAAAAGAATTAAATTATTTTCAAAAAATTTAATGAAATTCTTATTAAGAATTCAATTTTTTTTAAAAATAATTTTAGTAAAATTCTTTGTAGAAATTTAATTAATTTCAATAATTTGTCAAAATTCAATTATTTTCAATATCTATTATTTTAATAAGATTTTACAAAAGAATTCAATTATTTAAAAATAAATATAAAAATTCGTCTTAAGAATTCAATTATTTTCAAAAGTAATAAAATTCTTCGCAGAAATTCACTTATGGTCAAAAGTTTAAAAAAATTTTCTTTAAAATTTCAATTATCTTTATAAATAATAATTTTTTTTTCAAAATTCAATTATTTTCAAAAATAATAAAATTCTTCGCAAAAATTCAATTATTTTCAAGAATTTTAATAAAATTCGTTTTAGGAATTCAATTATTTTCATAAATAATAAAATGCTTTTTAAGAATTCAATTATATTCCAAAATAATTAAATTCTTCGCAAAAATTCAATTATTTTTAAAAATTTTAATAAAATTCATTTTATGGATTCAATTTATTTTCATAAATATTAAAACTCATCGCAGAAATTCAATTATTTTCATAAATAATAAAACTCATCACATTATTTTTAATTATTTTTAATACAATTTTAATCGAATTCCTCAAAAAATGTAATTATTCTTAAAAATATTATTAAAATTCGCGGAAAGAATTCAGTTAATTAAAAATTTGTTGATAAAATTCTTTATTTGAATTCAATTATAAGAAACATTTAATTCTTTGTAGAAATTTAATTAATTTCAATAATTTATCAAAATTCAATTATTTTCAATATCTACTATTTCAATAAGATTTCGCACAAAAGAATTCTATTATTTAAAAAGGAATATTAAAATTCGTCTCAAGAATGCAATTATTTTCAAAAGTAATAAAATTCTTCGCGCAGAAATTCAATTATGGTCGAAAGTTTAAAAAAATTCTCTTTAAAATTTCAATTATCTTTATAAATAATAAAATTTTTTTTCAAAATTCAATTATTTTAAAAAATTTAAATAAAATTCTTGTCAAAATTTCAATTATTTTCAAAAACTTTTCTCAATTCAATCAAATTTTTTACAGAGATTCAATTTTTTTTAATACAATATTTATCTAATTTCTCGAAAAATGAAATTATTCTTAAAAATTTTATTAAAATTCGTCAAAAGAATTTTAATTACATACCTATTTAGAAATTTGTTGATAAAATTCTTTATGAGAGTTCAATTTTAAAAAACATTCAATTTTTCAATAAATTATTTATTTTTAAAGTATTTAAAAAATTGAATGCTAGTAGAATTTTCTAACAAAAATTTATTTAAATATGAATTTCAGTTAAAATTTTAGATAATTGAATATTAAATTCTTTAAATTTATATTAGTAAAAATGTTTTCTAATTTTAATTAGTGACTGATATTTTGCTTTTGAATTTGCAGATTTTACTGATAAATAGTCATTTCTACTAATTTAATAGTAAAATTTATTAATTTAAAAGCAAAAAGTCATTAACTAATTCCACTTAGTAAACATTTTTACTAATTCAAATTTAGAGAGAAAGTATTATAGCGTGAATTTTTAGAAATAATTGAATTTTGAAAAGGTTTCAAATTATAATTTTTGAATGTTTGAATTTTTCATACTTTTAACTAAAAATTGTATCGATTTAATTTTTTTTAAAAAGTTTAATTGAATTTTTTTAAAATCTATTTCAAGTTTTTATTTTATATATATTTGATTGAAGAATTTCCGAATAATCGATAAAATTTCGTAAAATTGAATTGTAAACAAAAGGATTTAAAAATTTTCAAAGAAATTGAATTGATGTGATTAAAGTAATTTTGAATAAGTTACAGTAACAATATTCTTATAATAGAAAATAATGATTTTATCATAAGTTGTTTAGGTTTAAATTTGTAATTTTTGAAAATCTTAATTCTTATGGAAAAATTATAATGACTAATTATTTAATTTTGTAAAATATAAATGTAGTTTTAAAAACCTGGAAAAATTCCGTTTTTTAACCTGGAAAACCTGGAAAAGTCAGGGAATTTGAAATGAGCAAAAGTGTGGCAACCCTGTGTAATTTTTGGTTGGAAATATTAAAATTTGCAATTTTTTAACAAGAAAAAAATTATATAATAACATAAATTATTATTTTGAGTGATTTATTGATTGTATTTTCTTAATTACAGGTGATGAGGATCTTTTATCGAAACTGTATTCATTTATAGACACGGAAGAGCCTTTAAATCCTCTGCTAGCCTCATTTTTCAGTAGAACCATCGGTGTGTTAGTATCAAGAGCGACTGATCAGGTAGAAAATTATTAATTTTTCTTTTTTACAATCTCTCTTATTTTCAACTCTTATTAATCCTCTTTACGTCTCTCTCTCTCCTTTTTCAGAATTGGTATTCCTATCAGTTCACTTGCCTACAATTCTTAGAATTTTTGAAAAGTCGTCAACGTTGCGTAGAATTACTTTTACACCATTTAGAAACATCAGCAATTATGGACTTACTATTGAAACTCGTCACTCAAGTGGAAGGAAGTGACATGCGACAAAATATATTAACCGTAAGTTTCCCACTATTTTTTAAGACAAGTTTTTATATTTTTTTAATTTTATTTTATTATCACTTGTGGAAAAAAAAGTAAAGTTGTGAATAATTAATGGAGAGGGGAAGGAATAGAATATTAAGACATTTTTTTTGTTGCAGTGGTTGGATGGCCAACAATTGGTACAACGGTTGATTGGAATTCTCTCACCTGAATCAGGTTCAAAAAAGCATTCAAACGCATCTCAATTAATCTGTGATATGATTACAGAAGGACGGGAATACAAACATAATTTAACTGAACGCGCCGAACCAGATCCCATTCTTCAAAGATTAGAGTCGTAAGCATTTTTTATTTTTTTCCTAATATTTGAAAATATTAACATTAAAAATGCCCGAATTTTTAGTTTACTGTGAGCAAAAATGTTATATATTAAAATAATAAATATTCTTAACTATTGTAACTGAAAATTCGCACGTTTTTAAATAAATTCGTAGTTTTATAAAAAAAAAAATTAATTTAATTAAATAAATGAATTAAAATTTATTAAAAGTGTGTAATTTTTTATTTTACAGAGTAGAAACAGTTGAACTAATTTTGAAAACTATTTTAACTGGTGAAAAAGTGGAAAGCAGCATTATAGGCGGAATTCAAATACTTATGACTCTTTTGACACAGAAGACAAAATGGTATTTACAGAAATATTCTTCTGAACTTATTTTAAAATTAAATAGGAGTTTAAGATAATAGTTTTATTTATTTACAAAAATATTTATAATTTTGTAATTTAATTTTTGTCTTTTTTTCTAAAAGTAATTCTTCAGAAGCTGAACGTGGTGGAAATGGTTCTGATGATCTTGTTAGCAATGAACAGTGCCAAGCAATTATAAATGCCACAATACCGTTTCTAGAAGAGCTCAATAAACTTTTATTAGAACCTCCTTACGTGAGTAAAACAAATTTTTGCCAATAAAGATGTCTTTTTAACTATTTTTTTTAACGTAAAAGTATTTTACTCTAAAATAATATTAAAAGAATAATTAAATAAAATTTTCAAATTTTAGAAACCACCTGTAAACACAACTGTCGGAGTATTGGAAGTTCCATTAGGAAATACTCGTATTCATGTCATAAAATTATTTGTTGCTCTTTTATCAACGGAAAAATCAATTGACAAATCAATCAGCACATCGCCAACAATTGAAAGATTAATTGATCTTGGAACATTCCAAATACTTCTCGATCTTTTCTTTAAATATTCATTCAATAATTTTCTTCACACACAAGTACAACAATTTTATCAAGTTGCAATCGATTGGAATAGTCCCGATATTAATGAGCATATTTTGGAGAATGTAAGTAATTTTTTAATAATTATCAAGAAAAATATTAAACAAAAATTAGTTAAAATATCTTGTTTTGAATAGTAAAATGAACAGGAAAAATTATTTAAAACATCGTCTTTGAATAAGCAAATAAATACAAAAGTTATTTAAAATATTACCTTTGAATATTTATTTATTTTTAAATATTTATATATATATTTATTATAGTTTATTATGTTTTTATGTAACTGTATAATTATATATAATTTGTATGTAATTATTATTATTTTTATGTTTCAGATATTTATAAAATGTAAACTATTAGAACGAATAATGGAATGTTGTAAGAAAAATGAAGAGAAAAAGTGAGTTTCAAATTAGAAATAATAATTACAGTGGGGACTGAACTATTTAGATGATTTTAATTTAAAAAAATATAATTATTACAACTATTCTAATCTACGTATTTTTCATTTTAGAAGTGAAAAACCCAGTGTCAAAGAGGCGTACATGGGTCATTTAATTGAACTCGCAAATCATGTGGTGGAACAGTGTGAGAAAAATAGGGCTTTCAATGACTTTTTCTTGTACAAATTGCCCGAAGAAACGTTAGATCAATGGGTGAATTTTGTCGCTGAACATTTGGGCGAAATAAACAAAATTCAACAAATAATGTTGGTAAGTTGAATAAGTTTATTATTTTTCGTACTTTTTTCAATATTTTATTTTCTACATTTTGATTTTCTATTTACTATTAATTAATTATTGTATTTATAATTATTTATGTGTAATAAAAAAAAATAATAATAAAAACAATAATAATCAAATTGTAATAAAAATTATAAAATTGATTAAATTATTTATTTTTAATTTGCAGGGAGGTCCTGCTCAGGTATACATGTCGAAATCAGCAGAAAAATCTGACGTATACGCTTATTCGCAAGAAGTTTATGCACAACAGGTTAGTATTTTTATCTTCATTATTTTTTTCTCAAATTGTTAAATAATTTTTTCAAATGTAAGAGTATTTTTTACATCTCAGGTATATTCTAATTATCAGGAACAACTATTAGGATCTCACTATGTTTCATACGCCGTTCATGATGAGAAATTCATTGATGGCGACGAAGATTTACAGTAAGTTGATAATTTTTTGAAATTTGATGATTTTTCGGTAAAATTTGGATTTTTTGATTTATTATTATTATTATTATTATTATTATTTTACAGTAGTAATACGGTCGGTCAACTTGGTACAATAGATTTTATTCTCAATGATGATGACCTCAGCAAAGGAGAAGAAATGTTCAGCAAGGTAAGTGAAACTTGATAAAAATTGATAATAAACAAATTCAAAGAATTTTAAACTTTATTGTTGAAACTTAATGAAAAGTAATAAATCAATATGGAGAGTTTTAATTTTTAGATATTACTAGAATAAATTTAAAGAATTTTTATTTTTTGTAATTAAAAATATTTCTTGTTTACAGCTTTGCTTTGAGAAACGCATAAACTTTGGCGAAGATAATGAGGAAGTAAATTGGAGTTATGGAAACGATTTAACTTTTCAAACAGTATTAGACAAGGACGATGCAAGCTCTCCTAAGAAAAGTCATGACTCCAGTTCGTCAGAAGAAGATGAAGGTCCCTGTGACATGGAAATCGATTCAAATGATGGTAGGATAATTTTTAATTATAAGATGACTTCTTTTTAATTTTTATTTTCTTGGTATTTTTTTTAATATTACATAATTGTTTTAACTTTTGTAATTTAGAAGCTTGAAATTTAATTTTAGCTTCAGCTTTACCACCAGTCAACCCTTGGGACGTGCCATCATCCGAACCAGTCGAAGAGACAGGCTGGGCAAATTTTGATAATTTCGATTTGAAATTGAGTATTGATAGTGAAACAAATGCGGAGCCATTTGTGGCAACGTTTCCGGACATTGTTCCAACACCAATAACAAATTTAGAAGAGGAAACGGTTTATGTACAGAAAATTAGTTTAGAAGGAAATTTCAATGATTCCAATGCGAGTGGAGATGAAATGACAAATTCAACGGAAACTAATTTATTACAAAAGGAAAATCTCATTGAAAAGAAGGCACCAATCACAACAACAACAACAACAACTTGTCTTGATTCTGTAAATACTCCAGATAGTAATGCTAATCCGATCACCAATCCTGTCACAATCAACACGTAAGAAAATTTTATATACATTTTTAAAATTTAATTCTAAAAGAACATTTAAAAAATTATTACTTGTAAATTATTTAAATGAATAATTTTACTTAAAAATTTCAAAAACAATAGTTGCGTTTACAATGATCATTAATAATTGAATTTCATAAGGTTTCAATTTGATATTTTGGAAAATTAAAATTTTTAATCAATTTAATTAGAAATTTTGAAGAACTTAGTTTTCTGAAAAATTTCAATAATTCAAATTCTTCTGAAATTAAAATATTTTAATATATATAAATTTAATTAATCTTTTAAAACTAATTGATTTATAGAAGAATTTTAGTTAAAAACTCTTGTAAAAAATTGAATTTTTTTATAAATATAACAATAATCATCACAAGAATTTAATTATTTTCAAAAGTAATAAAATTCTTCGCATAAATTCAATAATTTTCAAAAACAATGAAATCCTAAATAAAAATTCCATTATTTTTGTAACTACCTAATAAAATTTTCCGCAGAAACTCAATTATTTTCAAAAATTTTAATAAAATTCTTCATAAGGACTCAATTATTTTAAAAAATAATGCAATTCTTAGCAAGAATTAAATTATTTTCCAAAACAATTTAATTATTTACAAAAAATTTTGATAAAATTATCAATTATCAATTATCTTTAAATACCTAAATAGCAAAATTCTTTGTCAAAATTTAATTAGTTTCAAAAATTTTATTAAAATTCTTGGCAAAATTTAGTTATTTTCAAAAATTTTTCTCAATTCAATGATTTTCAATATCAATGATTTTAATAAATTTTTCCAAAAGAAATTAATTATTTACAAAAAATTTTGATAAAATTCTACGCAAACATTCAATTATTTTCATCACAGAATTTCAATTATTTTGAAAAGTAAAAAAATTTTTCGCACAAATTCAATTATTTTCAAAAAATTAAAATCAGGATTTCAATTATCTTTAAATAAATAGCAAAATTCTTTGTCAAAATTCAATTGTTTCCAAAAATTTTATTAACATTCTTGACAAAATTCAATTGTTTCTAAAAATTTTATTAAAATTCTTGGAAAAATTTAGTTATTTTCAAAAATTTTTCTCAATTCAATGATTTTCAATATCTAAGATTTTAATAAATTTTTCCAAAATTAATTTAATTATTTACAAAAAATTTTGATAAAATTCTACGCAAAAATTCAATTATTTTTAATGCAATATTAATTGAATTCTTTGTAAAGTGCATTTATTCTTAAAAATTTGATTAACATTCGTCGAATAATTCAATTATTATTCAATGAATTATTTATTTCTATATTTAAATAATTTAATTCTTATAAGTTGTTTAGTTTCAAAATGGTTTGAATTGGAAATTTTTGAAAATCTTAAATTATTGATGTTTTTGAATAATTTTACAATTGAAGAAATTCGCAAATAAATGTATTAGAATATTTTTTTGAGTATCAAATAATTTTTAGAGTGAATCAGAATATTTTTTAGGATCAGGGAAAAAGTCAAAATTCTGTCTGGAAATTAGGGAAGAGTCAGGGAAATACAAAATTAAATTTTATGTGACAACCCTGGTTTATTTTCTTTTTATTATTATCATTTGTTAAACATTTTTCATTAAAAACATTATTAAAATAAATCGTAGGCTGTCCACAACTACGGATGTGAAGAAGGACACAAATGATGTTATACAAAATACAATAGAGAATGTAAAACCATTGGAGGAGCAAAGCACCACAGACGTTGTTGAAAACTCACCAGCTGATGATTTGGTTTTATAAAGAATAAGAAATGGGAGAAAGAATCAATTAAGTTTCAAGGAGAATCTTACAAGATTGAAGATAGCAAATAGGACAAATCATATCAGATCGGTCTTACTATTATCATAGCACTCTATTCTCCCAAATAATGGTGATGGCGCAATTGTATTCTAAATTTAAATAGTAGAGAGAATATCGAGTTGTTATTAGTTCATCGCGCTCAATTCTTTATAATCGTAAAATAATTTTATTCCTTTCCCTTCAAATTTTCTTTTTCTATCATAAATTTTTTTCTTCTTGTAAGTACAAATAATTTTTCTTTCTTTCTTTTAATTTTCTTCTTCTTCCAATTTTTTTTTAGTTCTTGTGTCACATTTTGATTGTTGAGATATATCTTAAAAATTTTTAACTTGTATGTAAGAATGTATGTAATTTTTGACATGAGAAATGAATTTTTTAAATAGAATGTTTTTTAAGGAGATAATTCCTCTCATATGTGGGAACATTAATTTTTTTATATATTTAGAGGGGTAAAATTGTAATGAACTTTCGTTAAATAAGCATTTATCAATAGGCAATGGTAAATAATTGCAAATTTTATATATTGAAATGTTCTTGCAATTAGGGAATGAAAGATTTTTTTTTTCAATTTTGTTCTAACATATGGGAGAGTTCTTCACAATTTGTACTAAGGTGCACCCAAAAAAATGATAGCTTTATTTCAAATTTGCCTCTATTTTTAATTGATTTATTAGTGAGAAAAAAATAATCGTTTATTCGACGAAATATATTTATATATGTAAACATATTTTAACTATATTTAAGAATTGTAAATTATAAATTGTGTGAGACGTTTGCGCTTCATTAGAAGTTTTTTTCTATTTACAAAGTATTTTATTTTTCTGTTAAATTGGGCTTTCAATGTTTGTTCTCGTTTTTATAGTATTTTCTACGCAAAAAGAAACTGTAAACAAATTTTTTTAGACTCCGGCTTTAATTTTATTTGGGTCGCCTTAAATTTGTACGTATTGAATATATGATGTGGCATTAGATCATTAAAGAGAAAAAAAAACTATAGCTAAAGTATAAGACATAAAAGTGAAGCTCAGAAAAAACATTGATCATCCCTAATCTGAATTTAAAACAATTGATGGTATTTAATTTTACACGATAAGAAAAAGGCGTTGTAAACAGCAACGAGAGATGGTAAAAAAAAATGAATGCGAGGCTATTTTAAAAATCATCACTATAGTCCGATATTTCACAATGAATTTAGTGCTTTTGCTTTTTCGAAAGATTAAACAGAAGTACTTAGGTACAGTGCCTACAAATCGCTTGAACATATTCCTATGCCAAGGCATGATTGTATAAAAAAAAACACGTATTTTTATTATGTTATAGATTAATGAGTTAAAATTGTCAAAGTACTTGTAAGCGAATCTATAAAATATGCCTTTTGTTTGCATTCCAATAAAAAGTGTAAAAAAAAAACTACAAATAATTATTTTACCCTGAATATAACTAAATGGTTGCTTGGCAACTGAAAGTGTTTCTTGAATTTGGTTAAGTAACAAACGATATGACAATAATTAAATTATTTTCTTTCAAAGTAAAAAAAAATGTCACATAAAACGGAAGAGACGCTAATTTTTCCAAATTCATCCGTATCTTCCGTAATAAATCACGATTTATTGGTTAATTTAGTCATCGATCAGGGTCCCAAGGAGGAGGCCGGTAAATTATTCGCTGAAGATGATATTAATTTGAGCGAAGTAAAGGAAATAAGAATTGAACATCTAAGTGAGTAAATTCACTTGTAATTTTTCCATTCTTGTTCTATTGAATTATTTCTGATTATAAAAAAAAAATTTTGGCTTTTGTTGCAGATATTTTGAACATCAGTCATCTTTGGATAATGAGCAATTTGGTGATTCTGAAATTATCCAGTAATATAATAGAAAAAATCGAAAATTTGGAGAATCTTGTTAAATTAAAGGAATTGGATTTATCTTTCAATCGAATAAAAATAATGGAGAATTTAAATCATCTTGTCGATTTGGAAATTTTGCTACTTTACAACAATAATATTGAAGTTGTCGATGGGATCGACAATTTAGAAAAACTTCAGATTATAAGTCTTGGGAGAAATGAAATTAAATGTCGAAATCATGTAAGTTATCACTGTCATTTAATTTACTACTTATTTTTATTTAATTTTTTTAAATTAAAATTTTAAATTTATAAATAAAATTACAAAAATTAAAATAAACAAATTTTAATGAATTGAAAGGAGAAAATTTTCAATAATTAAAATTGAATGGAAAATATTTCTTTTAAGGTGATGTATTTACGCAGATTCAACAATTTAAGAACTTTAAATATGGAGGGAAATCCATGTACAGAAGATGAGGAATATTTGGATTATTTAATTGCGTACATTCCTCAAATTGTTTATTTACAATACAAAATGATAACTGAAGAGCAGCGGAGAAAAGCCATTGATAAGCATTTGTAATTTTATTCAGAAATTTCAAATTTTTTTTGAGTATACAAATTAAAAATTTATAGATTTGTAATATTTTTTATGATAAAATTGTACTTTTTCTTTCAGTCGAGAAATATGTAATCTCCAGGAAAAAGAAGACGAGGAAAAGGAGGCAATGATTGCAAAGAAAAATTACGAAGATCACTTTATTCAAATTTCCGCCTGCTATGTTGAATATTTAGAAGATGATCATTTATTCAATCAAATGTTTAATAATGACAAAGGTGAGATTATTCAAAAATGTTAAACTGAATTTTTTGGTTGAAAAAACAACACAAATTTTTTTTTTTTTTTTTGATTAATTTTTTATTTTTATTTTTAATTATTGAATTAAAATTAAATTCTAATTCTTAATTATAGAATAAAAATTTAGTATTTTAATAATTTAATAAATAATTAGAATTAATAAAATTTTAAATATTCTTTTTCTTTGTTCAGAGGGAAAAGCATTGATGAAAATAAATCGCGAAACGGAAAGTGCACACGAGCAGTACAAAATAGCTTTCTCATCATTTTGTCACGAATTGTTTGATTATGGAATTAAAGAACAGAAACGAAGAATGGAAGAATTTGAACTTTTTCAAAAAACAGTCGATAATGGTAAAGATGATGCGCAACAAGAAGCACATCAGTAAGTACAACAATAATTTACAAAATTAATAAATAAATAATAATAAGTGGAAAATTTGTTTCACTTTTATGATCATTAAAAAATTAAGTAAATTTTATTTTCTAGATTAATAGAAGAAATTTTGGAAAATAAATCGAAAACTTTCTTTCAAGTCACTAATTTAATAAAAAGCATCAGTGGAGAAAATTTAGAGGAATCGAAGAAAAACATTTCCAAAGTGAAATTAATTTCTGAAGAATTTGATGATTTATTGCATAAAACATGGAAGAGTCTAATGAATAGGGAAATTATTTTACATGAACAATTGGAGGCAATTATTTTACTTAATTCAATTATTATAATTCTACTTAATTATTTTGATTAATTTAAAAAAAAAATTCGCCGTTTAAAAAAAAAATTTTTTACAGGATTTAAATGAAATTTTTAAAATAAACATGACGGATATGGTTGGCTCCTGCTTGGAAACTGCACAAGGATTTTTCACAATGATGAGAAATGCCGAAAGGGAATATGACGATAATTTAAAATCGCTTGTGACATTATTTATAAATAGTTTCGGTGATAATACATTGCCACTTGAATATCAAGAGATTTGTGGTTCCAAAGATATAATGATTAATAATTTTGGTGCCTCGCACGATATGCATTTACATGTAAGTATAAATTTAGTTTAAAAATTTTCAGAATATATAGAAAATTGTACACGAATTGACCGTTAATAGCTAATTTAAGAATAGTTCAATTTCGATTAATTAAAATAAAAAAAAACAACTAAAAGTTGTATTTCTTTCTAAAAACTAGGTGATCGATGATCGAGAGGACATTTTTGTGAATCGATTAAAAAACTGGTTGGATGAATTGACCGATAAACAAAGAGAGTAAGCGAAAAATATTTTTTACATAAATTACAGTAATTTTGAAAATTGAATATTTTTATTTAATTTAATCAAATATTTTCATCAAATTTTATTAAATATTTAAATTTAATTGAATTGGATATTTTTCTTTCATTAGAGAGGAAAAGAAAAGACATCGCAATCAAATTTTGGAAATTTCCCATTTCTTCGATTTTCAACGCGAGGAATTTCATAAACTTCAACAACGACAGGAATTAATTTTAACGAGACTTAATGAAGATGAGAATGAAGCTGACGAGGAAAATGATAAAACAATTCAGGACAGCACAAAAGATGTAAGCAGAGAGGAAATTAACGAAGACGAAGTTCAAGAATACGATTCTAGTGTAGATATTAAAAAATATTCCGACAATGAAAGTATCAAAGAAGATGTCGGTGAATTTGACAATGAGAATACTGCTTATATTTATCCAGATTCTATATCGAATGAATTAAATCTAACGGACCACTAAATGAAAAAAGTAAATATTTTATCATTTTACTTCAAATATTCAATTTTATTTTAAAAAATAATTCTATAACAATGTGTATAAAAATATTATATCAAAAATTGATTTTTAGATTTTTCCTAGGTATTTATATAATACTATATAAAAGTTTGTAAAAAAAATTAATTTCACTATTAAAATCAATTAGAAATTAATTTCTTTATAGAAAAATTCGTTCGATTAAAAATTTTTAAAAGTTTTATATCTCTCAATGGAGGTAACAATTAATATACTTATGTGAATCAGTCTTTTTTCTACTGTTTCAATATTCATTAAAGAAAAAATATAAAATTACTGAAAGAAAAATTTTGTAGAAAAGGAAAAAATCAGTTTATATTTTCAATATTTCTTTCTGGTAGAAATATATAGAGAATATAAATTATTTCTTTTTCAATGATTGAAGATACATTTCAAGACCTGCTTGAACTTTTGGAGATGTTACAAAATTAACAAAGATCTCCGTGTCTTTCTGGCGATTATTCTTTAGCCAGGATATCAAGTTATTTCTTAATTGAAGTTTCGTTACACCTACAGCTTCGGCTATAATATAAATATATTTAATTCGTATCAATAAATAAATAAATTATAAATGGTTTTGTATTTTTAATAAAGAAATAATTAAAGTAAAGAATTAAATAAAAATAAAGAAAGAAAAAACACTAGAAATAAAGAAAGAAATAAATAATTAAAAGAAAGATTTTTATATTCAGTATTTTTACTCACCGGGAATTTTATCGAAACTATTGATATACTTTTCGCATTTTGCGATAGCATCGTCTTTATTGGACGCTAATTCATCGACAAGATTTATGTTGAGTGCTTCCTCGGGTGTAAAGAGAGTTCCTCTAAAAATTTGTTTAGAAAATTATGTAACTTTAATGAAGAGCATAAAAAAATACAATATTTTGTTTAAGTAATAGTGATTTATTATTAATAATTTTAGTAAATTTACCTAAGAAGAGCAAGTTCTGCTTTTCGATAGCCAATGGTCGAAATATAATTCTCCTTAAACCATTGAGGAGCGACAATTCCTAATTTCGTCTCATTTAATCCAATCATATTTTTCCCACCGACTATGACTCGATATTCGCAAGCAATCGCTGTAAGACATCCACCAGCTGGACTTGCTCCCTTTTTTTAAATTCAAAAATATAAATAATTAGATTTCAAATCGAATTGTTAAAATGAAAAATTTTGTGACTGTAAAAGAAAATTGACAAAAGGAAACTACGAAGTAATTATTTTTACATTTATAGCGTCAGAAAAAAAGAAAACTACTAAGTAATTTATTTTACATTTATAGTGGCAGAAAAAAATAAAACTACCATGTAATTAATTTTTTTACATTTGTAGTAGCAGCAAAAAAAGAAACTACCGAGTAATTATTTTTTTTACATTTATGGCAGCAAAAAAAATGAAACTACGAAGTAAATAATACTTTTTACATTTATATAGCAGCAGCATAAAAGAAAACTGCCTACTAATTAATTTTTTTACGTTTATAGCAGCAAAAAAAAACTACCAATTAAGTTTCTTTTGCATTTATAGCAGTAAAAAAGAAAAATACCAAATAATTAATTTCTTTTTACATTTATAGCAGCGGCAGTTCGTATTTCCAAGCCATAAAGTGTCATCCAATAATCCTGCAAGGCATTCCAAAATTTCGTGCAACGATCCACGTTGGTTTTGTACATTTCCATAATATCGAGTCCTGCCGAAAAGACAGTCGCTAGAGACGAAGTTATAATAATTCCCTTGGCCTTTTGTTTCTTAACATCGTTCAAAGTTGTCGTCAATTCAGTCAAAAGCTCCAAATTTAAACTATTTACTGGAGCTCTATTCATAGACACCACTGCAATACCTGTGAAAAAAAACATTTCTCATAAATATTTCACTTTATTTTAAGAACTAATTCGTTTCTTAATTATAACACACCTGAATCTCTTTGCTCAACTTCCACAAGTTTCGTTTGTGACGATAGATTTCTCAAGTAGAAATTGACTTGAGGTCTTATCAATTTTCGCATAACAATAGCCATGTTAAAAGATTGTGTATTCCAAACTTTTAATAACGCCTCTGAAAAATAATATTAACATATATTAACGCTCGACAAGAATCATTACAATGATATTTAAAAAAAAGTTTATTTACATAATTTTATAAGAAAATATTGTTTCACTTTAATATTGTTAATATTGCATATTGTTTACTTTAATAATTTTATTCCACACACTTGAAGATTAATTGCTTTAAATGGAAAATTTACTAGTTCGAATTCAATTTGTTCTAAATAAAATATTTATTTATTATCACAAAGTTAATAATCATTAGTTTTTAATAGTTTTCTTATAATATAGTACAAATAAATATTTTATAAATAATAAAAATAGCAAAAGTAGTTTATAAATAATTCATTAAATAATTAATTAATTAATACGAATTATTTATTACGTCTTTTATTTTCGTTGTATATTTAAAAAAATATACACATTAACAGATTACCATAATAAAATATACAAAAACCATAAAAACTTTCACTCATCATGACTAGTCAAAATTTTTAAAAGTATAAAAATAAAACAAACTTTTATTTATATCAAATTAAATTGAATTACAACAAGTAAACCGAATCGTTTTCTTCGTTGATTTCCACTTGAATTAAATTAGTAGAAATAGAATAAATTATTGAAACTTTTTTCTTACCTTTCTACTGAAAGAAATTCAGTTTTTATTCAGTAATAGTCTGTGGGTATACTGTGCAACCCATGTAATAAGAAGACTAGAGACCTTCTTGCCATGTAATATAACAAACTGTTATAAACTTATGAACTTCTGTGGACTTTGGACCTTTCAAAGGTTACGTTTGCGCAGAATAGTTTATTTTTCTTTTGAGAAATTTATTTTTAATATAAATTATGATTTGACAGTATTTGAATATTAAATTGCTTCTGCATAAGTTTCTCTATAAGACAAGTTTCGTAATTATTAAAAAAACTATTCTGTATAAACAATAATACAACAATTACTACTGTATTTTTTACCGGTAGTTCCAAATTTCTCCGCTCGAAAATATGTCACTGGGTTAAATTTTTTTTTCAAAAATTATTGATTTTCATTGGCTTTTATTCCCGCGCAAACTTTAAGTGACCAATGAGAGCAATCGTTCGTTCACTATCGCCATCTTTACATTTCGACAATATGCCAACTTCATTCTACTAGACACTACTATAGAGAATTCTGTGAATTCTGTTTATAGAACATATATTGAAAAAAAAGTTTTTGTTTAAAATCGTTTAAATAATGGCACTCGCATTCGGACAGTGTAATTCAATAAACTGCACTCAAATTGGGACATTGCAATGTCCAACTTGTTTAAAAATTGGAATAAAGGATTCATATTTTTGTAGTCAGGTAAATATTGGAAAAATTTGAGGTTAGATAACATGTTTAAATTCTCTTTTTCAGGAAAGAAAAATATTTATTTAGTTCTTCTTTCTTCTTTCAAGTAATTTATTATATGACGTAATTATCAAAAAATCGACTATTATTAGATTTTTACTTTTTTTGATAAAAAAAAAATAGTTTTTCTATAATAGTTCCGAGCAGTAGTCATGTCTTGTACCTAAAAATATCTTTCTCGGAAGGATTCTATCATGATTAGAATTAAAAGAGAGAAAAAAAGATGAATCTAGAAAGATTAATCTTTTCCATTTTGTTGTAGGATTGTTTCAAGGGAAACTGGAAAGAACACAAAATATTGCATAAACTCGCAAGTAAGTTTGCAATGTAAATTATACTTTTTTTTATTTTGGAGAAGAAGATAGAATTTTGGTAATTTTTTTTTCGTTTGTCATTCCAGAGGGAGAAGGAACAAATAAGTCTGGCGAATACAATCCTTGGCCTCATTATCATTACAGTGGGAAATTACGCCCTTACAAAAAGGAATCACGTCGTTTAGTTCCCCCAGCTATAGCCCGTCCAGATTACGCCGTACATCCCGAAGGAATTCCCCTTGGAGAACAAGAAGTCAGAGGTTCATCTTTAATTAAAGTTCTAGATGATGAGGAAATTGAGGGGATGCGTGTTTCTTGCAAGGTATTTTAAAAGATAAATACTTCAGTTTTTTGAAAATTCTAGAAACTTATTGTTTTCTAAATTTAAATTTCTAAATCTAATTCTAATTTTAATTCTAAATAAATAATGTAGTCTAAAAAAATATTTCAACAACTGGCGATTTGATACTATTTGGATACTTTTTCTAAATTTGTGACACTATAAAAGCTACTTTATTCTTTTTTTAGAATTTACACTACTTTAAATTCGCTGATAATTGAAATAAAATAATTATACTGAACAATTTTAATAAAATTCTTAGAAACAATTCAAAAAAAAATTTAATAAAATTCTTAGAAATAATTAAAAAAATTTTTTTTTTAAATTCTTCGAAACGATTCAATTATTTTCAAAAATTGTAAGAAATTTTTTCTTCCCAAGAATTCAATTACTTTTAATATCTACTATGTATTTTAATAAAATTTTTCGCGAAAAAAGAATTATTTTAATAAATAATAAAATTTTCAGAGAAATTCAATTATTTGAAGTACTATTTTAAAAAAATGTATTGACAGAAATTAATTATTTGAAAAAATTTTTAATAAACAATTCTTCAAAAAAATTCAATTTTAAAAAAAAAAATGTTAATAAAATTCGTTGTAAGAATTCAATTATTTTCATGAATAATAAAATTCTTTGCAGGATTTCAATTAAATTAAATTTAACTTTAAATTCTTAATTTGAATATAATTTAAAATGAATTCTTTGGAAAAATGCAATTATTTCTTTAAAATTTTATTAAAATATTTGAAAAAGTTCAATTATTTAAAAAATTTTTGATAAAATACTTTGCAAGAATTCAATTTTAAAAAATAATCAATTATTTGCTTTTGTGTTTACCTAAATAATAGAATTCTCATGGATCTTTCAAACAAAAATTGATTTAAAAATAAATTTCAGATAATAATTGAAAATTATTAAATGTTAATAATAATTTTAATTCTCGTAAACACTTTCTAACAATAATTGAATTAAAAATAAATTTCAGATAAAATTTTAGATAATAATTCAACGTTTTAGAAGCGTTATAGTATGGATGTTTAGAATTAATTAAATTTCAAAAGATTTTAAATTCTCTGTCTTTGAAAGTTTTAATTGCGTTGTAAAACAGTAATAATATTTAAATACATTTAATTATAAAAATTCTTAATTTATTTTTTCCCTAAAAGATGATTAAAGTTTTGAATAATTTTATTTAAAAATTCAAAAAAAAAAACATTGAATTTTGAAAGAATTACAGATGTAATTTTTAGAAATAATTAAATTTCAAAAATGTTTTACATTGAAATTATTTAAGATATTAATTTTTGTGGAAAAAAAGTATTTAATTATTTGTTTGAAAGAGTTTATTCAAGTGTCGAAATTTGGAAATAATGAAAAAGAATTTGTCGTTTGAAAAATTTTAATTAAAATTTTTTGATATTGTTAAATTCTTGTAAATAAATTAAAAAGATTGAATTAAATTTCTAGTTAATTTTTTAGTCATCAAATTTAATTTTTCGATAGATACTTTTTACTACTTTGTGCAGTCTTAAAGCTACTTTTTGCTACTTTTTTTCGATTTATTATCGAGTGTGAATTCTGCAACAGTACAATTTTTTTAATGATGATAAATTTCTTTTTATTAATAAGAAATGATCTTTTAAATAATAAATCTTGAATTTTTATATAGCTTGGTCGGGAAGTTCTCGATGAAGCGGCTAAAGCTATTGAAGTTGGAGTGACAACGGCTGAGATTGATAGGATTGTACATGAAGCGTGCCTCGAAAGAGACTGCTACCCTTCGCCTCTAAATTATTATGAATTTCCAGCTAGTTGTTGCACTTCTGTAAACGAGGTGATTTGTCACGGAATTCCCGATAAGAGGCCATTACAAGATGGTGACATTTGCAATGGTATGTTTCTAATATTTCTTTCATTTAAAAAAATAATGCGAATGAAAAAGAATATTGTATAAGTGATTTTTTGTTTCCTAACTTTTTAAATAATTTTTCTTTTTAAATATTTTCAATTTTAAAATTAATGTATTGAAAATCATTGAATTCTTGAAAAGAATAATGTTTAAAAAAATTTGAAAATAATTGAATTCCTTCGAAGAATTTTATTAGTTATGAAAATAATTGAATTCTCGCGAAGAATATTATTAAAATTTTTAGAAAATAATTAAATTCTTCTCAGAATATTATTACAATTTTCTAAAATATTTTAATTCATTTAAGGAATTTTATTAAAATGTAAAAAATATTTTAATTAAATTCTTTCAAAAAATATTAGATAATTGAATTCTTTAAAAAAATTTCTTTAATTTATTTAATATACCTAATCGATTTTGTTTTTAATTGTAATTAATAATTTTACTATTAAAATTTTATTAAAATTATTAACTCTTTTAAACAATTTTATTATTTTATTATAGTTTTTGTAAATAATTAAATTATTTTGAATAATTTTAATTGGAAATTTTGAAAATAATTGAATTTAGCAAAGAATTTTTTCAATTTTTAAAAATAATAGTGTCTGTTAATAATTATACTTGAATATTTGATTATTGAAGTTATTAACATTGAAGAATTTTATTATTTATAAAAAAATAATTTAATTTTTGCGATGAATTTTACTACTCATAAAAAAATTGAATTGTTTTTTGAAATTTTATTAAAAATAATTGAATTTTTGCAAATTATTTAAAAAAATAATTAAATTGTTTCCATGGATTTATTAAAATTTTAGAAAATAATTGAATTTTTGCGAAAAATTTTACCATTTATAAAAATAATTGAATTGTTTCGAAGAATGTATAAAAAGTTTAGAAAATAATTGAATCTTTTTGAAAAATTTTATAACGAATTAAGAAATAATAATTGAATTCTTCCGAGGAATATTATTGTTTATGAAAATAATTGAATTCTTGCGAAGAATTTTAGTAAATTTTTTTGAAATAATTGAATTCCGGAGAAGAATTTTACAGTTTATAAAAAATAATTGAATTTTTCCAAAGAATATTATTTACGAAAATAATTGAATTCTTGCGAAGAATTACATTACAATCTTAGGAAAATGTAAATAATAATAATTAATTATGTACTTAATAAGTGAATTTTTCAAATTTTAATTATAAAATTATTCAAAAATTTGAATTTGAAAACAAAAAATTTTTTAATTTGTATAATAATAATAATAATAATAATAATAATAATAATAAATTGAACATCACGTTTCGCGCGTAAAATTAATATTTTATGTTAAGCAAAAATGTTTTCAATTTCAGTGGATGTGACAGTTTATCACAACGGGTTCCATGGCGATTTAAATGAAACCTTCTTCGTTGGCAACGTGAAGCCAGAGGTGAAAAAACTCGTCGAAGTCACACACGAGTGTCTGTCAAAAGCAATCGATATTGTTCGACCTGGTGAAAAATATAGAGAAATTGGCAATGTTATTCAAAAACATGCCCAGGCGCATGGATTTAGTGTAGTTAGAAGTTACTGCGGACATGGAATTCATCGTCTCTTTCACACTGCTCCAAATGTTCCTCATTACGCAAGTAAGTGAAAAAATTAATTAATTACGTAGAAATTAAATTATTATGGATGGGAAAAATTAAAATTAAGAGAAAAAAAGATTGAATCTAGAAAGATTAATGTTTTCCATTTCCAAGAAAGTAAGAAAGAACGAAAAAAAGAAAGAAAGAAAAAAAGACGTAGAATTTTCAAGTAAAAATCAAGTCTCAAAACGATAAAAAGGTGTCGTTTTATTTTAGAAAATAAGGCGGTTGGCGTAATGAAAGCGGGACATTGTTTCACGATTGAGCCGATGATTTCTCAAGGAACGTGGAAAAGTGATACGTGGCCTGATAATTGGACGGCTGTGACGACCGATGGATTGTGGTCAGCACAATTTGAGCAAACTTTATTGGTCACAGAAACAGGATGTGATATTCTGACAAAGCGACGAACCACCGATGGAAAACCATGGTTCATGGATAATAAAGCTTAATAATCGATTCAATTCAAAAACAAAAAAGTGATGAATTAAATTTTTAACAATTTCCTAATTAAATAATTGTCCCAGTAACAAGACTCGAATAGGAGTAAAATTATAAAAGAATACTTAATTTCATTAATTTCATTCAATTCCGGAAATTGAATTTTTTTAATTCCCTAAAATAAGTAGAAAATAAATTTAAACTTACATTACTAAAATTCTATTTTACAATTTAGAATTATTCTATACTATTCTAATATTATTCTATACTATAATAGAATACTCGCTTCTTGAAATAGAAAACAATTTTTCGTATTTCAATTTTCGAAAATAAGAGAATTTCCTGAATTAAACGAAATATCGTCGATTAAATATGATAATTCTTTTTTTCTTGAGAATAAGAAAATTTTAATTCTTTAAAATTCAAGTCTTCTTACCGGGTGGTCTTTGGATTTATTTATCCTTCAGAGGCACTAATTGTCGTGTAAATAAAAGCACAATATTATATATCGTTAACTGAAAAAAGGTTAACAAAATTGCGAGCAAAATTGTTAACAAAAGGTAACGTGAAATAAAAGAAAAAGAAAAAACATATTTTTTTTCAATGAAAACACTTCATTAGAAATACGTATCGAAAATAAATAAATTAAATCTAATATAGTTTAATAAATAAGTGGAATTATACCATTCTCTTTTTTTTAACAGTCTTTCGGTAATATACGAAAAATAAAAAATAATCGAATTCGATTATTATAAAAAAGAAGATAAATTCTGCTAAGTTTAAGAATATTTTGTTATAGAATTTTAGCGAAGATTAGGCGCTAATTTCTCTGATAATATAATATTTTTTATCTTATTAAATATATGCTTTAAATAGTAAAGTAACCTTATGAACTGTATTTACAATTAATGAATGTTGAGAATCTTAGGAAATTATTTGCCATTTTTCTTTAATCGTGAACCAAATTCAGATTTTCCGGTTTGACCATAGGAAACGTCGTCATTATTAGTTTGACTGGAATTATTTTCCGTACTCTCTGGTTCATCATTTTCGTATTCATATTCTTCGCTAAATGTCTCTTTTACCGAGTCCAATTGCTCCTTGTTTTCCTTTTGACTATCAGCATCGGGAACAAATATTCTCAGTGAATGTTTATTACTCTCATTTTCCTGTTGATTATTGTTTTGTCGTTGTTTTTTGTAACGCTGCTGCTGTCTGTATCTCTGTTCGTATTGCTCATTTTCCTAGTGGATTAAAAATTAAAAAATTTAATTAATTATAAAAAATTATTTTCAAAAAATATTTAAAATTTCACAGGAATTTCATTATTTATAAATTTCTTCGCAATCATTTAATTATTTTCATAAAAAATAAAATTTTTACAGGGATTCAATTATTTTCGTAAATAATAAAATTCTTTTTAGGAATTCAATTATTTTCGTTAATAATAAAACTCATTGCAGAATTTCAATTATTTTTAATACGATTTTAAATGAATTCCTCGAAAAATGTAATTATTTAAAAACATTTTTTGTAAGAATTCAATTATATTTTACAAATATAATGAAATTCATCCCTGAAATTCAAATATTTTTAAAATCTACTATATTTTAAAAAAAGTTCTCAAAAGAATTCAATTATTTAAAAAAATGTAATAAAATTTGTTGTAGGAATTCAATTATTTTCATAACTAATAAAATTTTTTACAGTATTTCAATTATTTAAAAAAAATTTAATAGAATTCATTGCAATAATTCAATTATATTTTCATAAATAATACAATTCTTCACAGGATTTCAATTATTTTTAATACAATTTCAAGTAAATTCTTCGAAAAATGTATTTAATTTCAAAAAATTTATTAAAATTCTTCGAAAGAATTTAATTATCAATTATTTTTCAAAATTCATGCTATAATGCTTTTAATATTCTGTTATTATCTAAAATCTTAACTGAAATTCATTTTTAAATCAATTTTAATTAGAAAATTCTACGAGAATTATTCAATTATTCAAATACAAAAATAAATAATTTATCGTATGAATGAATGTTTCTGAAAATTGAATTTTCATAAAGAATTTTATCAACATAATTGAATTTTTTCAACGAATTTTAATAAAATTTGCAAGAATAATTTCCTTTTTTCGAGGAATTCGATTAAAATTGTAATAAAAATAATTGGATTTCTAAAAAGAATTTTATTATTTTATGAAAATAATTGAATAATTACATCAAAATTCAATTATTTTCAATATCTATACTATTTCAATAAAATTTCACAAAAAAATTCAATTCTTTAAAAAAAATTAAAATTCGTGTCAATAAGAATTCAATTATTTTCAAAAGTAATAAAATTTCTCGCAGAAATTCAATTATTGTCAAAAGTTTAAAAAAATTGTCTTCAAAATTTCAATTATTTTCAAAAACTTTTCTCAATTCAATCAAATTTTTTTTTACACAGATTCAATTAATTTTAATACAATTTTAATTTAATTTCTCGAAAAATGAAATTATTCTTAAAAATTTTATTAAAATTCGTCAAAAAAATTCAATTATTTAAAAATTTGTTGATAAAGTCTTTATGGGAATTAAATTTTAAGAAACATTCAATTGTTTAGTAAATTATTTACTTATTTTAATTTATTAATTTAAATAATTGAATTCTCGTAGAATTTTCTAATAAAAATTGATTTAAAAATGAATTAGAGTTAAAATTTCAGATAATAAGTGAATATTAAAAGCAATATAGCGTGAATTTTTAAAAATAATTGAATTTTGAAATTAATTTTTTTGAAAAAGTTTAATTGAATTTTTTTTAATATTGTTTTAAGTTTTATTTTCTAATATTTATTTAATTGAAGAATTTACGAAAAATTGAAATTTTGTAAAATTTAATATTATAAACAAATGAATTTGAAAATTGTCAAAGAACTTTTTCGAAAATTATTAAAAATAATTGATTTAAAGAAGAATTTTTGTTAAAATTTTACTATTTTTATTAGTAGAATTCTACTAATTCAGATTTAGAGAGCAGGTTTTAATTAATTTTAATTTCGATTGTTAATTAAAATTATAGAAAAATTTTAGATTTATCGTGCATCGGAATTTTTTGTCTTGAGTTTACTCTCTAGGTTATGGTCGGTATGGCAGTTATCTGTACGAGAGCAGAAGCAATTTTTTGTTTTGTTGCAGAAGAAAATCGGGATGGATCGAAAGATAAAGAATAATTACCTTCTCCTTTTTTATTTGTTGTTCCCTAAACCTCTGCTGTTGGTAGATTTGCTTTCGTTTTTCACTGAAACGTTGTTTTTGATTAATCTCCTCTTCTACCTGTTGTTGCTGCTGTTGTTGTTGTTGTTGTTGTTGTTGTTGAATTGCTTTTTGAAAATCATCATCGTCTTTATGATTTTCGGGTAGAGCTTCGTCTTGTTGGATTTCTTGTTGCTTTTTTAATTGATCTATTAGATGACTATTGACATTGCCGGCTGCAGCGAGAGCGGCAAGTTTTTCTGCAGCCTCTCGATTAGGAAGTGTTGTGTAGAATTGAGTGGATAGACTGCCGGGACTTTTTACCTTTTAAAAAAAGAGAAAGTTGATTAATTTCGATCAAAACAAGAATAAACAATAAACGAATAAAAAAGAAAACAACGGCTTTTCTTCAATTCGAGAAAATATTCAGCGAATAGTGGCGACATCTGTGTGGAGAAATTTGTAACTGTTTGTAACAAATTGCAAATGGCGAACAATGGCGGATTTACACTGTTCTTGGCAGTTCCGTGTCGGTTTTTTTTTGCAGTTTAATTCGAGTGTCGCAAAGTGTCGGGGTGGTTTTACTTTCGTTATTTGTAAAGATTTCTCGCGACATGAAACGTGAATCGCAATACTTTTCTCTTCGGTGCACTAGTTTTTTCAATACAAGATGCCGAGGAAGAAGAAGAAAGAAAATGTGCGTCTCAATTTTTTCACCGTAGTGGAAGTTTCTGCAGATCGCTCAATTGTCAATTGGTAATTAGTAATTACACATCGCACAGTACTTCATACTTGTTCTTTCATCGAAAAAAACGGATTATCATCCAACGAAAGGTATTTTTGAACATTACGTTTTAATTACTTATGCTTTCCTATTTGAAGTTATATTATGTTTTCCGCCTTTTCGAACGACGCGATTTTTCTTACAAATAAAATAACGTCCTAGCCCCAAAAGTAACTACATTGTAGTTACAAATTTTACAATCGCATAAATTTAGCTAATATTGTCATAATATTTACCCTAATTTTGTAATATTGACGAGAATATTGCTGCAATTTTCGAACATAATTTTATTTTAATTTACAATATTTCTGATATATCTTAGTTACCTTTTGAAAATGCGTTGCCTGTCCCTTTTGATTAGTCGTCTGTTCAAATTCGATATTATTCTCCTGTTGCTCCGAGACTTCCGGTGGATAATTCAACTCCTCATTTGTTCTCAAACCATTATTCTCACCAGTACCAGCTGATTCCGGTTCTAAATTATAATCAGCTGTAACTTTTCCCGAACCATAATTTTGCCCAATGAGAATTTGTTGTTGTTGTTGTGAATTCTGCTGAAGATTTTTATTCGCCTGCTCGTCATAATTAAACGAATGCATTTGCGGTTGTTGGAAACGTGTCACGCCATTTGCGTCGGTTTGAAAGAATTGTCCCAATTGTTGTTGCAAAAGATGTTGTTGAAGTTGCGGTTGCTGGCCATTTGTATATTGTTCGGATATTTGTTGAGGCAGGGAATTCAATAAATCGTATAATTGCGGCGCTGACAATGGTGGACCAACTGGTGCCGGATGACCCACATGAAGATCAGGCAATTGACCACCAACGGATGTTGCTTGACTTGCTGTACCCGGGAAACCAACTGCAAGTGAACTGTGTAAATTCGTTTGCATTGGAATATTTGCTTGTTCAAAGGGGATATTATTCGTTCCAATGAGACCAGTGTTGGAAACTGGAGCATGACTCAGGTAAATTTCATTGGCTTGAACTTCAGGATTTATCACAGAGGGGGAAATTCTTGACGATTCAAATTCGGGTGTGAAATAATTCGGTGATATTGTGTGATAGTCTTTTATGTTAATATCGTTTGATTCTGTCACTTCGTATTGGTGCTGTTGTTGTTGCGTTGGTGTTGCACTTGTTGCTGTTCTCTGTGGTGTCACGCTCGTCCCTAAATTTAATTAAAATAATCAATTAGATTAGAGTCAAAATTATTATTAGCCAAATTTTTTAGGTTGTGTTTATCTTTTCACTTTGACTAGAGGATATTTTTCTAATTTTTAAAAATGAAAAATAATTTGTATTGAAATTGAATATTTTACAGATTTTACACAACTAACATAACCTATAAAATTTTGCTTTTTCGGTCTCTTCCTTCGACGCGTTACAGATAAATATTAATATTAAATAAATAAATAAATTACTATTAATATTATTAGTATTTTATTAATATTTATATTATTATTATTTTTAGTGAATTGTTAATTGTTAACTATTATTATTATTAGCATTATTAATAGATTATTGTTATTTTAAATTTATTTGTATTTCAATTTCATTTTTTTTTCGTTTCTTTTTTTAACTCTTCCTGGTGGAAAAAGTATTTTAATTGAAATTTTTGGGAAATTGAATATAAAAAAAGCGTTCGCGATGAATTTAAAAATAATTGTTTACCTGGAAAATTGATATTGTATTTAGTGTCAAAGTGATGTCGATGCATTGATTCATCATGTACTTTTTCAGCTGCCTTTGCTTTGATTAAATTGTAGGGTTTATCGGCGAGACTTAAATTTGGAGCGGGAATTGTGTGAATTGGTCCTTTATCATCGTCAATGGCACCACGATGGGCGGATGGAATTATAACATTTTCTGGCCGATATTCGGGACTGTATTCTGGTGCTTTATTCAATGAATGAAATTCTTTTATCGATGGTCGTTGTGGCAGTACTGCATGATTATTCAGAACGCTAATTACCGGAATCTGATGAGACTTCCATCCGTTTGGTACAACGTTGAAAACAGGAGGTCGTCTGATCCTGAGAGGTGATGAAAAAATATTTGGGATCATTTTTTTTTAATAATATAATAAAAATAGAAAAGTAATTTTTAAAAGTAATAAAAGTAGTAAAAATTAAAATTAAAATTAGAAAATAATGAAAGTAGTAAAAATACTAATAAAAATTAAAAAATAATAATAATACATAATTTAATTAATAATAATAATAACGTAAAACGTACCTGTAATTATTAGGTTTATATGGAGGCGGCGGTGGCGGTGATCTTTTAGGAGGGAAATTGGAATTTATGTGAATTGTGTTTCCCATTGAAATTCTCGATCCAATTGGCCATGATTTTTTGTAAATTTGAGGAGGCGGTTGCGGTAATGGTCTTCGAATTTTGTATCTCGCTTCCGACAGGCAAACGCACAGTGCAACTATACAGCCAATCCATCTAATTACCTATTGGGAAAAAATAATTTTCAAAAACCAATAATAAAGGGGAAAATAAGAAAGGAAAGGACAATTAAAAAGGAAAAATTAGAAAGGAAGACAATAAAAAAGATATGAAAGGAAAGGACAATAAGAATGGGAAAAATAAGAAAGGTAAGAAGAATAAGAAAGGTAAGAAGAATAAGAAAGGGAAAAATAATAAGAAAGGAAAGACAGGGTGTCTACTAACCGGGAAATAGCCGGGAAAAACCGGGAATAAGCCAGGAATTTTATGCCGAACTGGGAATTTATTCACCAAATTAAAAAAGTTTTATTATTAATAAAATATTTAAATATTTAAATAAATATTTTATTATAATAAAAATAATTAAATTTGTTGAACAATTTCATTAAAAACTTTTTAACAAATCAAATTTCCAAAGTATTTTAATTTACTAATTGATAAATAATTGAATTTTATAAAGAGTCACATTCTAATGTATTCATGATTCTTTGTGCAAAGATTAATAATTAAATTTTTTATTGGTTAATTTAAAAAAAGATACACACTTAAATTTTTGAAATAAAATTGAATTTTTGCAAAGTTTTTTTTTGAAAATTCTGAAAAATAAGATTTTTGAAAGTTTCCAATTCTTTTGTTTCAAGATAATATAATTTTTATAAACAAATAATTGAAAATTTTTGAAATAATTGAAATTTCTTTACATTCAACTATTAAAAATAATTAACTTCTTTTAAAGAATTTTATTTAAATTTTTCGAAAATAATCAAGGGAAGTTAGTCACCGTAATTATAATTTTATTTTTAAAAATTTCTTCGCAATATATTCAATTATTTTCATAAATAGTAAAGCTCATTGCAGAATTTCAATTATTTTTAATACAATTTTACAGGAATTATATTCAAAAAATGTAATTATTCTTAAAAGTTTTAATTCAATTTCTCGAAAGAATTTAATTATTTCTAGAAACTGTAAAAAAATTCTTCTCAAGAATTCAATTATTCCCATAAATAGCAAAATTCTCCAGATTTACTAAATTCTTTTGAATATTATTTTTAAAAAATATTCTTCACAAGAATTCAATTATTTTCATGAATTTCCATAAAATTCCAAAAAAACAATTAAATTATTTTCAAAAGTAATAAAATTCTTCGCAGAAATTTAATTATGTATAAAATTTTTTTTAAATTCTCCTCAAAATTTCAATTATCTTTATAAGTATTTAAATTGTTCTCCACAATTCAATTATTTTTAAAAATTTTAATAAAATTCTACTAATAAAATGGAATTAATCAAATTTTCAATTATAATTATGAACAGACAAGATTATTTTAAAAAATTGAAAAAATTCTATGTTTAATTCAATTATTTTCTAAATTTTTAATTAAAATTATTAAAAAAAAACCTTATTTTCAAAAAATTTAAAGAAACTTGTAAAAAGAATTTAATTGTTCATAAAAGCTCTAATAAAAAATTTGGAAGCCATTTGTAGATTTATGTTCGAAATCAAATAAATTTAAATTTGATAAGAAAAAAAAACCGGGAAAAATTAGGACAAAGCCGGGAAATAACCGGTAATTTGGTTGAACAAAAATAGTAGACAAGATAAGAAAAGGAAAATTAACATGGATTGGAAAAATAATAAGCAAGAAAAGAACAATAAAGGAAAAAATTTAATTGAGAAATGTATTTTAAAGTATATGTTTCAATATAATATACATGCCAAAAATTTAATTCTCGAAATGAGACTCTTGTAGTATAAATTTCCTATTTAGAGAGAAAGAAAATGATGATAAATGATGATAAAATTCAGGTCAATTTTACACTTTAAATTAAAAATCTCTTACAGCCGGCGTGTGCTCTCTTTATATTTATAATCCTTATTATTATAATATATATCCGTACGCATTATTATGTTGCGTTTCATTATTATGAACCAATGATTTCATAGAAAGTGGAACGAAATTAAAATTCCGTCGATCAAAATGCATATTTATTATCCATGACTGTCAAATTAGACGTTTCTCATGGTGACGTGGAAAAGTCAGAAATCTCATTGTGAAAGCAAATTGATTGTCTCCACATGTTTGATTGACTTTAGTTCAGAGATACAATAAAGTTTTCAGAAACTTGACAATAGAAATTTTCAAATATTTTTTTATTCACCGTTAAAAAGGTCAATAAATAATAAGATATCAATAGATACAATGGGAAATTATTAAATTTAACGGATATAATGAATAAAATTTACATTTGTACTATTTTGAAAATTAAAAATATTAATAATAACAATAAAAATAATAATAATAATAATAATAATAATATTAATAATAATAATAATAATAATAATAATTATTTGATTTTATCTCTCGGACGTATTAGTTATTTTATGAACATTGAGAAGAACGTTCACTCCGAGTAAAGTACTCAAAGCGACTGTTCATCTCAATTTTTATAAATTAATAATAATAGTGAAAATAATAGTAAGAAAAAAAAATAATAATAACAGTCAAAATAAATAGTAAAATAATACAAAAAAAAATAATACAAAAAATAATAATAATAGTATCTAATAATAATTATTAGTTAACAATTAGTTTTGATAAAAAATATTTTTCTTTTTAACACATTGATTATTTTTGGTAGGACCAATAAATTAAAGGATTGCCAATACCTGTTATACACATCAATAAAAATTCATAGTTGCAATAATACATAATTTACAAGAATACTATAGTCAGATTAATATTTGACGATGTACTATCATTGAATTATTCGCACTCAATATTTTGTTTACGGCCCGAAAGCAATTTAAATGAGATTCGACTAAAAATACGTTACCTCGTTTATCACTAGAACAGAGAAAAATATTGTCTTTTTCATTAGTCAAAGTGATAGAAAAGGGATGCACCGAAAAATAATGAAAACGACATAAAAAAAACTCTCAATTATTGAAAACCCCCTTGGGCAATAATTTCTCCATAACAAATGTAAATGAATTAAAGTTCACGCTTTTCTGAAGCAATACCTAATCAATATAAGCTACTACTACTAGTACAAGAATTTGATTTTTAAAATTGGTATCTTTGTCATTTGAAAATCAATTATCTACTGCTGTTACTGCCTACTGTGGTACTATTTTTTTTTCCTTTTTCATTCTTTCGATAATCGATATGTTGTTAAAAAATTGAGACCTAAATTCAAATTAAAAATTAAATTAAAATAAACAATAATAATATAAAATTAAATAATGAAGTTTTTGATAAATAAACTATATAGTATTTGTTAAAATTTATAATCATCTTTGTTTGGTTCAGAAAATAATGATAAGTATAAAAAGTTATCGAGAATATTTAACAGTTAATCCTATGCATTTATAGGAATCATTATTTTGAAATTATATAATAATAATTATTATTGTTATTGTAGTTGAACCGTCATTATTTAAATAATTAAACAATTATTATTATTATTGTTCAAGTATTATTATTTATATTATTATTATAAATTAGTGGAAAGAAATCCACAAGCATTATTATTATTATTATTATTATTTATTATTATTATTTTTTATAACAAAACCGATTAGGAATTAAATTTGGTATCAAAGATTTTAGCTAATCGAAAATGAATCTTTAAAAAGGTATAAATTTTGAATAAAAATAAAAAAAAAGTTCATTCATCTTCTCGACGACGATTTCTTTTTGCTCTTGATATCCTATTCATGTTTTATCTCTTTTGTCGCGCAAATCAACAATAAAGTGCGTTTTGAATGTTGAAACCGGTATTAAAACTTTTGAGATTTTTTCCTACTACAATTTTTTTCTTCTTTATTTTTATGTGAAAATAAAAACAAAAAAAATTTAAATGAACAAAAATTTCCTTAATTTGGAAATTTACTGAATGGGATTTTTTTGGTGACAAAGATTAAAAAAAAAAAATATTCTTTGGTAAAAATTTTTTTCAAAGTAAAGGATTTATTAATAATCTTATTATTGAATTAAAAAATATTAAGTCTTAATCTTAATAAAAATTAATTAATTATTTATTTATCGAATGAAAAATAATGTGAATTCAGTTAAAAATAGAAATTTTACATTTTTTATATTAAATAAGAAACAGGAATTTGTATATTATTTCCTGTTTTGTAAAAAAATAATTTCGTCTATTTATTATATGCTTGAAATATAAGCTTTTATTCAAAATGAAAAGAAAGACAAGAGATTATATAAACTTTTTTTTACCAAATAAAAGAAGAAACAAAATATTAAATTATAATATGCCGTCGGTACAATATTTCGTTACGGCTAATTTAATTTTTTAGAAATTTAATAACAAATCTTACGTGTATATATATAAATATACGAGTTTCTCTCAAAAATTGATAAATTCCCACGATTCTATAAATTTTCGAAAGTACAAATGAACGAAATTTTTCTTTTATTCTTTAAATTAAATTTTTATTGCGATAATTTTGCGTCACTATGAACAAAAATTAATTATAAAGTTTCTAAATGAGTAAAATTTAAGGTTTCTAAAGTTTTTTAACATTCAAGTGAAAGACGATATTTTTATTACTCTGTAAATTTGGATTAGTAAAAATGTTTAGTAATTTGAATCAGTGACTGATTTTTTGCTTTTGAATTAGTAAATTTTACTAATTAATAGTAATTTCTACTAAATTATTATTAAAATTCTATAAATAAATATAACTATAAATTTATTAGTATAAATAAGTAACTGCAAAGTTATTAGTAAAAATTATATTGGTAAAATTTTACTAATAAATAATGTATTTTACTATTTTATTAGTAAAATTCAGTAATTTACAAGCAAAAAGTCAGTTTTTAATTCAAAATACTCTCTAAATTTGAATTACTAAAAATGTTTACTAATTTGAATTATTCAGTGACATTTTGAATTTAAATTAGTAAATTTTACTAACAAATAGTATTTTTTTTACTAATTTATTTGCAAACTATTATTTTTTAAAATTAAAAAAATATAA